GTGTGTGTGTGTGTGTGTAGACCATCACACACACACACACACACACACACACACACACACACACACACACACTGTTTACATACTGAGCCAATTTCGTTAATGTGGGAGACACCAACAAGGTAGAGTTTCACCGTGCACTTATATAATTGCGTGCGTGTATGTGTGTATATGTGTGCGTGTGTGTGTGTGTGTGTGCATCATATCTCCACCTGACGATCATATCAACACATTAAGCTCACGGAGGTGAGGAGGGGGCGAGAGAGAGAGAGAGAGAGAGAGAGAGATATGAAGAACAGGAAGAAAAAGGAGGGGGAAGAGAAGGAGAAGGAAGAAGAGGAAGAGGAGGAGGTAGAGAAGGAGTAGGAGGAGAGGAAGAAGAGGAGGTAGAGAAGGAGTAGGAGGAGAGGAAGAAGAGGAGGAGAGGGGATGTTTTGTGCCCTGTGTTTCACCCCCCCCCCAACTCCAGCTTCCGGCGTTGAGGGCTGAGCGTGGGAGGGGGGGGGTGACCCACATGTAGACGAGAAAGTTTGTTGTGCTGTCACGGGTCATTGATGGTGATGATGATGGTGATACTGATGTTGATTTGTGGTGATGGATGTGATGTTAATGAGAGTGGTGGTGCTCTTAGTTGTGGTGGTGATGGTGGTAGTAGTGGTGGTGTTGATGATGATATGGTGGTGGTGGAATTTAGAACATTAAAATACGCAATATAAAGCCCATAAACGTATTAACCATAGCACTCAACCATAGCACTCAACCATAGCACTCAACCATAGCACTCAACCATAGCACTCAACCATAGCACTCAACCATAGCACTCAACCATAGCACTCAACCATAGCACTCAACCATAGCACTCAACCATAGCACTCAACCATAGCACTCAACCATAGCACTCAACCAGAGCACTCAACCATAGCACTCAACCATAGCACTCAACCATAGCACTCAACCATAGCACTCAACCATAGTACTCAACCATAGCACTCAACCATAGCACTCAACCTAATCACTGTAATCAGATATATCTCATCATATAAACAGACAATAAGTTGACTCAAATCGTGTAATGGAGTTGCCTTTCTCAAGTCTCGCGGATCCCTGAAGGTGACATAACACTGCTTGCCGATCTCCTGTACCTTCGTCAGGCTAGAGGCGATGTCCCCGGAGTCGACTTTGCAGGTGAAATGCAGCTTCTTCTTTGTGTAGTGTTGACTCAGTCTTAAATGATGCCACGGCGATAAGTGACACTGTTAAAATCCATCTTTAATCAGCCAATCAGAGCACTTCTTCTACCTGTGTTTATGTTTCTGAATTTGAGCGGCCAATCAGAGACCTCCTTTGTACATAACGTTACTATAAGATCTATCTTACTCAACCAATCAGAGCCCTTCGCCTCAGTCGCCTGCCTGGTCACCGATCGGGAAATCTGGGTAAGAGTTCGATGAGAGAGGAAGAGTGATTGAAGAAGAAGAAGAAGAAGAAGAAGAAGAAATGTGTAGACCTGTTGCCTGAGTAGCAGCGGGGTACCAGGTCGGCAGCCAGCTACCAGGGTCATGGGGAGGTAACTTAGCATCGATCACAGACACACGAGGGGAGAGGAGGGGAGGGGAGGGGATAGGAGGGGGGAGGAGGGGGAGGAAATAAAGTTGGTTGGTTAGAGCGTTCAGGTCACAGTTCCCCTCACAGCGTTCTTCAGGTGTTCATCGGGGGTTCACAAGCGTTCATCAGGGGTTCACAAGCGTTCATCAGAGGTTCACATGAGTTCATCAGGGGTTCACATGCGTTCATCAGGGGTTCACATGCGTTCATCAGGGGTTCACAAGCGTTCATCAGAGGTTCACATGCGTTCATCAGAGGTTCACAAGCGTTCATCAGAGGTTCACATGCGTTCATCAGGGGTTCACAAGCGTTCATCAGTTTCACATGCGTTCATCAGGGGTTCACAAGCGTTCATCAGAGGTTCACATGCGTTCATCAGAGGTTCACAAGCGTTCATCAGAGGTTCACATGCGTTCATCAGGGGTTCACAAGCGTTCATCAGAGTTTCACATGCGTTCATCAGGGGTTCACAAGCGTTCATCAGAGGTTCACATGCGTTCATCAGGGGTTCACATTCTTTCATCAGGGATTCACATGTGTTCATCAAGAGTTCACATGCGTTCATCAGACATATACTCAAAGTTTTTCAAGGTGCTATACAAATTAAAACGCAACATACACACACACACACACACACACACACACACGTGCAAGCGAGACAGAACACGAAACTCAGTGTAATGTGGTGAGGAGGAGGAGGAGGAGGAGGAGGAGGAGGAGGAGGAGGAGGAGGAGGAGGAGGAGGAGGAGGAGGAGGAGGAGGGAGAGGGAGGAGGAGGAAGAAGAAGCAGGGAGAAAATGTGGAGGAAAGGAGAGTGTAGAAGGAGGAGGAGTAGGGTAGAGACAGGAAGAGAGAGATGAATGTGAGGAGGAGGAGGAAAGGCAATGAAAGAGGAAGAGATGGAGAGTGAGGAGAGAGAGAGTGTGGGGAGGAGGTGAGAGAGGAGGATTAGGAGAAGACTGCGTCAGTGTAGGAGAGAGAGAGAGAGTGTAAATGATCAAATGTAATCTTGTGAATCTCTCTCACCCTACACACACACAAACACACACACACACACACACACACACACACACACACACACACACACACACACATACACATAAAGCAACAGGAACAGGTCATTAACGATAAGTCTTAACCATCACAACCAAATCATCACCATTAACAAGCAAATTGGCCTGTGTCAAGTTCACTTTCCCAGGCCCTATTAGCTCAGCCTTACCACAGTGTTATTTCCCGTTTGCCTTGACGGGGGTAACTAGGCTAAATGTCTTTTCCTTGATGGAGGTAACTACGTCAAAACGTTCTTCCTTGACGGTGATCTAGACGGAAACGTTCTCCTTGACGGGGGTAACTAGGCCCAAACGTTCTCCTTGACGGGGGTAACTAGGCCCAAACGTTCTCCTTGACGGGGGTAACTAGGTCCAAACGTTCTTCTTGACGGGGGTAACTAGGCTAAATGTCTTTTCCTTGACAGGGAGTAACTAAGGCCCAAACGTTCTCCTTGACGGGGGTAACTAGGTCCAAACGTTCTCCTTGACGGGGGTAACTAGGTCCAAACGTTCTTCTTGACGGGGGTAACTAGGTCCAAACGTTCTTCTTGACGGGGGGATCTAGACCAAAACGTTCACATCATCACCCATGACGGGAAGTAACTACACCAAAACGTTCTCACCTTGACACTGTGTAATAGAGACAGGGGTTTCCTTCCTCACATTGAACTGTAAATATTTAGGTTAAGGAAGAAATTATAAATGAGTTTTGTAATAGTTCCCTAGTTTAATGAGAGAGAGATTTACAAAGCCAAATAATGGACAGGAATTATACTAAGTCAAGGTCACCTCTACTGTCAACTTCACCACAATTACCACAACTACTACCATTACCATCACCTCCATCACTACTACCAATACAACCTTCAATACCACTATCATTACCACCAATACTACTATTACAACTGCCACACCGTACTCATGACGTTGACATCTTCATCAAGGAATAATAATAATAATAATAATAATAATAATAATAATAATAATAATAAGAAGAAGAAGAAGAAGAAAAAGAAGAAGAAGAAGAAGAAGAAGAAGAAGAAGAGTTGGAGGAGGAGGAGGAGGAGGTAGAAGAGGAGGGACGTGTTCATTATAAGAAGGAAATATCTTTTTTTATTATGTGTGGGGGTCGACCTCCACACAATGGAGTGGGTGTTGCTCTCTCTCTCTCTCTCTCTCTCTCTCTCTCTCTCTCTCTCTCTCAGACAGACAGCAAAGGGTGGACATAAAAGGAGTACATTCAGAATAGAAAATGGTTCTCAGTGGAGTACCACAAGACTCTAACCTCGGACCCATCAAGTTTATCATCTACATAAACGACACAGATGAAAATATATAGAGCCACATTGTCAAGTTTGTGGACGACACGAAAATATTTGGAGGTAGTAAGTCAAGATAATGTTACAACAATGCAAGAAAGGCCTGCATGAGCTGTTCAAACGGTCTCGACAGTGGCAAACGCTCTTTAGCATATTAAAATGTAAGACTGCACGTAGGATACAACAACCCCGATCACATCTGTTCTGCTAATAACCCTTTAATGGATACAGTCGATAAGTAGAAAGTTCTTGGCGTTGATAGATCAGTCACTGAAGGCGGCGCAACAAGTGGTGGCCCCAGCAGTAAGAAAAGCAAACCGAGACTTGGAATTATAAAGCGTTCCTCAGAATACAGAGATAATAAAATTACTGTTTACGGGCATAGACACTTTACCTCCAGAAAGACTTATCGTTAGAGAAAGTATAAAATAACGAGCTATACACCATCTCGATTATTCACATAGACTAAAGACCTTAGGAATAACAACTCTTTAGATAAGACACAATTGGGCAGATATCATAGAGGCATTCAAAATATTTAAAGGGATGGGAAACGTGATGTCATGCACCACCAGCACGAGAGGCCATAACTTTAAGCTCGCCAAGTTATCATGCAGAACAAACATAAGGAAATAATTCTTCACACAGAGGCCAGCAGACATACAGAACGGTCTACCAGCTCAATCTGTGTAATAGAGAACAGTACTGGGCTTCAAGATAGACCTAGAGAACACAATCAAGAACACGGGAAGGATCCTACACAGACCAATGGCCTCCTTCCCTCGATATGGCCACCTCTAGTTGGATGGCCATTGGGTAAATAACGTAAATAAAGTTCAACAGGAATAAATTACTGATAATATGTCTTACACATAACAAATTTAACTAAAATAATTACCATTCTCTCTGGCATTGTCAAACCATAGCGAACCGAGGTATAGTATAATGGGTGAGCAGACGGTTAGCGCCAAAAGAATTTATCATCAAACTGAAATAAAAAATGAAATACAGTAAAAGTTTACTTACCCTACACGGACGTCACAGTTGAGCTCCGTGAGGTTGACAGTCCTGGTTTGTGAGGTTGGTCAGCCTGGCGTGGGTAGAGTGACCAACATTCACTAAAACATTTACTAGTGTCAAAAACCAACACATAACATCCAAAAAAAGTTTCTTAACACTTTTCGAATGGTAATTTTATTTTCAAACGTTCACTCCTGTCAACAAAACAATACTCTCCCTAAAATCCAATTATAATCAACAGAAGAATTTCCATTATATCTACAAAATGTAAATATACTCTTTATATTTTACTTTCATGCGATATATTCATAAACTTTTCATATATATATATATTGGATTCTGTTATCTTAGTTATGCTCTTAAGTATTTATTGTTGTTTTTTTTTTAATTACAGATACGATATTGTCATTGTCTTATTAGTTATTCCCATTTTGATGAGTTAGAACTTCTTAAGCTGATAACTACTGAAAAAGACAGAATTTGCCCTAATTAATACCCTAACCCATACCTGAAACTTAACCTAACTTGACCACATGGAACTTAAAACTTAATCGATTGAACTCAACCTAACTCAAGCAAATGTAACTAAATAGTACTAACTTAACCTAACATAACTAAACCAAACTAGCTCAAAATGGAACAAAGATTAACTCAACCAGATGTAACTAAACCAAAACTACCATACTCTAACATAGACCCAAATGGAAATTAACCTAACTAAACCAACCGTAACTTAAAACACCAGAGTCAAATATCAGTAAAATATCCTTTAACTTAACAAAACACAACTCGAATATTTTATAACAACCAGAAGACGTCAATCTAAATTTCCAGGACCATGCAATTGTCACTTTCCTTAAGGCACCGCTACTGTACCAATAAAGGCTGTTTTACTAGTCACATCAATAAAGTTTCTTTTTTTCTGGGTGTATTAAGACTGCCATCTAGTGAGTGTGTTATTCTGAATTGATGTCTATGTTGCAAATGAGATGTTTATGGTTATAATGTCATCATGTAATAATAATAATGATGAAAACAGAATAATGATGATGATAATAATAATGAAAATAATAATAATAATAATAATAATAATAATAATAATAATAATAATAATAACAATAATAATATTAATAATAGCAGTAGTGGTAGTAATAAGAAATAATAACATTGAACATATCACATTGAGAACACGAGATATAAAAACATAAAAATGAACATAACACAATGAATACAACACGTAATGAACACAAGAACACAATGAATACAACACGTAATGAACACAAGAACACAATGAATACAACATACCATCAACACACCACACGTCACGACGAAAAATCCATACACCGTGATCACTGAACACGACACACAGTGAACATGGAACACGACTGAGACACACACGCCACCACAACAACACACACACACAATATAGACCACATCAACCTCACTGCCAGTACAGGTTCAACACACTCCCCCACTACCTACCCAAGATCCTGCACTGCCCACACACAACCTCAACTTCCCTACATCTCATGTAGTTACCATATGGAAGAGCCAATTACCATGAAATTACGTAAATAGGGAATGTTACGGGAGCAATTAATCACACTAGCTTCCTCTGGCACCAATCTGTTGACACTGTGGAGGAATGCCAGTGTGCGCCTGCCTAGAAGTTGGCACAGGCGCGCTGGGTGACGTCTGCCATTGAAAACGTCTCTGATCAATGAAGACTCGTAGAAAACTTAAAGCCGTGACTCAAGTAATATTATACTGAGACTGATGTTACTAGTTTCTATTGTAAATCTAATGTCCTCAAGCCCGGGCCCACTTCCCTCTTTAACTATTATATCATGTTGTAAATCCATCCCCTCCCTCTCACCATCATCTACCACTCAAATGACACACAGTGACTCGCCTTGTCACCTTTACCACCAATAACTTTGACATTCAGTGCAGTACCGGTTTTATTTCAGCCGTCCCGCTGCGGGCCCACACACTGCTATTTTTTACTCTAAACTGGTTGAAGGCATCACCAGTGTGGTCACTTTCCCACTTATTAGTCATAATTTTTCCTGCTTGGTGTAGAGTGGTATTTCCCGCGCATTATGGGCGCCAACACAGCGAAGTTGACATACAACATTTTACACTTGAAATGTCGATGAAAGAGGAGTTTAAATCTACTTTTTGAGAAGAAGTTGATTAAATTAATACACTAGAAGATATGTAAATATAATGAATGGGCTATTTACCTTGTATGTCTCGAATACTGAAAAGAATTGGCAGGACCTCTTAACTGTTAACACTTAAAAAAATCACGTTAATCTGTGACGTCACACGCGATATGGGCAGTACAGTATTACACGAGAACACAAGACGATAAGATGCATCATAACAGTTTAAATAATTCAGATATATTCTGTTATCCAATAAAATGACTAGTGGTATTGATATAGATAGCATAAACAGCACTTAATCAGCATTGATGTAAGAGTGCTGAGACTATCGTACTCTTGTACCCATAAATAATGTAACTTAGTCGTGTCCTCAGGTGAACGTTTATTACTCTATACAAGGTGATACTCAAAGCTTTACAGGCCTCTGAAAGAACAGAGAATATAACAATTCATGCTAGGTGAAAAATAGACGACAGTGCTGAGATGTTACTGAAATTACAGACAGTGCATAATAAAATGTCATGAATGTTCACAGTAAAGAATCCCAGTATAAGTTCATGTGATTGGAGTATAGTGTGTATTCTTATATTAAAGGTCAGGCCCCTCTGTGATAATAGGTATTATATAATTAAGGGACTCATTGATGGTGGCGGGGGGGAGGGGGAGGGAAGGCCCGCGGACCAGTACTAGGACTTTTTAAGACATTCAAGGATGCAGTTAAGAAGGTTATGAGAGTTGACTGTTAACTACATTATATTATACTGTTATATCTGTTACAATTAACAGCGGAGTTTACCTGCACAATATTTTGTTACTTTATCATGCCTCTAGATTAAGATCATTAAGTAAATTAATCTAAGAATTAATATCCACTGGCAATAGGTGATTTATTCCACGCCACTGATATTTAATCGCTTATACATTATAATATTAAAACAAAGAATAAACGATTTAGGGAAAAAAATAATAAAGATAATAATTTAGCCCACGTTATCAGCTGATGAGGTAAACAAGGGAGATCTGTAACCAAGCGCCCGGCACGTGAAGAATTAATAGGTAATTTATGCCCGTGTTTAGTGATATTTTAAGGTATAAACATATCTAGACATTCATAAATAATCGAGGAATATTTGTAAGTGTTAATTACTTTCAGAGATAATTCAGTTTTAATGTGTCGAAGAGGAATTGCTGAGACGGCGGTGTTTGCATACTTACTGTGTTATGTATGAGTTATAACGCATTTTGGTGATGTATGAGTTATAATGCATTTTGGTGTTAGGTATCGAGTCACTAAGCCACACCAATACTCAAATTAATCTCACCTGATAATACACCAGGATTAAGAATTAAGAGAGGGGTCGCCACTTTATTTACTGGGATCTAGAGGGTAATAGTGGTGTTTTTTTTTTATTGTGTAGAAGAAAAAAAAATAATCTTCAGAAAATCACCCGATAATCATATATAATGAGGGTAGCTGTCTCTTATGTTGACTGGGTGTGTCATAAGCACTAAACCACTAACAAAAATTGATTAGGGAGATTATGATCCAATGAGAGGATTGTCTGCCCGTTGAGCATTTGATCATTAAATGTGAAATAATGGGAAACTGTGGTGGATTATATGTGAAAAGTTTAATGTCTTCTTACCGTTAATATTTTGTTGTACTGTATATAAAAAAATTACAAGAGATTATGGATTCCCCAATGTATGTATTTAAAGAGATTGCATAATTATAATCTTCACGGTACAGTATTGTCTAAAGGAGTCCCATAAGCTACAGGAGTGATTTATGGCGACTCAGATTAAAAAACAGTTAAATCCAAGACACATTAAGCTGGTAATAGAGATGAAACACAAGGAGGCTGCTCATGTTGTATGAATGACAGGAATGGAGTAAAAAAATGAAAAATATTGAATTGACTCTGAAAAAAGACATTGAAGCGTACGTGGACTCGAAGCTGACCTTTGAAGTGCTCATGGAAGACTAAGGTAAACATGGCCCATAGGATTATGGGAACCAACTGAAGAACATACACACACTTGGATCAAGAAGGTTAATTGATACTCTTTAAAACTATCTGGTGCCCCGACAAGATGTGATAATGGTAGAAGCGTATAGTGGATGGCTACTAGACTGATTAGAAGTATCAAGGAGAGGACGTTTATAAGATTATGAATGGCCATTATGACAAGGAAGTGAGCGATGTTCTGAAGTGGAGTGAAAGTGTACAGTAGCTACACGAGGACATGCTGTAAGGAAGGAGTGGCGGAGAATCAACCTCGGGCAGTATACGTTACACAGATGTTTATGGACACGTGGAGAACATCATAAGTATTGTACAGCATCCTGCCAAGTCTATGAGTGCCACCTAAATAAACTTTGGAGCAATCAGCCTGTGTTAAGAGATTTTGAAGCCAAGGTCATTGGGAATAGATACCGTATCAACTTGACAGCAGTGATCTTGATATAGAGGTATCTGTCTTAGTCCAGTAACCCTACCTAAACACAGTACTGTACAGGTATACCAAAGTGAAAATAGGTGATGCAGCTAAACCAAATTTTGTCCACCATGCTTACCCAGAACCATTTCATTAGATGTAGTTGTTTATGCAGTAACTAATACAGTAAAGGTGGACATTCATGAGAAGTTTGTAAAATTTGTTGGGTAATTTTGAAGTTTGTTTTCACGACCTTTAATAATTGTTTTGGGGATTTTCAATAAAATCTTTGTTTATATACATAAACTGCAAATGTAGTGGAAAAGCAAGGAATTTTTTTTAAATCTAGTTGGGTAACAAGAAGGCTATGGCCTCTGTGCCTCCAGGTCAACAGCAGTTTAAAGGCCATCAGTGAGCTGAGAAAGACAATTCAGTGAGCTTGTTTTTATTCTCAGAATAGTGATAAATCATATGAGGATGCTGCCTCCTTGATGCTTCATATGTACTGTAATTTCCAAGTTGTCTGTTCCTTGATCTGCCATGGATAAGAATTATTTGCATTATAATAGATGTTTTTGAGACTATGCCAGTTTAAGTGAACCAGTGTTAATGGCACAAAATAATCTGCAGTATTACTGTTTTATGAATTTACTTTCTAAAAAATTATACTGTACCTGTATTAGAATTTTGTTGGACTTTACAAAACGTTAAATTTGAATCAAATTTAATACTGGTGTTGTTATGCATGCCCTCTAAACAATAGAGTGACATACAGTATTAATATTATGTCAAGTGTTGTCAGGTGTATACTATAGTAGTGTGATCAACCTGCCAATTTTTCTGTACAGTTTTTTATATATGCGATGGTTCACATTACCAGGACAGATCTTGTGGTAGATGTACCAGGGAGCTATACTGTATATTGTGTGTTTATATAGAGTTTGATTCTTTATGAGGTTAGAGCTATGAAAACGTGAATTATTTATATAAAATCGTACAGTAATAATGAATAAATAAAAACAAACTTGGGCTAGCCCACCTTCAGCACGTTTACACATGGTGTCATCTCTTGTACCTATTAGCTCTTGTTAGGCTTTTATCAAATCTGATTAGACCACTGTACAGTTCCACATTAAAGACTACACTACAGTATATACAGTATTTAATAATAAATAAGGGAATATATTTAAACAAAAAAAATTAATGAACTGTACTACTGTACAGTATATTACTAATGGTACAGACTTATAATGTCCAATAATTAAAATGACTAAATTTGGGGTTATATAAGCAGACGATTACTAAATAAATGCTATACTGCTACCTGCGCTACCCATGGATTTTCATGGAAGCTATAACTTTGGTCACATTTCAACCAATCGCGTAAGGGATAACAGCGCACGCGAGACCCATGTAAAATGAAGCCCCACTGTACAGTTATAAACACAAACACATATTGAAGTTAACAAATTACAACATAAAATAATCTCTTGTGTATTAAGTTGTTTATCTTTAGAAATAGTTTTCTAAATGTATTTAATCTGAAACCTAATTTCAGGTTCCTGCTTAATCGTGGAGCAGGTGTGAGTGAGCCAGCATGACTCAGAGTGCAGTGAACGGTACATCATCCATCAACAGCGTGGAGGATGAATTCAGGTGAAACATGAGAGAACTTGTTACTCTTTAGCCTACAGTACCTTTCTTCACTCTTTTAATGTCTTGAAATTATAAAAAAAAATTGTTAGAGGTAGGTGGGTATTGTTTGATTACCTCAGGGAGTAGTGACCCTGCCATGCCCAGTACCCACAATGTAAAAATGGGTTGGTGACAAGAAGGGCAGCCAACCATAAATTTTGCTTCAAATTTACATGATGGCAACTTGGACACCATGCCACCAGGTAATCATGGTTAATCCATGCAAGTGTGTAAAGTGGCCATAAAATGGTGGTGATGATGATTGAAGTAGAATGCGAGACAGGGCTTGAAGGAGGAGTTACCCTCTGTTTAAGAATGTAGAACAAAAGTTTAGCCATGTTGATAGATCAGACTTTGAGTTTGAGGGAGAATACATGAACTGTGCTTATTGATGAAAGGGCTGAGAGTCACAGTGCAGGGTGTAGTTGTGGGTCATCTCTTGATTTTGACATTAATGAAAATACTAAAGAAATGTGTAGTGAATAATTGGTCCAGAGGTTTATTTAGCTTTGTTTGTGTGTACAGTATACAACATATCACGGGAAAGATGGGTTTAAGACTTCAAGATACTCTGTGTAATTTTTTTAGGGGGCTATCTGTACAGTGGTTCATACAGTAGTGTAATTTGTGCTGATTTAATACAGGTAAATACTTGAGTGTATACATCCATATCTCTGGATCTACAGCATTGATTGATTGATATTGTATTGAACATAGACAAAAGTACTGCAATAAAATCCTCCCATTTCGATAATTTTTTGCCTGACAGTACTATGAGGGCCCACAATATGAGGGGCCCATTGGTGTATTGCACCCATTAAATCTGCATTAAACACAACTCTCTCATTGTACAGTATTACAGTACAGTACTTTCTAACACATAGCAGTGTGGGCCTTTTGTCACACCTTCAGTAGGTCTGTCCATTTTGCAGTATACATCTTATGTCCCAAGAAAGACATATAGTACAATACAGGAGGTCTTCATAGTCTGAGGCTAATGTATTGACACTTAAATGAATCCACTTAAAGCAGGGAATTTCTGGCCATAAGAAATAACGGGAAGAGGGTTTGATTGAGACCAAAAGATATTAGAGACGCTCGTAAGGATTATTTTTATTCTTTTTTATCATTTTATACCGGTACTCTGTAATCTGAAGAGCAAGTGAGGTGTCTATCATAGGTTCACCACTTTTTTATTTGCTGAATAACATCTTATTTCACGTCCAGTCTATAGTTGCTGCGCTTCCTTTTAGAGATGACACTTTGTTTACCAACGATCTTTGAATTATGTACACACAAAAAAAATAGAAAACCATGGGAGGTTAGACACCGTTTATGGTGGGCGAACGTGAGTACTGTACTTGTATGGGGGATGAGTGTGGTGGGTGTCGGGGGAAGTTCACCGATATAACGGGAGATTTGAATCATTCTCTGCTGAGACTAACACGCTCCGTGGATATTATTCCTTGTAACTGAAGGGACTTTTTACGAATAGTTTAGCAATAATTTGGCCTCGTAATTATGAAACTACGGATATCACTGACTTGGGTAACGAGGATCCTTGTATTTACTCTCACCTTACACAAGTTCACTTTATGTCTCACATCCATTGTTTCTTCATGACCACATACTGTACCAGCTCTGTATGTCATCTTAAGTATTATAGTCTCATTTCCTCCTCTCAGAATATCATTTTCTCTTTTACAGTTTGTTATTCCTGAATGCTTCATTTATTTAAACACATTATTGATTCATTATGATATTATTTTGAGGTCATTTTACATAGTTTACCTTAATTTGCTTTATGATGTACATTTACCCTCACTTTTATAATACTGTACTGTGTATTTTTTCATCAGGTTCTCTACAGACCTCAGTCTAGAAGACATTCGCTCTGATCAACATAAGTTTTGTGAGGAGCGTAACTGGTTACAGCACCACCCTCCTCGTAATGTTCTGCTGGCCATGGTGGGGGAAGTTGGAGAACTGTCTGAGCTCTTCCAGTGGCGTGGTGAGGTATGTTCCTCTTGACTTGTCTTTGTTCGGATCACAGCCTTGCCCCTCCTTGCCTCCCCCATAATACCACCATGCTGGAGGAGTTGGGGGACAAATCTTCAGGTGATCCTTTTATTCCTCTATAGATTTAGTTTAAATGATATCAGAGATATTGATAAAGAACATCCTTTTATAGGAATGAGGAGTTAGCACTGAAAGTTCATAACAAAACTCAGATCACATGAAGATTACTGCAACCTCCCAGCATATTTCACCTAATGATTAGACACCCTCATGATACCTGGGGTTTAGCTTTAGGTTAGGTTACATAGGTATTTTAGCTGTGATAGTTTCTACTCTCGCTTTGAGACAAAGTATCCTGCCACTAGGGTGGTTCAAATCTCTTGGTGGTAAGCTTAGGCAGGAAATATTCTCCTGAATTATCTTGTAGGTCACTTGTCTCTTACTCTTCACTGTAAAGTGGGAGTCAATGTTTTGATCTTACAATAGTGATGTTGTTTGTACTGTTATTGTCCATTGATACTCAGGTAACAAGAGGACTGCCAGAGTTCACATCTCCTGAGAAGGTGCGAGTGGGAGAAGAGTTGAGCGACGTGTTGATCTACCTAGTGGACCTTGCAGAACAGTGCCACATTGACCTCCCAACAGCTGTTAGAGACAAAATGAAGAAAAATGCCCTCAAATACCCAGTCCAGAGGGTGAGCGGGAAAACTGATAAGTACAGCAGTTATCCCGAAAGCAAGCAAGAGACGAGTGATGTGGGGGACATACAGCGGGAGAGGGAGGAAGCAGACGGCAGCGAATAACTCACTCTTTGAATTTGCATTATCACTCATTTGTCTAGATTCTCATTAGTTTATAATTTTTACACATGTATTTTTTTACTTTCTTTCATAAGGTTAAGTGTGTAAGATAAGCAAAATATGAAAGCCTGAACAAAACGAATGGATGACATGTTGTAAGTGTAGGAGTGGTTAGTTGTGGTGTCTACTGAAGTAATCCTCATCACTTATTACCTCACTACATTATATATAAGCTGATGGGTTGTATGTTTTGAGGTGGAGGAAGGTGAAGACGTAAAAGGTCAGTAACGAATCTTAAAGAATACACAGAGCATTTCTTTGTCATTCATACAAGTCTTGAAGAAGCTCTTTTTTTTTTCCCTGCTAATGATACAGATTGATTGGACAGGTGATGATCTTCATAGCACTCAGTAGCTAGTGGGTTACACCACCCCCTTGGTAGGTTGCTGAGCCTCTGAAGGGTTGTTCCACCATCATGCATGATAGTGTACTGTACTCATTTATGGTATTGCTAAGTGTACAAAGGCTGGCCCTGTGTACATGCAGGAGTGTACTGTACTAATTTAACACAAAATGCACAAAGGCCCCTGTACAAAGAAGAACCGTATCCCAGTTCTCCTCTCAGGTGGTCAGAAATCAAAACCATTATCATAACCCACTAGGCACTTGCTGTACCAACTGAGGTTTGTGCATTATAGTACACGTATCTTTATTTCCTTTCAATGTTTTAGGCATGGATGCAAGAACTTCACCTCCTTATACACTCGCTCCAAAGAGTATCATTGCGATTTTCTGTTAGACAATATGACACAATGGATGAAGGATTTTGACAACCCTATCGAGATAACAGTAGTCGCGGTGTTCATTTTGAAATTCATTGGACCCCTCCGTAAAGATTCTTTTTTGGAGCGAATGTATACATACATACTCATACATTCCTTAAAGATAAATAATGTAACCTAGCTATTTTCCTGTGTTGATTTATTGAAATTTCATGAGTATTGTGCTTTGATGCTTTATATTGTATTACAGGTAATCTAAATAGGAATAATACTATATCCTGATTTTTTTTAGATATGTCGGTCAGTAGAAATGTGAATTACCTTCAAGTGATAAAATTTGACTATATAAAGTTCAGAGTATCACTGGAGGGGAAATAGTTCACAAGTTTAAGAGTTAATCTTGGTTGTGGGATTATGAAGAGCAAAAGGGGGATTGAACAAAGGTGTTAATTGAGGGGGGGAAAAACATAGTTGCAGAAATTAAAGTTGTGATAGTTCAAGATTTTATCATGTTAGGGTTTAGATAAATGGACAGTATGGACACAACAAAATGAAATGATCTTTTAATAATAATTTAAATCATGAGGGAAGATCAGCCTTTGTAAAACGGCTAATTCGATGAAAGAAGTGTTTGTGAGAAGTCCTCCTAATATGGGCAGTTGGCTCTTAAGATATTTAGTGAGGGATGATAGCAATAATTTGTTTCTTTCGTATTGTTTCCTGTAACAATGGCAGCTCCTGAGGTGGGTAGAATTGTGTTAATCAACTACCCACGACAATATTTGGCTTCCTGTGATCTTAGGTAATACCGTACCTCATCTATCACATGTGTTGGATTTTTTTAATTGACTACCAAATTATTGTCTTTCGATAACCTGTGCTGTAGTGTGTGTTTGCTCATTGTATAGAGTCAGAGTTTTCATTTGGATCTCTGCTCACAACACTGAATGCTTCCTTTAACATCTACAGTAGGTGAATTCAGTTGGGTTTTAGAAACAAAATTTTAATTTACAAGTAACAAAAATTTTATTAACCAAGCCAAAATTAGTTTCATAAGATGTTGTGGTTTTATTTCATTGCTGAGAATATTTATATTTATCACATCTACCACTTATCAGTTTACTAATCCTTTAGGCAGTCAGTTGTTCTTTGTTACTTTGTTTTGACTTTCATTGTCTGGTGTTAGTGCAGGAGGAAACCAGAGTGCCCAGAGAAAACTTGCCGTGGTTGGTAGTATCACCCTGGATAACACCCGTTATTGTAATATTTTCTTTTTGTTTACTGGCTTTTAGTTAGTTAACAGCAGCCCATTCACTTCCAGCCTCTTCATTGCCCGTTTGGCCAAAGTTTAAGTGACTAAAATTATAAACAACCACCACCTTTGGGTCTGCTGCCTAACCTAGATATTTAGTGAAAATCTTAGAGGAAATAAATTTTCTTGCTTTAGCATTTACAGAGAAAACTGTGTGTGTTTACATTCAGTTAAATCTAATATGCACAGTAAAAAAAGAGTTTATCAAGTGTAATAAAGTCATAGACAAAAATAGAGCTTAATCAGTGGTGCTAATTAGTGGCAAGAACACATTAGACTTTGAAATATATCATTGTTTGAAGATATTCTCTCACTTAAAAAGCCAAACCAAAGTGATGTTGTGTGTGTATAGTATTGTGTCCTATCAGCCTTAATCTGTTCCCAAAGAAACTGACATCAGTTCTTGGATCTTAACTCACACTGAGTAGAAACCTTTGTATCATATGTTGAAGTTTTTGTTTTCCCCCAGAGCTGATGACCACAAACTTGGTATACTGTAATATGTATTCCATTAAGCCTCAGAATGTCATATTAGGATTAGTATTGTACCCTGTAAGCGAAGTGCCAAGTCACTGATGTTGTGAAGAATGGACCAGTCACTTGGTAGAGTGAAGTATTGTGCTGACACCCATCAGGAATAATGGATTAAAACTGCCATGACGATGCTGTTGACTATAAGACTGGTCACAGAGGTAGACTAGCCATAGGCACACTATCCATAGACAGAGGCTAGCAACAAAGGCAGGCTAGCCATAGGCAGGCTGGCCACAGAGGCAAACAAGCAGGTATGCTGGTCAGGGGGAGGCTAACTATAAGTAGGCAGGCTGGTCATAGAAGCAGGTTAGCCATGGGTGGGCAGGCTGGCCAAAGAATGATTCATAATTCTCCACTGCCTGAAATATATTTCTTACATTGCCATGTGTATTATTGATGTACAGTACTGTATAGCTGATGAATCATAATCATACTTCAATGTTGGCATCAAGATTGTAAATTATGAATAATTCATTTATTTTCCATTTACTAACAACGCATTACTTCGAATATAAACTTGCCCTTCCATAACACTTCATATCTGTACTGATGAACTTTAAGTGGAAAATATGAATGACTTGTAAATATAGTGAAAATTTAGTATCCAATTGTATGGTTGAAACTAATGAATGGCATATTGAGGTGGGAGGTAAACAATGCCCATACCATCGTGTGTGACCGAGGGACCACGCTCACATCAATAAAATATTAATTCTAACTTTCCTCTCCTTATTACCAAATCTGCAGTGCTCCAGGTAGGTCAGTGTAAGGAACAATCTTCTTTGTCAAAATAACTGAGCTGGTAACTTAATGTGGGAATTTTTTTCTCAAGAATACATCTCCACATTAGTGAGAGGTAACTTTATATTAAGGATGTTTGTGAACTGTTAAGTTACTGATTGAGTCATTACTTTTAATGTAAGTCAAGTTCTTTGAGGCCTTTGAGCTGTACTCTTACTGTCTGTACTAATGTGTATTTTAGTTACCTAATTGAACTGAGGGTTTTTTTGTTAATTTTGTATTGGGTAAAATTTTTCTTACATTTTCTTAGATTGGAATTTATGTTGTAATTGTGTCCTACATTATGTTATTAGTGTTACAGTGTGTGGGTAGACCTTCACCAAGACACTGGTTAACATTGATATTTGTCACTTTTTTTAATATTTAATCATTAAATATCCATTTCAATGTATACTAATGAATAAGTTCATTGATTATTTTGTGAAGTAATTGTTGGCCATGAAAGGTATTTAGAGTTGAGGTGTGAGGTGTCCTTGGTGGCACCAGTACTGTACACCACCTGAACCCGTGCACCTCCACTGGTCAGCTGCATCTTCATCAAAAAAAGAGTTATTTTATGGCATGTTTGAGCTATGCATATCCATATAGTAATAAAGATGAACTTCGTAAATAAATACAATAAACTCTTAAAATAAACTTGTATTTTATTGCTTTCAAATTATTTCCAATTACAAATATGTTTCTGATGTTCACTCTCAACAAAAGACAAGAGAACATTGAAAATTATTAAATAATGACTGAACATGAACATACCTAGTAGAGTACACAACTGCCAACTCTAAAAAAACTAAGTTAATTTATTGATTTTAGATGCACCTTTCAGCTCAACAATTACCAATCCTCACTGACGGATGATCATTTTCTATAGTCCATAATAACCAGTTCTATGTCTCCACACTGCATGACCTGTTCCATGTCCACCTCTTGTGTTAGTTCAACCTTGTGTGGTCTTTCCTCTCTTACTGTCTTCCATAAAGCATCCCCAGCCTGCATGGTCTCTGATGTACTGATAGACTAGATAAATTACCTGCAGGTCATATAGGATACATTACCAATGCACATTTGACCTGACCTTACTTGACTACACCCCCCCCCAAGCTACCTGGGGTGGTGATTCTTCATGTATTCTTATGTATTTACCTATATGTTAGGACAGGTGAATGGTTTCATTAATATTTACTTATAAAATGATATAGGAATAGCTGGTGCTGGGATGAGATCAGTATACACATAATAAAATAGATAGTTCTCCGTGACTTAGGCATGAGTTCACTGCCTTATCATGTCTTCCAAATCTTAAGTAGACAAAATTTAAACATTGATAAGCGACATTCTTGAGCAGTCGTTAGGTGAGGTGTGGTCGTTTGGTTGTTTACTCAAATCATCATCTAATAACGAGAAGAAAGCATTGTGGATTTTAGTGTTGATAATAAATCGAAGAAATCTATTAACATGTCATATTTGTTTTGTTCTTGATCCCCTTTAATGTCATGTCCGGTTTACAGTGAGACCTGGCATACCGGACCGTACATTGCACTCTGGTAAGGCAACAAATATATTTAGGAAGGCTTATTTATGTCTTTTTTATATCAGTTTTATGAATTTTGTCGCCTTAAGAAAACATTTATTTTCCTTTTAAACAGATGAACAGATGAGATAGGAAGAGTACAAGTAAGTGAACTTTTCATTTAAAGATTGCACAAAAAATATCTTTAAATGCCACACATAAGATTTGGAAAATAAATAACATACCTTCATATAATTTATTAATTTTAGTGAAATTTTAGTAGTCAAGAGATTTATATACACCACAAAAAGGTCATTTTACATAAATTTTCAGCAACAATGTGTGTTTAAAACTCGGCGAGCGTCGACCAATCAGCGGCCAGCAGGACGGTTTAAACCTCCAGACGTACACATTCAAAGAGGCGGCGAGGGAGACGACCCACCTAGTCTTCCGTTTTACCATCTCTCTCCTTTATTCAACACCTCCTCCACCATTTACTACCCTCTGCTGTTCCGTGTGATAGTGAAGGAGGTGTTCGTGAGGGGAGTTAAGGGTTCGTAAGTATATTATGACCGCCATAAGTGATTTTCTCTGCCGCCTCGTGATGGTCGGTGGAGGACCTCCGGGAAAAAACATTTAAATACTTGTTTAGTAATAATGGTCGATATATTCCTTGTTAGGTGAGGTAAGCTCTTATTCTGATATTTAATCAGTACAAATTCCATCATTCAAGTTCACATTTTGGTTCATCATGTGTGTAAACAATGTAGACAAAATGGTAAACTAAATGTTTAAAATCTTCGTGATTTTGAAGTAATTCCATTATATGTGTCGATATTATCACAACAGTATTAACGAACTTGTTGGAAGACTTCAAAAGCTGGTTAAATATTTTACAGGTGGTCATAGGATGTCTGTAGGACCTATAGTCTGGGTAAACTAAAGTGAACTTATATGATACTTTTACTGTGTTTATATTTCTGTATTTGTATGTCTATATTACAGTATATTTACTGTATAAAAAGTTTAATATTTTCATCACTCATCAGTATGGGCCAATAGGCCTGCTGCAGTTTCCTCCATTCTTATGTTCACAGCGCCCACACACACATTATGATAGTTTTGTACAGTTGTTCAAGAAATTATCTTTATAAAATTAAGACAATGACAACGGATGAAGGATTATGGAAACCCTACAGACACTATGAGTCCAGTGTTCTTTCTGAAATTCATCGACTCCACAAGTACATTACCAAGTGCTTGATGTAATTCAGTATTACATAAATATGGCTATGCAATATATGTACCTTTAAGGGCAGGTATAATGTGTCTATGGAAGCCTGCAGTAGGGAGTCATCGAGGGTCACATAAGGTTACTTAACTAATTTACCTGCATGTATAATGTAGGTGTTTTGCTTTAGTGTGTTAATTGTTACACGTTTCTCCACCTGTTGAGTAGTTAGTGACAAAACAACACATCAAAATAAGGGTAACCCATCAAGACTCCTCGGGGTTACTTTTCATAAAGGCTTTGTGGCCACATGGTGTTAGGGTAGAGTATGAGAGACTTCAGTTAAAACCAGAGGTATTACCCAATCCCATTAAAGTCTGGCTTGGGTGAGTGACGGTTTGTTTTTAAATCAAGAGCCAAAGGTACATGAACACAAGAACACAAGAATGGAGGAAACTGCAGCGGGCCTATTGGCCCATACTGGGCAGTTCCGTTTACACCCAACCCCTATTGCTCATATGAGCATCCAACCTATGTTTGAAGCAATTCAGCGAATTCGAGTTAATGATGATATTTGGTAACTTGTTCCATTCATCAACTACTCTGTTTCCAAACCAGTGTTTACCTATTTCACGCCTAAATCTAAATTTGTCTAATTTAAAACCATTGTTACGAGTTCGCTCCTGGTTGGATTTTGAGTACCTTTGTAATGTCCCCTTTGTTTAGCCCTGCCTTCCACTTATACACCTCTATCAGGTCGCCCCTCGCTCTACGTCTCTCGAGGGAGTGCAAATTAAGATGCTTTAACCTGTCTCTGTATTCAAGGTTCCTAATGCCCGGGATTAGTCTTGTCATTCTCCTCTGAATTCTTTCCAAGGATTCTATATCCATTCTGTAATACGGTGACCAGAACTGAACTGCGTAATCCAGGTGTGGTCTCACAAGAGCAAGATACAGTTTTAGGTGTCAAAGTAGGGGTATTATCATTCAGTTAAATTAAACTAATGATTACAGTGTGACAGGTACTTCACTTCATTTCACTTTGGCTGCTGATTTTTGGGTGCAGGACAACTCGTACCCAGGCGAGTCATACCCAGTGGAACCTGTCAAGTCTTACCCATTTATGTGAGATGTTGGTTGTATACCTGTATACCCTTTGGATCTTTGCCTGATATGAATAGTAGATGATTATATTTAACATATCGGTAATTGGGTGATCTTTTAAATACTGTACTGTAAAAGTAAAGGTCCCAAGATACTTCCCTGTGGAATTCCACATTATCAACAACAGTGCTGACTGTCATTGGCATTTTGTTTTTGGTTTTTCCTATTATGGCCATTTATTAGATATCAGAGGTTACTTCGTTGAATTGTCGCTATGACTGCCAGTTAAAATTACATGGTATGGTCTTTTTTTTTCCATTTAGTAAGTTGTGTGTTGCTTGCAAGAAGAGCATTAGTGTATTTTATTTGTATACCCTTTTGCAGAATAGCAGAGTCTGGCAGTGGAAATGCAGACCAACAAAGAAAACAATGCAGGTGGTGTGGTGGCCAGCAGTGCACCACAACGAGCACCGCTGAAGGAAACCACCAAATCCAATGTTGTTAATGAAGCAGATGGTCTTCACAAAGACAGTGTCAACTCTGACAGCTTAGAGTAAGATGCACTAATTTTTTATTCTCTTTAAGGGTCAACAATACCCATATTCTGTATTCACAGAGCATACCCCGCTTATTCACAAAGTGAATTAGAAAAACAATATCCTTGGAGATGGAGAGCATGGGTGTGAACGTGTGTGTGTCTCTATTTTGCCAAGTTAGACTGATTCTGTAGCTACACCCCCTACCAAGCCAAGCTGTGTTATTGTTATTTTCCACCTCGTAATTTTGGGCAGTGTGTGCTCCCAAAAATAAAAGAAATGGTTATCGTAGGTCAAAACCATAAATGGAATAAACATTTCTTACCTGCACAGCAGTTAATGCACAGAGCGTGAGAGCTGGAAGGAGCAACGTTGTGGATCTCGGCCACTTTAGTGTCGTGTAGTGAAACTACTGCCAACTGGCGATGTGGTATTTTTCTCATATTTTATTTATTGGTATAATTCTTATTTATTCCTCACTAACTGGTACTACAGTACTGTATACACTTGGCCCAGGTCCCTAATAGCCTCAGGTAATGAGAAGTGTACTTGTATATGGAAAAATGTGGCAAAAATTGCTGGCTAGTAAAACAACCCCCTTAATTACAATGATTCTTATAGGGAAAATAGCCCCAATATTCACATTGACATTTAGGAAGACATCTTTTGAGAGAACATGGGTATTCTTGTACTGTTTAGGGAGAGAACATGGTTGTATTCCAAAATACCCATTGTAACAAACTTTTTAGTTGGTGTAATTTTTTAAAAAGTGATACTTCGTGAGGTATTTTTCTCTTCACGGGTTGTACAAAATTGAATACCCGTTAGGGATGAGATTATTTTTTTTTAACAATACTCTTATGTTGTAATTCACTTTTAATTTCTTGATCTCAACAGGGACAAAGACAAACAAAAATGGTCACTTGATAATTTTGAGATTGGGCGACCCCTTGGAAAGGGCAAGTTTGGTAATGTTTATTTGGCTCGTGAGAAGTCAAGTAAATTCATAGTGGCTCTCAAAGTTTTATTCAAGTCCCAACTGCAAAAGTCAAATGTTGAACATCAATTGAGAAGAGAGATTGAGATTCAAGCTCATCTCAGGTGAGTGTTTATATTTTTCTGTTGTAATTTGAGTTTCACAGTTGTCTACACATTTCATGAGGGTACTACAGTATGTTAAATCGTGCTAAAGGGAAATGATTACTACAAACATTAAAATAAATTTCGATTTATTAAAATAGCTGGTAGATTGATTGATATTGGCAATTCATCACATATACTGTACTGCACAATATTGTAATATACTAGCTATAAGGGTAAAAACTTTGCATATACAGTACATTATGTACAGTTCATACAACAGAACTCTGAGGATAACAAAAAGTTCCAATTATCTCATCCAGCTTGACTCCTAGCAACCTAGTCTCTTTCTCACTGGCTGATGGATGTATTTGAAATAGCCTTTCCAGATAAAGAGGGCACATAGCTATTGTGTATATTTCAGACATTCAGGGTTATATTTCAAGTTTTAACCTAGTTGGTTTTATCATGTATGCTACATATTGTATGTGTGCGAGATACTGAAACGTGTCAGTTCAGTTAGGATTGTAATTTTGTAATAATACAGTACAGTGTACTGTATATGAAATTTAGAAGTACAGCATTATCATTGCTCAAAAGATTTTTTGGGGGGGGGGGTGTCATTGAAAAGTAAAGGTAGGTGTGTAATCCTTTATTTCCTTGAGGAGTTATGACCCTATCTTGCCAGCTAAGAGGGTGCTTGATGGTAACTGGGAAACCATGTCATCAGGTAATCATGGCTAACCCATGTAAACATAGAAAATTACCATGAAATGGTGAGAGATAATGAGTCCTCTTTCTGAATATGTTTTTGAAGATATTAGCTGCATTCTCAAAAATTTGAGCTTATATTGAACAAAATATAATATACTGAACTGGACTAGTTTGATGCATACAGATGATTTTGTTGATCAAACATTGTTCTATAGCAGAATCAGTTTGGTGGTTTAGGATTAGTAATAAGTTATTACATATTGGTTTTTCTGGTTTATAAAGTACTCCTCTTTCAGACACCCGAACATCCTGCGACTGTATGGGTACTTCCATGATGCAGTGCGGGTGTACCTCATCTTGGAGTACGCCCCTCGTGGCGAGTTGTACAAGGAGATGCAGGCACAACCTCACAGCCGTTTTGATGAAAAGAGGTCTGCTAAGTACATCATGCAGCTTGCCAATGCACTTAAGTAAGTTGTTGTTGATTTAAAGTTTAACTAAATGACACTACCTACTTTATTACTTACTTGGATGGAACAAATGCACTAGGCATTGCCATAACTACAATGCACCAATACCTGAAAACATGAACAGGGAGGAAGTATTATGATCACTGAATTGTGAGGGGGCCCCTGATTCTTGAACTCTGTGGGCTCAAGGTACCACAGTACTTGTCTTAGCTTGCTTAATGCTACTGGCACACATCTGAGGTACACACACACTCTTATTTATCTATAGGTGCTGAGGCATGAAACATACAATACAATATAGTAATTATATATATATATATATATATATATATATATATATATATATATATATATATATATATATATATATATATATATATATATATATATATATATATATAATTTTTTTTTTCCCTGGTGTGAATATTGTTTTTCTTTTTAAACTTTATATGCATTCATAGTGATCAAAGGAAATTTTTACATAAATATATAGTAAGGTCGGCACAAGATACTGAATGTTGCACTTGGTTTGAATAATCTACAGTAAATATCAAGTTTTCAGAACTATTTAGTCCTCAAGTTTCTAGTCTTTAAGATTAGTATGTAGAGTTATAGAGATTTCCATTTTCATTTAGCTTGACTGAAATATTTAGATTCACACCTATAGAGAATCTTTAGAATTGTGTGATCAGTCTATAGGTTATTTTTAAACCATAATGTACTCAATGTTTGTAACAGATACTGCCACACAAAAAAGGTCATCCATCGTGATATTAAACCTGAGAACCTCCTCCTGAGTCTTCGTGGAGACCTGAAGATAGCAGACTTTGGCTGGTCAGTCCATGCTCCTTCCTCCAGGTAAGATGAGCCTAGATCCAGCTCTCATTAAGTACAACTTGGGCTGATGATAGGAGAAGTACAGTACATGTGAGGGGGGCTTACATAAAAAAAGTGAAATTATTATTCAGAAGATTCCAGCTGATGGCAGTGGCGCCACCTTATGCCTGAGCAAGTACAGTAACTAGATCAAGCTTAATTGGCATCACACCATTTTTGGGGAGTTATATTTCCTCATTGGATATTCCTGGGTGTGAACTAGAGTTTTAGTTTCAATCAACAGTTACTTTTTTGTGGGGAATTCTAGGAGCACAAAACATCTTATATGTAAAGTAACAAAGAATTTTATATGGTCTATTTAAAGAAATATAGGTACAGCGAGTTTTGTGTATTTCTCACAGGCGCACAACGTTATGTGGCACTCTGGACTATCTGCCTCCTGAAATGGTTGAAGGAAAGGCTCATGATGAAAAGGTGGATCTCTGGTCTTTAGGAGTTCTGTGTTATGAATTCCTCTGTGGTAAACCTCCTTTTGAAGCAGAATCAAACTCGGACACGTACAAACGCATATGCAGTGTGGATCTTCGGTTTCCTTCACATGTTTCTGATAAAGCCAAGGATTTAATGGTCAAGGTAATGTTCTAAGTTAAAACTGTATAGATATAATTGAATTTATAATTTATTACCCTTGTAAGTTACAAGTCAATGTAATCTCCCCATTAGCCGGAATCCTCAATCCCCAGAACTCTCCAATACCCGGAATTGAAATTAGGCCGGGAAAACTTTCCATTCTGGACCCGCGAACGAGCTTCCGTGGATAAAAATCGGGTGCATTTTCCTGAAAAAAAATGCAGAGAAAATTTCTCCAAACACTTCTGATCTGGACCTGGGGATAAATTTCCGGGAGATTGCATCATGCTCCAACGCGTCCCCGCGTGCCAGGCACGTGGGTGATCTTGCTGCTTAGATCACTTAGTCCATATTCTGCTGCCATTGTAGAAAGTTATTCCCTCACTAGCTGCTGTATTTGGATACAATTTGTGTTGTGCACAATGTACAGTTGACTGTACATTACTGTACCGGGAAACAATCAGCCAAGAATAGTGTTAAAGCATTGTTAAGACTTAAAAAGTGTTTACAGTAACATATACTGTACTATACATTATTAAGTGGGAAACACTGAAGCACCTTCGCTTTCGTCTTTATTCCAGACATCTTGAGGTCATGAGACCCACTAATCCCCCACCCTGACAATTGGTGACCTGACATAGCATCAGGTCAGTAATATGAGCCACTAATCCCCTGCCCCATCTCCATCATAAGTTAGAACTTAAAAAGTGATTACTGTAGTTATGTATTACTTTCAGCAGTAGACATGTTTGCCTATTCTAGGCTCAAGATGACAGCATCTGCTGGCGAGTATACAATATTTGTATACATATTTTGTTTATTTACAATATACCTGTATTGATGTGCACAGTGGTTTCGCGTAAATAAATACAGCTCCGTGCGAGATGGGTTATTTAGATTGAAAATTTTTCCCCAGTGTTATGGAAATTCCACTGTCTTTACTGTGACAGTTCCATTCATGCCTTGCATTTCTGTATTACATAGATTTTTTTTTTAAATATATTTATTTAACCAAATTTTAATAAACTGTTCAGGATTATTTTGTAAAAAAAAATTGTTTCTAACTTAATTAGAACCGATTTTATGGACTCTGGTTACAACATTTCTTACGTTTTTCACAAAAGAATGAGATGCATAGTTTACTCTGGAAAATTTACCCTAGCACCAGGAAAAAAAATCCTGGGATGTGAGCTAGTTTTGTCCGTGCAAGATGCATTGTTTATACTTGAAAAATTTTCCCAATAATACTGTACCGGAAAAATTCCCAGGGATGTAGGATCATCGTCGGTAGAGCTCTGCATTAATTGTTCTGGCTAACGGGGATATCACTATTGTTTGTCATAGATTTATATTCTCACATTTGTTTCCTGTTGTTGTTGTTTTTTTTTCTGTTTTTTCTTTTTTTTCTTCTCTCTCTCTCTCATAATGATGAATCATTACCTGGTGACCCAGGTAAATCTTTTGATGTTATGTGTATCCTTTTTTAACAGTTACTGAGGCACAGCCCACGTGATCGTTTGAGTCTTGATGGTGTTTTACAACATCCCTGGATTGGGCAGTGGACTGAAGACCGCAGTACAGTTCCTCCCCCCAAAAAATAAGCAGTGAATACACTTTATTTAAGAGAAACAAGTACATCATCAGATTTTTTTTCTTAATCCATTGGTGTGATTTTTTCTATTTTTTGCCTTGTGTTTGCGAATGGGCATTTTTTCAGTCAGTGCTCATTTATCAGAACAGGATTCTTAGCAAGTTTCCATACACAGTATAGTTCGTTATTTCCTCAGTGCTGTGTATTTTCTGATCTCATTCCTAGTGATACATAACATCTATGAAGAGGAGCTCCGTTTCATAAATCGGTTCATAAAGGAAATAATTGTATTTATATTTTTCACAGTAGACAATGAGATTTTGTATTCCTGGTTCATAAGACATTCCTTTTAACGATCAAGTTTTAAAATGAGCCTGGCATACATCCAGCATGCGTTGCTGCCTCTTGTCAGTCCTGCAAGTTCGCTTAATACCTGGTGCTGAAGTGGTAGAAAGGTGTCCTAAGAAGACTGGTGTATCTAATTACATTCTCACACAGGACATGTTTTTTGTGGCAAATAGTGTAAATAAAATACACCAATTTTTCTCTGAGGATTGACTTGAATCTTAGGTAAAGTGTGCAATAAAATAACTAACCAAGTATCAAGTGCACATTGGGGATTTTATAATCCATTATAATATTTGCACAAATATTATTGTAAAGTGTGCACTTTAAAAAAGTTAAGTGATTTGTACAGAGGTATTGCTTAACTTATACTTGACAAAATGGTTTTTACAGTACAGTAGATATATTGTTGGTCATTAACTATTGGGTGCTGAACAGTTACTTGACACTGTAAGCAAGTCTTGATACTTACTCCATTAACATATGAACTCAACTCTGGGTTTGGGATTTAAGTGATTCATGCCTATTACTTTTGTAAATTCAACCCTAGACAAAAATATTTAAAACTTTGGAATAAGTTTTCTTCATTAGTGAAATCACCCCTATGATATAAAGCACTTGTCTCAAGGTAGCTTTACCATGCTATATCTACCTTTGATTTGTAGATATATAACTCGATAAAATTATTTTAGCTACTGACCAGTTGGGTGCAGATTAAAACAGACTTGTTGGTAGAGTGGTTGATATGATGTAATTTATTAAAATCTAACATCCTTCTCTCTCATGTTTATTTTAAAATTTTATGATTCTTGGTAGATCCTGTCCTCATTTTGTACATTTAAATAAGTATTTAGAAAATAATTTTCACCTAATCAAAGAAATTGTGTAAAATATCAAACTATATATGTGATTATGTTGTGTACAGCCAACAGAAAAATTGCTGTACCCCTTTTCCTGATGGCCTTGTAACAATTACCGACTGAGGCCGCTTTCATTTGACAATGTTGTTATTTCTGGTTGTGTGATGCAGTGTAACCACTACAATGTATTCCATATGTCACATAGTTAATAGAGAAAGTAACAGGAATACATATAATACCTGTGTTGTTCAGAATTCTTGGTCTGGTGTCATATTGTACACCATAAGGGTGCAGATTTTTTTCTATATCTTTTTGTTGTTGACTGTACACACAACATGCATATACCAGTTTGGATCTTTACTTTTTAGTTGACTAAATGATCATCTTCATGTATGTGCATATTTACCCACACAAAGTTTTCCTCTGGTTCTTGTTTAAACCTTTATGAATGTTTGATTGCATTATTGGTTGATAATATTAGTAATTTGGCTTTAGTATGAATGTACATACACAGTACTGTACTTAGATATAAGCTGAGGAACTGGGATGGGCATTGTGTAATGAGGTGACCTGGTAAGTAACAAGTCTCACACACAATGAGGATAACTTGACCAGGAGATACTTAAAACAAGTCAGTCCAGCCTCCTTGCACAATTCTGACAAGATCAATTAATAACTGGTGGGTCAGTATACTTGTGTGTGTATTACTGGTATCTATAAATGCAGGTATGAGAATAATAATGGAAGATATGTGAACTGTGTGAAATTTCTGGACTGGACATAGAACTACAATAAACAAAACAAAACAAAATTAGTTTTTTGGTTCCCATTTATCATGAGTGGATCAAATTCATAAAACCACCCACACCTTTCATTTGTTTAGTAAGTCAACCATATTGCCAGAAACTATCGCCCCCCATTAATGGTTAAGTCTTTATATATATATATACTAGCATGATGTGCTTCATGATTTTTTGGTTTCCTTAACTACAGGGTATATATATTTTCTCTACTTTATATGTTCGATATATTAAATTTCTGTATATTGTACTTGCACATTTGTAACTATAATCAGACCAGGATTAAATGAGTTATTCAGTTGTTCTCATGATGATGTGCCTTCAAACATAATAGTTGCTCTTAGTTTGTAGCCATACAATACATATAAGTATTATGTGACAGCATATATTCAGTTAAATGTTTATTTCCTTATTGCTAAATTAAGTACAGTACAGGTATTTTTCGGTAGCCTTGATGTGCCTGGTAACGTTGGGTTGGTTCCTGGGCTTTGGTAAATGTCTGGTGTCTGCTTCAGCATCCTAGTATAAGCTCGTTCACGTTATTTCACATCTATAAATAGTTTTCTATATACAGGTAGTTCTGCTATAACGCGATAATTGTGTTCTTGTAAAATATCGTGTTATAGAAAATCGCGTAATAGAAATAACAGGGCTTATGGAGAAAATAGGGTTAGGTGCAGATTACTCGAAATCGAAAAAATTTAGTATTTAGCCTAACACAAAGGATAGCACAGTCTAAATAAATGTTACATTCATATCTAATAATGAAATCATACAGTAAATTTAACACTTTACCTTGAAAAAATATGAATGTAACTTGATGGGGGAGAAGGGTGATTTTGAGGTTGATAACATTGAGCTTCTCTTCAAGTGTTATATCCTTTCTTTTACGATAATCACCGGGAATTCTATCATCAGAGCGCCTTTTGGAGATATTCTTCTTTACCATATTCACAGTTAATACCACAAAATTGGAGAAATAGTAAGCAAAAATCGCGTTATAGCAAACAAGCGTTCGCGTTATACAAATATTGTTCCGAATTCATAAATCGCGTTAGAGCAAATTCGCGTTATCAAAACACGCGTTATAGCAGAACTCCCTGTACAGTATAATATAAGCTTCAATAGCAGTTATTCCTCTTGATTTATTTTTAGCCGACGAATAGTTGGTCTGAGAAAGCCACAAAGTGTTTCATTAAGTTAATATTTAATACTGTATGTGATTGTGTGTAAATATGTTATACGTTAAGTTACGTTTTAAGTACTGTACTGTATTATCAACAAGACCATTGGCTAGGAAGATATTCTATATATTCTTGGACAATGTGCATAACCGAAATTTGTCATTGGTTACCGTCTTCATTACCAACACCCAGTAACAAATAAAGTTGACGATGTAAAAAAAAAATAATAAATATTACTCCCTTTTTTATTGTATGTTTTAGTGGATATTCCCCCCTACAACAGTCTCGCCGTCTAGACACGCGCCAAGTTTCTCTGACAAGCATCGCCGTCTAGACACGATTCTTTTAGAATATATATTATTTTCAAGGCTTAAGATTTTAATAATATACTTATTAAAGTCATAAACATATAGTACAGGGTGTATGAGAAATGACTGAAGTATGACACACCAGTCTTCTGAAGTGTGTACTTACACTGTACACTTAAAGATTTTTTTAAGTTTAAAATGTGTTTTGTCTGACCCACCCTATAGAAACTGAATAACCCAAAAAATTCTAGTACAGTATTTCAATTTACTCGAGTTTTTACCACGCGAGGTTAAACAGCAATGTGCTGGTGCTTGAAATTTGTCTGGACCAGATTGGCATGCAAAGCTTAATTCACAGTTTAAAATAGTAAGTGGCCAAGTCATGTCAGCAGGCATTTATTTATGAAATGTATATCCCAGGTATCTTCACAATAGCCACATATTCCCTCAAGTTAGTTCAGGTGACCCGGTAAAAGGATCAACTTGCTGCGAGACAAAATATTAAGACTGGTAAGGAGCCATGACATTGAAATATCAAAGGTATTCTTCTTTATTAATGAGGTATTGTTTGGTCTGCATAATGTTCTAATGCCTTCACCACAACTTTGATATAAATATTTATAAAACTAAACTTATTTGGTGGCATTGCTGCTATTGATAACAAATCAAAAAAAAAAATACTATATATTTAACTGTACAAACAGTTTATAAAAAAAAAAAGGTTATACACACTGAGTAGAGGAAGCCACTTTGAAAAAAATATTCATACGTGGTTGTCCTTTTAATGTAACAATCTAAGTGGATTGGTTGTGTCACTTTCACAGGTCAATTCCTCTATAAAGTAATATCTACAGTATATTAACCCTCTAGGGCACGCAATAAATTTAGAATTTCCACGACCACGACAAAAAACACATTGGGATCATTCATGTGAGATTTGGTCGTGTTCGTTCTGCGACAAGTTTATCCTACTAATTCCCTGGTTCCTCAACTTTCAGTCACACGCGATCCTAACAATGTAATGGTTAAATTAAATATGAAAAGTAGGGCAGGTAGAGAGCAGCTGTGTTCATCCAAGTAACATTCCTAACTTTTGATCACTTCAGAGTTCCTTTAAATTTATTGCATTACATCAGTCACTAAATCCTCCCCTTCCTTCAAATTAGATATAAAACTAATATACCTGTACAGTAATACAAACCATCTCACTCTACTCTCCATACAACATAGCAGATACAGTTAATTGTGCATTTTCATCCATATCTTTTCTAGTCTTGGCAAATACTCTCTCTGCCAGATGCTTATGTTTAACTTTTCTAGAAATCATCAACTCTCCATACAGGTAGACACCCATAGATTGATCCTTCAGTAAAAACCTCTCTATTTCGGTTAAATCCTTATAATTATTCTTTATGATGAGTTCACACCATCTATGACGCACATCTCCACACTGAGCTGCCATGCTGTAATATTCATTTATTTCGCCTAATGTCTTATGATACAACTTTGGTAACTGTAAAAAATATTCCAGTAGCAACACTAACTGATCAGAGAAATGAAAAGCTTCAAGTTGCACTTTAACTTTCTTCACAACCATGCCTGATCTCTTTCTGGATGTGTTAAACTTTTCCCAATAATGGAAGTGTTGTCTCACCTCTGTAACTAAGTCATTGTTAATGTTTCCATACATTTCCTTTATTTCAGTGTTTAAACCTGGCTGGTGGAGCCAAACATTGTAGAGAATTTTGCGAGTAATACCTTTTTCTAACACTTCAGGAAATGTGTTAATAAAATTATCCAATATATGCCTGGACAAGACAAGCTGCCCATGGTAAACTGACACATAGTGTTTCATCATAGCATCAAACTTGGCTCTACCCACTAATTTGCTTAAAAATTTAAGGAGAAAGTAACCTTTTAGATAATGAACTTGTAAGAAAGTTTTTTCTGGGTTTAATCCATTCTTAACATAATTTATTCCATCTATACCTACAAGATTTTCTCCTTGCATAGGCCTCAAAGTCTGAAGCTCGTCAGTAGAATTTTCTAATTCACTCGCAAGTGTTCGGTAGCGTATGTGTGCACGTACATCTGACAATTCTTCCAGTTTCTCTTTGTTAAGTTTAAGAGATGATGACTTAATGAAATACAAATTTTTCTTAAAAATCTGGCTATTCCTATTATTTTCATCACAAACAGGTTTTCTACCTTCAAAAACTGAGTCAATACCGGGAGATTTATCACATGTGATACAGTCTTTACCACCACCATGTGCACGGGTATGATGTAAGTCAGAACTTCCACTATATAATTCTTTACTCATAGCATCACTCTCTGTATTATCATGAAAACATATTACTTCACTATCAACAATACTTTTATGTCCATGATCCACTACACCATAATCATTAATTTTAAATGAGGATGAATTAGGATTCCCACCTCCTTCACACCCACTGCTGCCCTCTGCTCCTGACCACACAAGCTCAGAACTATTTCCAGGAATTTTGCCCACAGTCTGGTTTGAGATAGTGTTTCTTGCCTTCTCATATGCCATGGCTGCTTCTGCATAGATTGAGTCCTCCATATATGTGGCAAAGCCTTCACTCAACCATTCCTCTGTCCAGTCTTGTGCACCAATATTGATGCCAAACCAAGCATGGCTGTCACAAAGATAATACATTGTTAATGACTGGATATAATATGCACCAGTACTTATGTTTTTAATGAGATTTACAAAAGTGCAAACACTGTGCTGGTTAAATTTTCAAAGACAATACAAAGTAAGACACAATATGAAAATAAGAAATTATGGCTTCAATTTATCATACATACAACAGATATCTTTGTTTTCCAGGTAAAAAAATATTGGATAATGTGAATATTAGGTACAATACCCAAGTTTATTTTTCCTGATAATTTAACACCCTAAAGCTACCAGGGGGGGCTATACAGTATTAGCATTAGGAGTATTACTGTATAGACTGAATTACCATAAAATATAAAGTCTGTTGGAAAAGCATATGATGCTTTTCCAGCTGTGAACATTAACAAATTCCCTGAGCATTTCTACTGCTGTATTCAGTGCAATGTAAAAGTCTCTTACACACAGGATAACTTTTTGTCAGTAGTCATTATTGCACACAATCTCATCATGATATATTACTATAAGGTAGATAAACTAACTACTGTATACTGTCCCATAATATCAAATTACAGTACAACTCACCTTATTTCATGTGACAAACGGATATATGCAGCTGGGTCATCTATAGCAACTGTTGGGGACAAGAAGATAAGATTGGGTGACGCTAGGCCCAAGCTTCCAAAACATGGTGGTAGAATTACCAACTCCAGCCTACAACAAGGATATACACCAAGCAAGTGGATTGCTGCCTCCACGGCATAGGGAAGAAAAGAAATCAGAGGCTTGACAGATGCCCAGCAGGATGGTGGGTAGGTCACACTCAGTGGTATCTCATTCATCCAAAGCAGAGTCTTCTGGTGACAAGGATACTCATAGTGACAACATGGGTATCTTATTTTCTCTCCCTCATCTTTTTTCTCTTGGAAATGTTTACTGTGTACAGTTCGAAGAATTTCAGTTTTCCACTTCCCTATAGCAATGGCTATAGTTGCAATTGGTAGAACCATTGTTGTGTAAAAATACATACACACAGTTGAAGTGTTCCATTCATCAGTGCCATCCCTGCTGAACACAATGTCACTGTTTCTTTCACTTACTGTGCAACACTTCTTATTGAGGTGATGTAAAGAAGCTATATCTTCCACATAATCTTCTACACAACCTACAAACTTGACAGGCCTATAATCTCCTGTCAATGAAACAGAATATTCCTTATTGACTGTGACCCATGCCTGCCAGGTAGCCATGGCTGAGGGAGGGTCTTGACAGGGGAGAACTGAGCGATTATTAATTGCGGCCGCTGGGGTAAACACACATGGATTGCCATCTTGATCATTCCTCCAAAAGAGTGATTTCCCTTGTGGAGTTGTTTCATAGTCAATACACACAGCTTGAGGGAGTTGTTCAATACTTGTACTGTCTTCCTTCCATATTTTGATGCACCAAGGGTCGACAACATACTGGAGAGGAAGGTGCTTTCTGTAGGACCAGAAATTAAAGGCAACACTACACTCTCTTGGATGATTTGGGTTTAAATATTTCAACATATCAACATTTTCACATGACACCTCAGCCACACTTTTAACTCTAATGTCACAACAATCCAGGACAATCTTAATTTCTTCATCTAACACTTCCTTGCTCTTAACATCTGTTTTATTGGCCCTACAGTCACCTTTATCCTTATTACAATGGAGCTTACTAACAGTGTCTGATTTTTTGTTGTGTAAATTGCCATCTTCTTTTTTATATGTCACCTGTTGGCTGATGTCTGAAGAGGTGTTGACAAAGTCCTCAATCTCACTGTTCAAACAGAAACAATCTCTTGTGCAACACTTTCCTCTTTTTTCACACGAAGTTGTTGGCTCAAAAAATATATAAACTTTTCCTTGAATTGTCTTTGTATCAAAGTTGGGCTTCAGGTGAATGAGATAGTGTCTGGCTCGAACCTGATGAATGTTTGACAGAAGAGGCAGGTCCTGGTCACTCATACTGTTAACAAAATACTGGTGATGATAGACTCACCTCTTTATGAAAAGAAAACAACAGATCAAGAAGTCATAACTTAGGCAATTTTTCCAGTGGGATCCATTTAACAATTCTATTAATTTCAGTGTCAAATATCATCTTCTACTTCAATTGTGCTCTTTAGTCCATCAATCCTGGAAAGATATGGATCAATAAGTCCCTAAACTAAATTCACAATTCAGTATTATCATGTATTAAACTTATTCACGTCAGACAACTCTAAAAATAATCAAACTGGTACAAAATCAAATTAATTCATGTACAATTAAAGAAGATTATGCAGAGTGATGTGTTTGTATTACTTGTTGGGTTAATATTATTTTTCCAATATAAAAACAAGACAGATACAAATGCAGTACACAATGTAAAAACCCCAAAATTATGGATAAGATGGGAGTTTCCAAAATTTTCAACAAAACATTGTATTACTGTATAAGCTATCAAGTCGCATGAAGATTAGCCCCAGCTTTTTTCACCTTACGATTATCAGTACAGTAACCTTTAACAATAACCTAACCAATTCCTTGTATAGCATTTGGGTGTTTTGATCATCAGATGAAATAAGCTGCGGGTCTAATCTTCAGGTGATCCTAGAATTTCTAACCTCCACTTAAATGTTCTAACCTAATTAACAGGTATAAAGTACATTGATTTCATGCAGCCAGGTCACCTTCCAATTTTGAATTCAATACAGTATCATACAGATTTGAATCTTATTTCAGTACAGTACAGTAATCTACAGTCAAAGCGCAGAAATCAAAATTTCAAGAATGCACACAGTTTTAGATTATAGGTGTGTACCAAGGATCAAGCATCATTTTGGGAGTTTAGTCACTGTAATCTTTGTGCATCACCCACACAGGCACTGTCTCAAGGCTTATTAATTTTTATTTTATTTTTAATTTATCATTTTAATTTACTACATTTTTCAAAATTAATCTACCCCTGTATTCTATCCTAACAATAGCTTCTAAACAGAGCAAGTAACAGTGTGAAGAGGAAGCATATTACTGAACACTACTCTTAGTACAAAACCAGACAAGGGCGTTTCAGCACAAACACCTGGAAGACAACACGGTGTTAGGAAATAAAAATAACATGGGGCAATGTGATAAGACTTTGAAAAGCTGTACTAAGATTGAAACAAACAAGAGCATAGCCATTGCATTAATCAGTGTATGGAGCAAGGTCAGCAGAGTGTTGGGTGTTATAAGCAACTGAGAAGAGGTGCCTCTACCTGTCTGCCTTTGGTGTGAAAGAGCCAGCTAGTTTCACCAGAATTTGAAAATATATGCAACCTATGATGCATAATGATGAAACTGTCTATGTATACTGCATTGTATTCCTACACTGTCTAAGTAGTATATAGTATATCTGCACAGTCTATGAATATTGTATACCCAGGTTAAGATTTAGAAAAGGTCAACCACATAACTCTACATTGATCTGTATATACTGTGAGAAGATGGAGCCCAAGAAAAAACTTACCCCCCAGTACTCCGTCGCATTTTCATTGGAAATTTAGATTTTTCGAGTTTTTCTTGATTTCAGGTTTGTTTTTTTATGTTCATTATATACAGTATATGCACAGTTTATGTATAGATGGTATTGTATAGCTGCACTGCCCATATATTGTATACCTACCCTGTACAGGTATATTGTGTATGTCCAGTCAAAAAATATAAATATTCAGCGCCTTTACGGTTTGACACACTGGACCAAGAATTCTGAACAACACGGATTTTATATGTATTCCTGTTAATTTATCTGCATTAACTATACGTGATACACAGAATACAGTACGTACATGGTATTGGATACACAATGCATCACACAATCAGTAATACCAACCTTGCTAAATGAACATAGCCTCGTTGTGAAGGCCATCTGATCAGGTGGTAGAGAAAATTAATTTGTTGACTGTACCTTACAATCCTGCACTGTGTACTGGTTGTTACTTGATGAACCAGCGTGGGCTTGTAGATGATTTTAGTGATTAAATATATCCATTTCATTATCTTTTTTGGGTAAAGGTAAGACAGACGGTTAGCACCAAAACGTATTTATATATTTCAGTCATATTTTCCATAGTTGTTCTTTGGATGATATTAACTAATAAAATCAATACAATTTCTTTTTTTTTTAATATTTTGTCCTATTTCTCTATACATTCATAAATCACCTGTAGTGGGCAGGGCATAAAGGATGAGGGAAATTATGGGGTAAAACACCATGAAAACCTGATCACATGACACTAAAAGGTATTATTCTCATTTTGGTCATCCAGCGAGTTTTAGAACATAAAGTTACCACCGTCCAAGAGAGGTTTAGGTTAGGATGAAATTATGTTTTTCTGGTGGATTTTGATAGTGTTTTGAACAATTCTGACCTACTTCCAAATAGGTGGATAACCGAAACGATAATTTTACCCACTAATATGATGTCTCTATGTGCTTTATACTCAAAGAAATTATTTACCGTAAATATTCCACCAAAAAATCTGCCTTGTTGTCGTCTCCTCAGTCCAAGTGTACTCTCACGTCCACAAAAATCGTAACATTACATCAAGCCACTAAAGATAGTTGCTTCCACTGGTACCAAATATCAGGATAACTTATTTTTGCTTAATATGTGGAGCTCTCCAGCTAGGAAGTTAGGTAATGTTAGGTTGGCTTCTTTGGTTTGGTCGGGTTCCGTTAGTTTCTGTGCGTTCTCATTTTCATGTTCAATATCATGCAAATAATGTCACCCATTTTTTTGGTTCAATTCCATAAGTTATTTCTGATGCTCACCATCGACCCCCCACCTTTACCCACTTCCCTTCCTGCTAGTGGTGTGAAAATCTCTCTCCAAGTGTAAAATCGCCATTAATAGTTTACATTGGATCAGCCTGTATATAGACACACGTAGAGACTGGGTATACTATGGTAAACAAAAGGCAATCCAATTGTTTGTACAATATACCGTTTTGGCAATTTACTATTTTTTTATGCATATTTACCTGATTTACTTAATGGCCACCCAAACTAGAGGCGACCATGCCGAAGGTCAGTGGCCAGTGTAGGGTTTCTCCATTGTTCTTGATCAGGATTTTGACCAACAGGACAGTAGCAATATTGTATAGACTATAGGAGGCCAGAGAATACAGTTAACTACATTTCTTAAGCCTCCGAGGCGGTGGCGTCGGTCCCCGGGGAGTAAAGGATATTGTACCAAACATGATATTGTTATAAAACCAGGTTATTCCTCATACAATTTATATATAGTAAGTAGGTTATTGACACCCAACTTCAGACATTTAGGGATACATTAATATGTTTATATACCGGTACCTACAACGAACAAACAAAAGGATCCCAGTGATAAGTTCCAAACGCTTTTCTTAGATTAATTATATTTAGTTAAATCGTTTGGTTTACTTACCCATACGATGTATTTTCAATAGTCTATGTGATATTATTTAATTAATACATCGAATTCTTAAATTTATATGAATAGGTATTAAAGTAAGGCATTATATTAAAAAAATAAAAAGTAATTATAGGGGTCAGAGGAAAATAATGAAAAGTAATGGTGGTGTTTACTATTTTTTCTGTGGTTATGTAAAGTTTATTTTGGTCCATTTATATCAGGTACTGTAACAGAGAAGGACTAATTTTAATTAGACAAATTTGTTCAAAACAATTTCCAAACTCCGTCAAAAGTTTTACGTTTATCCTCTTCGCCACTGGTCGGCTCGTTAGCATGGATGGGTCATTAGTTGAGTTAGGTACCGGAAGAACTTCAGTGCCGCCTAAACAGTTTTCTGTGTACCGCTGTCCCTCGGGGGACCCTCTCAGAGTATCATGGTTCGGATGGCGCCAACCACTAGCTTCTTCAGTCTTCACTTCCTCTCCGAAACACACATGTCTAGTTCATCCATCCTTTGGTGTTGGTAGATCTCACCGAGTATGGTCTCGGACCTATTCCTGGGATGCTATGCCATGCTGGAGGTAGGGTTTCCATGCTTTTATACAACAATCCAGTCTAAGATGTTACAGGGGACAAAAAAATCAAGGAGAATTTTGTATTTGCAGGTACTGTACAACTTATAATTCCTAAATTTCATTTTATTTTCACCGTTTACTTTTACTTGCTGCACTTCCTTAAAAATATTTGCGCAGTCATTCAAATTATTGGTTCTTCTGTAAATGAGCACCCCAACTTAGTTCACCTGAAGATTAACCACCCTAACGCTACCTAGGAGGTTAGGTTAGGTAAGTTTAGTTTACGTACGTTAGGTTAGCTTGGTACAAAACTTCAGGTGACCGAGTAATTTAACAAAATATGACATCTCATGATTTCAGAATTAAAATATATCTAATCAAAGATCTTTCCAGCTGATACAGTTGTGACGAACAGAGATAAACTAATGGACTGAAACAATACCAAGTAACCAATATACTTATCTATCACTTACATATTAACTATACCAATTATTATTTATGCAAGTATGTAAAATGTCTCCATCCCAGCTTATTTCACTTAAAGGCTAACCACCTTAACACTATTTGGGGAGATGAGTTTAGGTTAGGTTAACTTAGGATATATAAGGTTAAATTTGGTTAGGTTATATTAGGATAGGTAAGATAAGAATATATTAGGTTAGCATTAGGGTGGTTATTCTTTAGGTGAAATACGCAGGAGTGGAGATTCTTGAGGTGATCCATTTATTTATCAATTCACCACTAACCAGCTTAGGGGTTAGAAAAACTCCACGATTCAAATAATACTTAGAAACTAAATGATTTCTGTGTTTTTATGAACCTAATCATTTTACCATGTGTTAATTTCTGTATTGATGTATTTTTGATTTATGTATCATTTCACAAAATATCGGGTGGCAGGTAAGAGAGAGAGAGATTCAATAAAATCGTCATACCTGTACAAGTTCACACCGGTTCATCTAAATCAGACTTAGAATGACAACAACTATCACAGTTTTACGCTGGGAGAGCTGCTGCTATTTCCGGAGTGCATGATAACTACTTCTCTCTCTTTGCCACAGGTAACGTAGGCACCCAAACACAACTCACTGCTCGATTACTTAGACTGGTAATAATAGTCATTTCCGCGGTAATAACTTAACACACACACACACACACACACACTATCATCAATCTACTGTACATCGTCACCACACACAAACACCCCCCCCTCCCCCGCACACGTCAACATGAATCACCCTGAAAACCCCACACAACCACCCACACCGTCATCCACCCACATATCTCCATCACATTGGGTCCCCAGTACACCCCAGGTTGTGGGCGTCACTATAGATAACTGAATTGGAAAGCACACGTCAGTATAAACGTCAAATCTTCCTGCTATCGTCTCAACATCCTCTGTCGTCCCAAGTCCCTCGAGTTCCCGCTCCAGAGCTCTTGAGTGTTTACACAGCATTCATACTTTCTATGCTTATCTACGCTTCCCCTGCCTGGTATACTATACAACGGTGATTCCTAGGAGTGCAGAAGACTATTCTCTCCCTCTCCTACACCACATATCAAGAGGCACTCAATACAACACTGATTCTCTCAACACTCTGATCATCGCCACAACCTCATTTGTCAATTTGGGACGAAGCTAATACACCAACCCGCCACCTTCTACCACCTGAGATCCCTCGTCCGCGAATTGGTGTTCAACACCACAACCGCAGCTGGACCAAACGACCACGTACTGATCGCTAGAAGAACACCCCCCATTCCAACCATTGTAAGAATTACCACCAATTCGTAAATAACCTGTGTATTCACTCCTTACCAATCTCACATTTGTTCTGTAACTGTGCTGAAATTCCGATCGCCCAAGCGGCTAACGAGCCGATCTATGGTGAAGATAAAAAAAGATAAAAGTAAAAAAAAGTAATACCGTAACAGTATGTTCCACTTTTGTATATTTTCAACTTATAGTTGTTGTATTATTATTATTATTATCGTCACCACACACCACAACATAAAATAATCAAGAATTGGCATTACAATATAATATAATCAGAAGAACGCAACAAGACAATCGATCAGTGGCGAAAAGGATAAAAGTAAAAAGTAAAAGAACAAGTAACAGAAGATATCGGAAAAACAAACAACAGAAGCTAATTGGTAGAACACACAACAGAAGGTAATCGAGAGAACAAGCAACAAGATAATCGGGAGAACAAGAACAGAAGGTAATCGGGAGAACAAGCAACAAGATAATCGGGAGAACAAGCAACAAGATAATCGAGAGAACAAGCAACAGAAGGTAATCGGGAGAACAAGCAACAAGATAATCGGGAGAACAAGAACAGAAGGTAATCGGGAGAACAAGCAACAAGATAATCGGGAGAACAAGCAACAAGATAATCGGGAGAACAAGCAACAGAAGGTAATCGGGAGAACAAGCAACAAGATAATCGGGAGAACAAGCAACAGAAGGTAATCGGGAGAACAAGCAACAAGATAATCAGGAGAACAAGAACAGAAGGTAATCGAGAACAAGCAACAAGATAATCAAGCAACAAGATAATCGAGAGAACAAGCAACAGAAGGTAATCGGGAGAACAAGCAACAAGATAATCGGAGAACAAGAACAGAAGGTAATCAGGAGAACAAGCAACAAGATAATCGGAGAACAAGCAACAAGATAATCGGGAGAACAAGCAACAGAAGGTAATCGGGAGAACAAGCAACAAGATAATCGGAGAACAAGCAACAGAAGGTAATCGGGAGAACAAGCAACAAGATAATCGGGAGAACAAGAACAGAAGGTAATCGGGAGAACAAGCAACAAGATAATCGGGAGAACAAGCAACAAGATAATCGGGAGAACAAGCAACAGAAGGTAATCGGGAGAACAAGCAACAAGATAATCGGGAGAACAAGAACAGAAGGTAATCGGGAGAACAAGCAACAAGATAATCGGGAGAACAAGCAACAAGATAATCGAGAGAACAAGCAACAGAAGGTAATCAGGAAGCAAGCAACATAAGACAGCAGAATTCAAACTGGTATTAATCCCTTTTAAAATATTTTATTTTTTTCATTAAAATTTTATCTCTCTCTCTCTCTCTCTCTCTCTCTCTCTCTCTCTCTCTCTCTCTCTCTCTCTATATATATATATATATATATATATATATATATATATATATATATATATATATATATATATATCCAAGGGGTTTTAAGTATATTATTTAAACTAAAGTTAAGTGGTTTGTGATTTATATTATATTATATCTGGCTATAAGGTTTTATTTTTTTATTATACGATGGGTAGCCCCAGACCAGAGCTGAACATTTACAACATTAATAATAATAATAATAATGTAAAGTCTTTAATAATAGCTTTTAGAATATAGTATTAAGTTAAAAGTTCATAATGTGATAGAAATCGTCAGACTAATCATTTACTCAACTCTAAAAGGCGATTTTTTTAACTAATCGAGTACATAGGTTGCTGATTTTTAGAAAATATCTCACTTGTAAACAAAGGATCACGCGAAGATTAACCTCATGTCAAATTCATTTGATATCTGCCTGTATGCTACCTAGGGACGATAGGCTATAATGTGTTAGGTTAGGTTCGATTCGGTTTGCGTAAGGTTAGATTAAGTTAAGTTAGCGTTAAGTTAGATTAGGTTAGCGTTATGGTGGGTTATCTTCAGGTGATATAAGCTGGTGTGTCTAATCTTCAGGTGAATCCCAGTTAACGTGTGTAAGTGGTGTTGGCTGTTGATAAGTGTGTGTGTGTGTGTGTGTGTGTGTCTGTCTGTGTGTGATGTCAAGTAACATAGGATGTTTTTTATAGTGTCGGGAAGTGAGATTAAAAGCTTACAGTCATTAGTTTATAAGATAGCTTGTGGGTGCATTACTGACGAATCAATATTTTTGGTTTAGTTTAGCAGTGTAGAATATAATGAATAAATCGCCATACAAGTTTACATTGATTCACCAAGTGTGTTTGTTTGTGTGACCGCTCCACTACCGCTTATCGTTTGACACTGGTATTAGTATTCATTTGTGATGAATAAGTCAACTCCATAACCCATCAGTTTCAACCTCCCAAGAGATCGAACCCGGGACTATTTTCTTGTGGGGAGAGTATGCTGACTTATACAACTACATCTTAGGTGTGTGTGTGTGTGTGTGTGTGTAAGTATATTTACGAAAACTGTACATCAGCATACAGTCAACTTTACATGCATTATATGCAAAGGTCAAAGGACTTACAGTACATAAAAACATTCTTAAATCTGTGTAGAATTTATTTTTTATTACAGTTAAATATGATTAGCACAAATCCTTATATATATATATATATATATATATATATATATATATATATATATATATATATATATATATATATATATATATATATATATATATATACGAGAGGGGAGATATGATACAGCTGCATGTTAAGGCTATTTTATTTTTTGTTGCATAAATTATTTTATATATAGAGTATAATGAAACATGACACGCACAGTGTGAGTGATGGAAGTAACAGCTGTGAGATTTCTGTAGTAGCCCAAGGCGCTGTACTCGTGTTAATAATCATACACTGCATCTAACTTCACAGCACCAGTCATGAGCTTATCATACAAAGAACGATTATAAAATATCTGCTCCGTGTTGAGCAATAGTTCAAGATAGCATAGTGAAAAAAAGCAGATTGAGTCAAATGTATTCCATATGTTCCAAAAAGTCATCATCGGTGGTCAGTGACCTCCACATATGCCGGTAACTTGTATGAAATATATTATAGGAGCAGTAATGGCGGGGCCTCGCGCCATCACCAAGCAGATTTTTGCTACCTTGACAACGGAATCAATCCCATAAATACATTTTTAAACAAATAAGCAAATGGCGGTCGGGGGTGATCAATTGTGTCTCAGTCACAAAGTGGTGAGTAATTATATGTATAATGATCAATGAAAAGGGTGGAATTAAGGTGGATGATGGTGTAAAAATAGCATGGAGATAGATGGAGGGCGGCGGGCACACCATCACGCCCGCATTAGGACTTGCGCAGCCAAACTCATACCATGGAAACTATAACGCCCGTTTCTCCATGAATTTCCATTGACAGGTGAGTCCAATTTGCAAATGGCCCTTACACAAAGGTATGTGAATGACCGCTAGTGCCCCAGGGACCAGAATGGGCTTCAAGTGACATTCATGAATGGATTTAAACCAGAATTTTATGTGAAGTTGGAGAAAAATTCATGGAGCTCGCACAAGGCATATTGATTTACCGAGAGCAAGTGTGAGAGGAGGCGAGCCACACGCTGCGTTATTTCTGTAATTAGTGATTTTGTTACCAGAGATTCTTATGATAGGTCGGAAATTTTCACCATTGGAGGCCCAGAGTAGTGGAGTTAAGGGTAAAGTGAGTTAATATTATATTAATCAACATTTTAGGAAGTTTACACAAAATGAGATCATGTTTTGCTCTAGTCGTGCCAACACTTCCGATACTCAGCTATTTTGGTAAACAATACATCAGTGAAAACAATTATTATGAAGCAATAAACATAAATGAAGAAAATATAGCAGCCTTCGGTGATAAGTAAGTGTTATTGGAGGTGTTAGAGGCTGATATTATTGTTGTTTGTTAAGGATAAAGGCGTGAGGTTGATCTTTGTTTATTTTACAGGTGTTGGCAGCCCTGGGATCAGCGGGCGTTTGTACCTCAAAATGACAGAGTTCGGAACAACACCATTTGAAGGTTGCTTTTTATAACACATGTTTCACTACTCTCTAAGACAACGTTATCACCTCACACAGTCTACACATTAACTTCATGATAAAAACAGAAAGTTATATGTTAACTCAGTGCCACAAGTGACGTAAATTCAAATAGAATGGCATTGAAATAATCCATACTGAATCAATTACAAGTGTTTTATGAGTATTAATATCATTATATGGAAATACCTGAGATAATAAGATCAGGAAATTAAAGCTTTTAGTTTAAGTATTTATTATTCATCTAGTGATAACTTTTTATGAATGGATAAATTAAAATATTAAAACTAGAATGATAAAGTTAATGTTAGCAATATGGTTATCAAACTCTTGTATAATTATGTACAGTATAGGCTTTCCCACACAATCATGAAAGTTAATTTTGTGTGAATTGTTTATTGATTGTATATAGTAAGAGAGGGGGAGGACCATAGTTTTGAGTTACATTAAGACAGGAAAAACAGTACAGTAAATATGACAGTTGTTTATTTTTAACTTGTTCATATCCGAGAGAATGATCCACATCCTGTACTAAAACTTAATAAGAATAATGACTTAAAATACTACAGTGTATCATTTTTGAGATAATGATGATGGTAGCAGCTACAGTAGTCCTCATATAGGTTGTTCAGAGTCAGTACAGTAACTTTTCTTTGGGACACATTTCCATCTTTCGGGGTAAAGATGAATTATACAGTCTTATTAGGTACGGTCATATGGTCAGATAATTGATGTCATTAACAATATTCTGAAGAGTTTTTCAAGCTGATGCATCATATATATATATATATATATATATATATATATATATATATATATATATATATATATATATATATATATATATATATATATGATAACCACAAGGAAAGAAGAAAGCACAAAGTTCCCAAGCGCTTTGTGTAATTTCACCCCTGAAGATGTGAATTACAGCGGCAAATGTTCTTTTCCTTCAGCACAGTGATTTACTATATATATATATATATATATATATATATATATATATATATATATATATATATATATATATATATATATATATATATATATATATATTTATATATATATATATATATATATATATATATATATATATATATATATTTATATATATATAATATATATATATATATATATATATATATATATATATATATATATATATATATATATATATATATATATATATATATATATATATATATATATGCAATGCGTAAGTAACTGTAACACAAGGAAGAGAAAACACGAGTTCCCAAGCGCTTTCGTGTAATTCACATCTTCAGGGGTGAGTACAGATGTGAATTACACGAAAGCGCTTGGGAACTTCGTGTTTTCTTCTTTCCTTGTGGTTATCAGCATATATATATATATATATATATAACTTCAGCAATGGACTTGTTACGTGGAAAGCGTAGTTTTATAATGAAGAGGAGAACCAGGGTAAACACAAACATCTTGAAGTAGGGCTTCGTTTAATTGCTAACGTTTTAAACTTTTTCAAAACTTTTTAGGCTCTGATGATGGAAAAGGATTATTTCCGAAACGTTAGCAATTAAACGAAGCCCTACTTCAAGATGTTTGTGTTTACCCTGGTTCTCCTCTTCATTATATATATATATATATATATATATATATATATATATACATACAGTACTGATAAACCCTCAACCTTCATTTATTATTACTAACTCATGTAAATTATGTACTGTACACAATGTAAACTGTTTAAACTCTTCATATATGTTAACCAGACTAATATGAAATATAGGTTCAAGAGGAGTGAGTTTTATGTTATCTCTCTTGATTTGAAATGTCATTAATTAGGTTCTTTGCTTCATGTGTTTCCTGTACATAGAACAAATACGAAAAATCTATTCTTGAACCCCCTAAAACTAACCTTATTAGTTACTGACCACAATTGGAAATTAATACAATACAGTACAATACTTGTATACGTTATAAAATTATTTTTGTTAGTCCAAGAGTAGATGTAATTTTCTTGTGAGTACAGTAATTATTTTTATTTTGTTTCTCCTGGTTGATATAATTTTACCTCTTGTAAGATAATTTGTAATATTGATCCTCAAGCAGACTTGATCCTGGGCAGCCAGTTCCTTCCTGCACTAGCCACCATAGACAATGAGAATGGAGAGCCAGCAGCCAGAGTGGGGGTCCTTCAGTGCCGACGCTGTTCTGCCAGCTTCCTTCTGGTGAGTCTCGCTGTGGTAGTGTTATACTTAAGGGTGTCTCTTCTCATGCGGTGACGAGAAAATAGTAGACGGTGAATAATATGTCTTTTGATGTACAGTACTGTCTGTGATGATAATGTTTCTGAATTTATAGGCAAGACTAATAAGACCTGAAAGAGGGTGTAGAACTAAATCTCCCTAGGACAAAAACCTAACCTAAGTTAACCTAACCTCAAGAAACATTAAAAAGGGGGGGATTATTGTCTTAGGCGAGCTTTTGTGCAGCCCCTTTAAAACTACTGCTTAAGTGAAATTATATGAAATGTTTGTTAGATAATGGTACCTCAGGTGGTGCCAGACGACTAATGAAGTGAGGACTAGATTTATCTTGTCTTAATCCCTCTTTAAAAACTTTGATGTTATATTTATTTTTTAGATTATATGGAAGCTCATAATAATGGTGATAAGACGAGTATGAATCATTGTAATAAGTAGTAGGAGATATAATACTTGTATTTAACAGTAAGTACAGTACTAGTACTATAAGCTGGTGAAGTACAGTATCATTGAAATTTATTTGATGCATTATGGAGATACTGTACAGTACTGTGTATGTACAGTTGCTAAAATAACTATCTGTGCATACTTTGTGGGAAACAATATGAGACCATGGATGATGAATTTTGGTATATGAGTTATCACTAGTCACACGTAAAATCTCGGAGCACATCGACCCCCAACGCACAGATACCCTGTATAGTTGTTTTAGCTACTGTACAAGAGAGAAAGATAAATATTAGATTAAATTTAACTTAATACAGTAATTACAGTATAAAAATGGTATAGGTATACTGGTATTTAAAAATATAGTGCAGTACAGAAATGCTCATTATATGAAATAAAAGCCCAGTAAAAAAAATTGTATGTCTGGATTAAAGACACATTACTTAAGAAGAATAAAAGATAACAACAGTTTTTAGGAAAATAATTTAAGAGTTATGTAGATGACATGTTGCTATACATACAAATACACTTTAGCTTGTGTACACACCACTCACACACACTACAGTATTTTAAATGAATGATAGTGCAAAGAATAGTAAATATTTCAAATTCCCTATGATGTGTAACCGTATAATCAGGTACACAGTGTTCTTCATTGAGTACAGGATGGTGCATAAGTCACTTTACTGAGAACAATTGTATTCATCATGATTATCAATGTTTTATGGCCATTTACCACACTTATTTGATCTTGGGAAAGCAACATATACACCACCATATATTAACACTTATACTCAAACATAGATACAGAAGAAGCAAATGAAAGAGATGAAGGCAATGAGAACTTTGTGTTCTAGAAGTGATCAACAAAATATTAAAAACTATATCATGTTTTCGTTGTACTACTTTTTGAGGGAAACAACAAAATTATAAATAAAATAGACAAATAGAGATTACACATCATTAACTGATATAAAAAGCAAGTGTAAGCAGATATTTTGCTGTCTTAGCCTTTGCTTGTCAATTTATAACCCTTAAGTCAGTGGAATTTGGCTGTAGGGATGCCAGTCGTCATTTGTGGGTGTGTCATGTTCCCTGCATTCTATTTTTTTCTCTACTCTTTATTCATTGTCTACCTTACAAAAATGTGTGAGAGGAAAATATAGATAAGATATACATCCATACATATACATACTGTACATGCATACGTTTTCTTGTTTCCTATGTGGTTATCAGCATATACATGGATCACACACACCTACAGTGATTTATTTGCACATACATACATATATAAAATATATATAGATATATTTAGATAGATAGGTAGATAAGATACCATAGATATATAGATAGATATAAAAACAAGAATTACCGATAAAATCACAATACTCAGCGAGCATTAATAAGCGTAACCATATTCACAATGATGTCAAACTATTATTAGCTGTGGTCAGAGTTGCCAAAGTCTCGGGCATACTTGGCAAACAGTAGTTAGTAGGTATTGCAGCAACACTTAACATAAATACAGTGATGTGCTGCTCTGGACGTGTTGCCTGATATTAAAGACAATAATACTGATGAGTGTAATATTTTTTATTATTATTTTTTGATGAGTTCAATAGTTTTTAGGAAGTGTATTTTGCCATAAGATTAACCACCCTAATGCTAACCTAACCTAACCTTACTTAACCTAATCTAACCTTACATAAGATAGCATTTTCTAATTTAACCTTACCTAACATAATCTAACTTAACCCTATGTAACCTATTCTGTTCTTAACCTAACATAACATAATCTTACTTAAACTAACCTAACCTGATCAAACCTGATTTAACCTAACCTTACATTCCCAGTAAACATTAGGGTGTTAAGTCATTAGGTGAAATGAGTTGAAGTACCTGTACTAATGTTCAAGTGATCGAAGATCAGAATCCAAAATTTACAGTGATGAGGTAAAGTCTCGTGAAAATTTATCTGTGCATTTCAGTATAACAGTTTTGTAGATACTAATTCAGCCTCCACTAATTTGAAGTACATGTACTAGGTACCGGGGACCCCCCCAAGTTCGCGGATTTTTATTTCGCGGTCCTCTATTATTCTCAGATGATACCCTGGATGTACCAAAGAATGTCTGCGGGTAGTTTTAAAGTTGCCGGGACAGGGAACCATTCTTTCTAGAGGCAGTAATTTCCTTTACCTGTACTGTATTGTATATGTGTGTGTGTGTGTGTGTGTCTACACACACACATATTTACGATACAGGTAAAAGAAATAATTTTCCCAAGGGCAAACACATAAAGGAGTACAGGGTATACATTTCTTTGTACACAAGTAGAAATGTACCCTGCAAATGTGTTATTCGCAGATTTGGCGATTCTCGGTCTTTTTGAGAACTTAACTCCTGCGAATTTGGGAGGCCCCCTGTAATTTGTAATTATTTTGGGCAGTTGTACAAATTAATTTAATTTTGTAGGCAATCTCCCCCACGTGCTCCAAGCAGTCAACAGGTTGGAACAGGAAGTTTCCCTTTGTGTCAGCCTACCAGGCTTGCTGGGTAAAGGAATTTTCAGAAACAGTGCAGTACTGTTTTCTGGGAGTTGCCATATGTTAGAATACTGGATATGAAAGCTTCAACCTGTATGAGAAATAAAGTACTGTAATGAAACATGCTTATAAGCATTTTACTGTGCTCAATCGTACTGCACGTGTCTTCTAGATCTAATATTCAAATTCAATATCGGGTGTTTCGTCGCTGCCTTCTGTTTTCTAAATGTGTTTATTGTAACATGCTACCTGTACAATAGTAGGGAACAGATTCTCCTGTTTTACTACTACTGGTTTAAAGTAATCACTTATCTTCAGCTGCTTGCAAGGAAGAGAAGACTTATCATACATGCTTATTTTATAAATGTTATCTTTAATATTAACTGATAATATTTTACGTAATTTTTAACACTGTTAGTTCCAACTTCAGCTAAGATGAACTGTGCTCTTCACCCGTCCATTCTGGTACATACAGTCAGTGTGTTTTATGTTAATGTCTCAGTGCAGCCCTCCTGCAGTTGCAGCACATTACCTAAGCAACATTAAATAAGTGCATTTGTATTCTATGGTTTTTTTTAATGTTTTATTGGTTAGCACGTAATATAACCAGCTTCTGTACTCAATTTTTGACCTTGTCTTTCCCTGTGCAGGTCCGAGAGGCATTGTCTCACTACCGGTTGCACGTGTTTGAGACACATAAGGAGCACTTTACCGTGGTGGTGGGTGGTGCCTGCCCATTGCCGGGATGTGCCCTTGGGGGTGACAAAGTCCCCACCATACACTTTCACTGTGCTTACTGCTGTTTTACATCTACTGAGGTAAGATAGGAAATGTAGATAAAAATTTAATTATCCAAATTTAACAGCGATGTAGAATTGTTAGATACTATATTGTATATATTTTACTGAAAGGACATACTGTACAGTACAATTGAAGTGTCCTTTAAATATGGAAATACTGTATGTACTCTACTGTATGGTATTATAATTAGAAGGGTTAATAACATTTGTAAAATCACAAAATTTCAATATGGACTTATTATTGAGAAGAAATTCCGATAGTATAGAGTGGACACTGCTGAAGCGTATGTTAACTATTTTGTAAATGAAATGAAAGAAAAACATGGCAGTGAACAGAATAAAAATTAAGGTAAATTAAAAAGACAGAGACAGACAAGATGAAGTATGGAACCTTGGGGCTAAAATTATTTTTGTTCTTTCCTGCATAGATTATGGATCTTCCGTTGCATATGGAGGGACGTCATCTAGCATTCTACCGGGAAGTGAGCTTAGTTCTGCGAGGGGATGACATCCAGCGCACCAAGGTCTTACTATAGCTTCTGTAACCCCTGTAATATATTATTTTTGCTGTAGTGATCATTGGTCATTTTATTTGCAGTGCTGTTGATGCTCACTTTAGCATGTCATGTGTAGCAATTTGTGTTTCAGAGTAATGTACAATATATTAATTAACTTTATTTTAAATAGATTGTAATATTACTTGTTGTGTACTTGATGGCCACTATAGGAATGAAAATGTGAGAAAAAATGTGTAGAAACAGAATATACTATCTAAGGAGTCTTCCTAATTATTCAGCAAAAAATTTAACATTTCTGACACAAAACTTACAATGCAAACATCTTTTACATGTTTTAAAGAATTAATGAGGCACTTGACTAACAACCAGAAGACTGAGAGCTTCTTCTGATTGAGGCATAAGAGAACAGTACTGTTCTGTACTGAACTGTACTGTACTTGATGTTCACCATAACTCACACTGTAAACTTTCTGACTTACCCGATGCATTCTAAAATTTAATTGTAAAAGAAGTACAGTGCTGTACACTAGCAGATGCAACAAGGGATCGTGTACTGTGCTGAAGAGTAATGGGGACTTGCCAGAGCTAATGGGTGTTGGATGACTGGTAATAACATTTAAGGGAAAGTAGGCGAGAAGTGTGGGTATTTGAGTTGATGAGTATAAGAAGGAAGTACTGTAGATGGTCATAGAGAAGTTTGAGGCTTGATTATTATAGGTTATAAAGTGACTAGACCCATTATAGGTGGAAGGTAGTGCATGAAATAACACTATGTGGGTCCTTGTGTTAGTATCCTCATTGTGTCTGAGACCCCGGGTGTAGACAGTGTATGTAAGAGTAATGCACTATTTTGAGAGCATGTATAGACACTGTTTGTAAGTTTTATGCATTATGTGTGTAAACAGTGTCCAGTAAGAGAATGAATTATCTTCCCGGGGTTTTGACAAATACATTGCAGGACGGTCCAGTCATTTGACACACACATGTTTGGAACCCATAAACAGTTGACAGGTCTATGGAACCTTGGAAAGTGGTTGCCAGTGACACCATTCACTGTGATTTCATTATACTTCTGCCAAATCTGGGAAAATACTTCATTCTCTCACTGTAGTACATTAACTTGATGCAGCCATCCACCATACCACCACAGGTCAACTCAGTGTACAAATCACGTGCATCATTATTTTGCTTCAGCATGTTTGTGAATCCATTGAAGATACGTGACAGTGACTCTCTTAATACATGAAATTTTAGGATTAACCGGTGGTTCAGTTTTCAATTTTTATCCTGGGAACATCAAAGATTTATAGTTGGATCCCTGTATTTTTAGGGATTTCAGTTTTAAGGACCTAGGAGTAAGTATTGTTAGGTGCAAACTCTGCTTTAAGTGATACAAATAAATTTAATTGTTATGCAAATTTAAGGTTTCAATTTTTACATGATCAGAAGTTTAATTTGTTTGTCTCATTACTGATGTTTGATTTTGAGACATTTTCAGTTGTTTAAGATTAAGAGATGTAATCATTACTATAATTGTCTGAATTGAATCATTCTAAAAGCTAGTTCACAGACACATTATTAGAAGCATTTGTACTGCTTTGTTAAGTTTATTGCAACTATATCATGTGGCATGTAGCTTTCATGTATGTACAGTATTCATGTTCATATTTGTTACAGTGAAACATTAACTCATGCAACATCTTTTCTCAACATGCAGGTGTACACTTGTGGGGAATGTGGTAAGAAAATCCAAGGGACGGTTTCAACAGTTCAACATTTCTTAGCTCACGACTCTGATCATATGAAGGCCGGAGCTGCTAGGTGTTCGACAATGTTAAACGGCGGTGAATATAAAGACGGAGAACAAGTGCTGGTCAATGGTGATGGTAAGAGTGAAAGTGAAGGTGCAGGAAAGAGTTCAATGCAGTCAAATTTATGGTTGTTGGGGAGCAGACTCCAGAATGGCTCTGAAGAGGAGAAAAAATGTGGTGAGGATGAAAGTAGTCAGGACAAATTAAGTGGTTCAGGGATAGAAGTCAAATCATTAAAAGGTGTCCCTGTGTTAATTAGTCATATGAGCATCCCTGGGCTACAGACCTTGGACCTTGGAGCACTTCTGCAGAATGGCAACAAGGAAAATGAGGTGATAGAAAATGGGAACATAGTAGATAATATAAATAATAATAACTACAGTAACAGTCCCCAGGAACCTCTACAAGTGGAGCTTAACCCTTTAGACTTGTTAACTACTGTCATTGAAGAAGACCAAAAAAGTGAATATCCAATTCTTCCTGCCGAACACTTCCTCCTCAGTCTTCCAGCGCCAACGCATTTCTTAGAGGGTGAGAGTGGGGGCCAGGAGGACTCCACGGACGGTTTCCAAGACGGCCAAGATAACGACGATGACGGTAGCAATGATGGCTACAGTGATATACCCAGTGACATATTATTGGACCATCTAGGAGTGTATCAGTGTGATAAGTGTGAAGAAACCTTTAAATATCAATATCTTCTAGTAACACATAAACATCAGGTGGGTAATGTTGGCTTTGGAGACAGTTTATTTATTGTTGATTAATGTTATTTTACACATATTTGTATACTCGGTGCCTTCTAGGTGTTCTATGTGTACCAGTAGTTGGATAAGGCAGGTTGCTTAATCTTCACGTGATCCACTCTTTAGTACATAATGACCAAAAGCAGTTCAAACATATTTTTTTCCCATTTAATTTGAACTAAATCACTGTTTCTCCTGTGTGTCTGGTGAGGTCAATTTAACTGCATCAGATATTGAAATCATCATTGTATGAAGCAGATTTTAGGATCAATATTATTTTGTCAAACTCAAGAGGTTAGACAGATAATTGATGGTACAGTTTAATTATCTGCTTTGTTATTTTTGATCCCGTGTAGATTAAGAAGCTCTGCTTATTTCACATGATGATTACCTTCACACCCTGTCACTACCTGGGGGAGTTATAATAATGATAATACTGAACAGTATATAATATTGTTCATAGACAATGTAGGTGTACAGTTCAGTACTGCATGTGTACAGTATAGACAGCACAGGTATATGGTGTACATAGACTGTGCAGGTATACAGTTTCCAATGTACTTAGAAAGTGTAGGTACTGTATACAAAAATAGAAAGCAGTAAGGCAATTAGATTAGTGATAGCCGACAAAACCATCAGATGCTTACAGTAAATATAACAATCATTCCATTGTACTTGGACTATCCGAGGCTGATGCTTCACTTCAACAATTCAACATTCTGTGGTTAATAATATAGAAGCTCACTCTCTTCTCTTGCTGTAGCTTCATCTGTTATGTATTTTATATTTTTTGCTTTGAATTGTTTGATAACATTAGTTTAGATTTGATTTGTTTAGGTTTAGGTTTGGTTATTCAGTATTAGGTTAGGTTAGAATTAGGGTGTTTAATGATCAGGTGAAATAAATAAGGGTTCCTAATCTTCATGACATTTTTATTCAGGTTTACATACCATACAAGATATATATATAATAGTTATCATTATGTGGTTTCCAGGTGCATCAGGGTCTTAATGTGCCATTCGAGTGTCAGGTTTGTGGCATGGAATATACAGTTCTACAGGAGCTAAAGCGCCACATGATGACTCACTCAGGAGCCAACATCTATACTTGTAATGTGTGCAGCCAAGGCTTCTCTGACCGAGCCTCCCTCAAGACCCACTCTCTCTCCCACGGGTATGTTATGTTGTCTTGTCTTTTTTAGTTATTTCTTAATAATTATTCAGTTCATTTTCCCTTTACAGTACTGTATTGCCATTTTTTTTCATGTCTCGGTATAGAAATAATTATTGTTCTTGTATACCACATAGTGTATGTATGAGTAGATGACCTTACAGTATTAGGAAGTGATTTAATGTAATATTGTACCTTTATAGGAGTGAGACAAGGCAGTGGTTGATAAAGAGGTACTACTGTAATTTGAGGCTACTTTTTACTATTATGGAATTATAGGACAAAGTATTTTAAGAATTATTGATTGAAAATTTTGTTCTTCATTGATAAGCATTTAGCTAACATAAGTATACCCCTGTATAATTTGTATTTGTTTTTCAGTAGTGGAGTCTTTTGTTACAGAAATGTGATGTAATATTAATTGTTTGACTCCTTGTAAATGACGTATATTGTACATTATTAATAGGAAGATCTTTGGGTGAAAATTGTCAACTTTTTCAGGGGGACTACGGAAAGAGCCAGTAAGTGTGAATCGTGTGCTTGTGAGTTTCCCTCCAAGTCTGAACTCACCAGACACATTGTCAAATATCAGGGGACTTGTAACCCCAACAAGAGTGGTAAGTAGGCTGTGTAAAACATTCTGGTTGTGTAATAAGATTGTTTATCAGTGGTAGAATAAGTGTTGCAGTAAGATAATATTGATATGCTTATAAAGAACTAAAAGTTTTTAAAATTGCTACATAAGATAAACATTTGATAATAAGTGAAAAATACAAGATGCTTCCATTACCCAGAGTATTGTAGGTATTGTGAAGGTTAATCATGACCAGATAAAGAAAATAGAAATTGAAATATGAATTATTTTCAAAGAAGTAAGAAGATCTGGGTTATTATGTGAATTATTTATGCATTTATGTAATATAAACATGTTATAAGAGAAACTGAGATGTGATTTTGCATTGATAGAGGGAGTGCGGTGTGCAACCTGTGGAGAAGATCTTCCCACTTTGGAGGCATTGAAGGATCACCGCCGGACAGCTCACCCCACACCAGAGGTCACCCAAGGCTCTGGCAAGAAGGGCTTTGAATGTGATTATTGTGGGAAGACCTTCAATTGTCGCTCAAACCTCAGAGACCATTTAGTGAGTATATATTCCGCTGATGGTTCACTCGAGCGAAGTTAGAAAGTCACTAAACGGTTAACTTACATAACAAAACATTATTCTTACTCCCGTCACCTTGACATATGCCACATTAATCTTTGCAAAGTACAGTACCTGGTTACCTGGTTAGTTTAAAAGATCACGGCCGGATCAGCAGAGCAGCGCCTAGTGCATCCTCATCCCATGGGAACTGAAGACAAAGTGTATGTGTGTGTGTGTGTGTGGAAAAAATTTCTTATTTTACAGGGAATGAAACTTATGGATTTTATGGTATCTGGTTTTTTTTGTGTTTTTATTATATAACAACAAAATGATTGTGCATATAAACACTGTTAAATGTTGCAGGTTGTTCACACTGGCGAGAAACCGTACCCATGTGATATATGTGGCAAGTCATTCAGCTTCATCCATAACATGAAGACTCACAGACTAACCCACAATGAAGGAAGGAATGAGGTGTGTCCGTACTGTGATAAAGCCTACAAGAGTAAGATCTCACTCTACTACCACATGAAGAAAGGCAACTGTAGAGGACTGTCAACCAAAGAGGTAAAGTTGTGCTCATTTTTCTCACTCAGAGGACACAATTGAGTACATTGCAGTAGTCATCATGGTGTTAACTCTCTCTCCTGTATGTTATTGGACAGTGTTTTACCTGTAATAGACTCAGTTGTGAGGATTTTGGAATTGCATTTGAAGTTTTGCTTTTTGTTTCTTAGGAATGTATCTGTATTTGGTTTGCTCACTCCTCCTGGGTTTGAACATGCCTTTGTTAATACATACGACAGAAAGGGTTGGAGGTTTATTAAGTTTGAACTACAAGTTCTCATGCCATCTTGTCCATGTAACTTGATGACAAGAAGTGTGGATAAAGAGTATTTTTTTATGGTGTGGTGTTCTTGAAAAAAGTTTGACATTTATGGATTGGAAAAGAATGGTTTGATTAAGTCTTTCTGGGTCCATCCTTCTGTTGCATTAATCATTCTATCATTCACTACAACCCTTCAACAGTGTTATAAATATGTTTCACAGATAACAGCCATACAACAATTAAAGTTTTTCATGGTGTACTTTAGGCTTCCTGTGTGTGTCCTCGCAGTTTATGTTGATCTGGATGTGTGTGGTGATGAGATACTTGAGTGTTGCTGCAGGATCTCTTAATATGTGTTATGGCTGAAGCTTAAGTAATTTGTGGAGCATCAAAAAACTCATACACTTATATTGTAGTCCAGGATGGTTTTGAAACTTGCTTTTAGTAAATAATTATAATTTACTTGTTATTCAAAATGAACTCTTAATTGTCTGAATTTTTGTTGGGTGCAGTATTGGATAAGTAATTGGATAGCATCTATGGATATGCAATCAGTAATTGTTATACTATAATGCCATTTTATACATGGAGTTTGTTTTATTTATTTATTTTTCTTCCACTCACAGGTGCCAGAAGGGTATCACCGTTGTACTGAGTGCCTGCAGATGTTTGCCAGTGAAGAAAGATTTAAGATCCACAAGGATAAAGGTCACTGTCAGGTGTCTCATCGCTGCCAGCACTGTGGTCTGCGGTGCTCTACTGAAACACGGCTCCAGAACCATCTTCAAAAGGGTGTCTGTCAGAAGAAGGTGAATATGGCATTGTATACTTTGTTTCAGTTACCTCCTGCATGCTGTTATACATATTCTTATACCAACATTATAACCTGTTGGAATAACAAAGAATTTAGTTTTACCACATATTTTTAAATGTATTGTGGATTTCAGGACTCTCCGTCAAGTCAAAATTCGTCTGATGCACCCAAGAAGCGTCGCTTGGGGAAGGAACGAGAGAAGCCTCAGGAGGAGATAGTGTGTGACCGGTGTAACTATACCAAAGACTGCTGCTGCACTTTCTCCTGTAATCACTGTGGTAAGAGAGTCTTCTCCATCATGGCGTACACCCTCCACTCCGAGAGAACGTGCCCGGTCCTCAAGCACAGACGAGAACGCATCCGAATGGCAATCATGGAGAAGAGGCGTCGCAGGGAAGGGCTGGCTCCTTCCACAGAGGAATTGACATTGCCGCTTGAGATTAAACCTGAAGTAGGACAAAGAATTCAGCCTTATAGGGACTTCCTCAGAATTGGACATGATAAGAGTATAGACGGGAAGGACTTCAAAAGAAAATCTTTTGACAGTGTGAGAGAAGATATGAAAAGAAGAGAAGTTGTAATTGAAAAACCTGTCGAGATAGTTAATCAGAGGCCTGAAGATGGGGATGGTGATGACAGCAGTTCTGGTAGTCTCACTGATCTCTCAACATTTACCTCACCAAATATACTTCAGCCAGTCACTAATCCTACTGATGAGTGATGAAATGTGTTCACGTTATCCAGAAAATTTTACCAACTGTTAATCCTTCAATCGGAGAACTGACTATGTATGTATTTGGAGTAATCTATCACATCTCAAGGTCTTCATGATTTAGTTCTCAAATTTACTGTTTAAAAAGGTCAGATAATAAAAGCTAAAGAAATAGCTAAATATGAAGTGAACTACAGTACACTGATAGCTCAACTCAGAGAAACTTATTTTGTACCTGACTTTTCATTGTGCCAAAGAAAGGCTAGTGTCAGGGGTGATATGTGCGGGACTTAACATGATGTGGAAAAAATTTTCTTGGCGCTGTTACTTCTTACATGTGTATAATTTTTTACATAATTATAATATTAACCAATTTTGATATTTGTTATGGTAAAAGTTTCATACGAGATCACACTCTCAACTCCAAGTTAGTGCCACCCATAGAGTGTTCCTCCGGTGTTAGCGGTAAAGATAAACAGTACAGTACGCAAACAATGCCTTGAAACACCACCTGTTGAGGAATCATCGGCCGAGGTGAAAATGTTTGTCGTCTTCATTCACGGTCACTTGAGTGTGTCTGCTGAAAGTCCGGTGTTCCCGTTTGTGGTTCTCAGCATGTGCTTCATATTCATATAATGTAAATGAAGAGAATCAGATTCCTCCTAGCCATGCATTTGGCCAAAATGTAAATAAAAACCAGAGCAGCCTAAACCTTACACAGTGTTAAGAATTTTCACCAGTTTCCTGTGAATAGGATAATAATAATAACGCTTGTCAAGAGAATTGTTCGTATGCAGCTGATATGCAGTTTGCTTCAGAGGTCACATTACTCAAGGTCATCAAATTAACCAGTCATATGTTAGTCTTAGTTATACTGTACATGAAGTAATGATTGGTAGTTTTTGACAGTGAGAAGAGTGGAAGTTTACACTTTTGACTGGGTCTAAAGTGCAACATAATTTTTTTAATGTTAAATTGCATTAATAAGGTATTGAAAGATGTGAGAACATTTAATACTAGGAGTTGCAATTGTCTTCAATTGAGATTTAAGTGTTCTTGTGTTGTCAGGTAACATAGTGTACCATTTAAGTCACTCTGTTGCAATAATTAGATGATTTAAATTATTCTTGATTATTTTGATGAATTAATATACAGTACAGTAGTCCCTCACCAACCGTGAGGGTTAGATACCAAGTTCCACGGCTGCAGATAACACTCATCAAAGCCTAACTAAGTTTACTTCTCTAGTGCATCCCACTGATGCTATACTCTCCCCATGCTCTAGTCTATCAAGCACTTCAACTTTCTTTTCTCATGTCATTCTGTTCTTTGCCCTTTTCACCTTCTCACCTTTATCACTAACACTCAATGAACACTTAGTGGCCATAGTTAAGGGCAAAATCAATGTTAATACAGTACAACATATGTGAAAGAATATGGAGCAGTATAGTATGCTGCAACATCAGAACACTGAAGAGCAGTGGCAGGAGAGGGGATGCTGCACTAGCCCACAGATACATAAAACCGTGGATACCTGGGAAATCCTTGTTTGGTGAGGGTCTACTGTAATCCGTTTAAAGTATTACTGTAAACCCATCATATAGCCTTGGATAATTCACATTATTAAAATTAATAGTATCACATGTTGTTAATGTCAATTATTTAAATATCTAACTTTTTATCATCTAACTTTAAAGCTGTTTGTACTGTTCCACTTAGAGGATTTTGGGATACAGTACTAAATTTGTTTAAAATTTAATAAACTATAAACATAATGAATTTATCATAAGTTGTAACAGTGTTTCTTATAAGTCTCTTCTGAAATTTTATAAGTAATTTAAGTTATTTATTGCAGTATTTTGGGTCCTTGATATTGTACTACTGAACAATAGTAAAGTGAGGTGAATCATGGGGTTAGGGCAGTGTTGTAGAGCTAACAAGTTGATGGTGTAACAAGGACTGCCCTCATAATGTAGTAAGCAAGAATCGTTATACTGTACCTTCTAAATTTATCAATGCTTCTCTGTCGCAAGTAATACAGAAAGTTAACGAGTATTCAGGTGAGTTTATGCTACTGGGCAATTCAGAGTAATACCAGTTCTCGGCTTTAAGATTATACGCTTAGTTCTAGTTCTTAGTTTATATTTTATGGCCATGTTGGGTCATCTATATTTGGACATTATTGTATACGTTTCATTCATAACATTTTTTTGTATGATGCCACTGATCACTACATCTGAAACTGTAATATTCATTATTTACACTTATGACTCGGTGGATTTTATGATATTATTGAAGAATTGTTTATGAGCCGGTTCTCTCTTTTTTTCTCTTTATATATATATTTTTTTTAGTGACATACAAGGCATCAGTAAGTGACCTTCAAGATCCATACCAGCATAAGCCTGCCATATGGGAGAGAGGCAGATTACTGTACTAGAGGGGCAGTGACTGTGGTTCTAGGAAGTACATAATGTGAATCTTTTTTACCTTTTGTAGAAGATAGGCCTTTTAGAGGAGCTGCTACTGTAGCTCTGGACTTCTTGCACAAGTCCTCCTCCAATGCATTCCATGCTGGTTTAGATTTTTGTAGGTCCTTTGTTGATAACCTGAGTTACATGTGGAGTTTTAAAGAAAATACTGTACTATACTGTAGTCCCATTTCATGACTTAGGATAAGAAACAATGACCTGGTTCCCCTTTTTCCTCTCTTGATGGAGTTGTTAGCAGACAACAGTTTAGAGGATCACACTATAAACTTCCTTTTATGGCTGACAGGGCTCAGAAAGAGTACTCACGTAAAATCATTGACCTAGTATCCTGAACCCATCCAAGTTCTTGAGAAAATTACTCGACCAATTGGAGCTGAATTTGACCATGATTAGACTGGTTCAGAAGGCAGCACTGTAAATGCTTAATCTACATGGATGGAGTATCCTGCCATGATACATGTGAAGCTCTCTGACAGAGGCAGGCCAGGCCAAGGATGTGTGCTGTATGGGTCTTGCTGATCACTTGTTTCTTTAACCTGGTGATAAAATAGGACTTAATTTTTCAGTTCTTTGTTTCTCATAAACTGAGTTTTTAGTGTTTATTGTTTGTCTCCATATTTCCCTCATTATTTTCTTGAGTAATTGTTATGTAAAGTTGCAGAAATAATCTCTCAGCAAGTCTCTCTTGGTGATCACTTTATCACTGACACTAATTGGATGATTGCTGAAGAAAATTATTAATAGAAAGGCAAATTCCTGACATTCATGTAATCAATATTTTAATTCTCGTACATTTTCGTAAATGTTCACATTACTTCAGTGATGTGGAAATTGTTACCTCTGTATTACAGTACAGGTACTGTACTTCAGAATTTGAAGGTGATATGGGATCTAATAATTAGACCAAGTGTGGCAGCTTAACTACTCCTTGTGTTTGATATGTATGAGAATACAGTACTTGCCTAAGAGTGGGCAGAAACAGCTGTAGAATGTCCTATTCAGTCCTTTATAATTGTGATTATGCATTTATATACATTTTAATAATGCATGTGTTCGAATGACAATGTACAAGAGAGTTTATGTAAAACTAAGTGAGAATTTTTGTGATAATCAGTGGCAGGTCACATTTATGTCACCTCTGTACAGATCAACAGATACACCAATTTCTCACCTCAATATTTCTAATTTACATTTTTATATTTTCTTACCAGAACAGTGTGTAGTTACAAAAGTTTTAAGGAGATTTTGCAGAGATTATTATTCCAGAGATGTCAGAAATGGCAGATAATTTGTGGACATAGAAGTAGACAATGTTATTTGTTTAGGAGAATTTACTGTACCCTTTAAACATTACTGTATACTGTTTTTAAGGTCCAGCTTCACACGATCACAGTAGGAGGTTTGACATGCAGAGGGTTGTCACTGACCGTCCAAAGTGTCTAGTCTAGATAGTGAGAGTTGGTGTGCGAGATGAAAACCATGTGTATTCCCGTCTCTTCGTTCGTTAATATACCTGGTAAGTTAGCCCAGACGAGTTGTAATCTATATTTATAAAAATATTTATACCGAGTGAGTTGGGTTGAGTTTTTTTTAGTATGGAAGTGGGTTAAGGAGTTTCTACTCTTTATCCTGTGATCATAAGACAACAGACTTAAGGTGATGCAAAGAAGGGCAGTTCCTATGAGTCAACTACAACAATAGGATATACAGTACAGTATGTTGCAGCACCTCTTGTAGCATTACACACACACATCAAACATAGATTTAGTAGTCTTCTCTCCATTCTCTCACATGTTTCTCTCACAACTATGGCCATAATCTTCCTTCAGTACTGTACTACAAGTTTTCTCCCTGGGGATTGTCTTCATTTACGTGATAATCAGTGTGAATGGAGGGTTAGTTCTTAGCATGTAATCTGACTGGTTGTTTTCCATTAACAGTTTGAGGCAAAAGTCCTAACTGGTGAAATCTTTAGCCTATAGAGGACACCCACGACTGGTTGAACTCAGATCAACCCTTGTTCCATCTTAATATTGTATTTGTTTTTTGGATATATTGGATTACAGTATCCTGTTTGATTGATTTGACTTTAAAGAAATTGTGAACAGATGCTGATATTCACTTCTAAGGATCTCAATTATTGTGTTGTTGATGCTGTACAAGATATTAACTAATCTCTGTGTGTTGTGTAAGGTCTAAAGTGTCTGTCTACTGGTGCCATGGCCCAGTAATGCTGTGCCATGGCCCAGTAATGCTTGTGATATATGTCCAATATTTTAAGAAGGAAGTGTTTTCTTTTTTCTTTTGATATTGTTGAAGGTATTACTATTTGTTTAATAACCAAATTATTGTCATTATTTGATATTAATATTATTATTTAGTATCAATATATCAACACTTATTATTACCATTAGTGATAAGAGTCTCATCTGTCTTTAACCTTCCCTTCGGTACAATATCTTTCATTGTATCAGTTTCCTTCATATTATCATCTTCATGTTTTATTCTCACCACTTCACATCCGGTCCCTGTTTGCTTTTAAAAATATCCGTTTGAACTGCTCGAACTAATTACAGTATCTCTTCATCAGTCTATATTATTGAGCTTGTAACCATATTCAGAACAATAAGCAGGATCTTTCTCTTACTATTGACCATCTCCACACCTACATGTGTCTAAGACTCAGGAAACAGCTGCTGAAACTTTTAATAGAGAGTTCTGTATGGTGGTTGTTGTAAAAAAAAAAACTAACCCCCTGTACTGGTACCTTTATTCCTTTCACTAAATTTTTTTTAATAGATTTTGTGAAAGACATGAAGTGTGTTAGTTTACTAGAAGGAGCTGATATTGGAAGCTTTGGGGAACACTAAAGGGTGTCTACCAGGGCCGGATCCAGGAATATAAAAAAGGTGGGGGGAGGAGGAACTGGCGAGCATAGTGAACCCACCCAGTCGCACACTTGATATTAAAGAGATATTCTGAGGTTAATAGTAACTACTTTTTACTGTACAAAATTGCATGAGTACAATACTGCATTAAAGAAAAAAAAAATTGAATTTTCTGCTGAAAAGTGGGAATCTGGACCCTTGGTATCCTCCCCTGTCTACACTCTGTTTATATCTGATGGTTCGTCTTGCTTCCACAGAATTCACACAATTTGCAATTTCTCATCCTAGTTTACCATTTTATTACTCTACTATGGCTCAAGTTGTGTGTGTAAATATAATTATGAAATTTATCCTATGAATTTGGGGTTGGTTGTTTTTATTCTATTTAATTGGGCAGGACAGTGTCTACTTGCGAGTCAGGTGGTTGTTGGGGCCTATTTGGTATTGTTCCAACTAATCTTGTTTTATGGTCCCTATCAGTCTTTCTGTTCTTGTCTTTTCCACATTATAACCAGTTGTGGAGGGAGTAGCATCTTTGTTTATACATTCAATACTTTTCTGGAAGCAAATTTTACCTGCTTCAATTTTTTTGTAACCATGGCATTAAATTGTAAACTTCCTTGGCTTAAGTTACTAGCATTTAGTTGTTTGTTTGGAGAAGTGAATTAATACCACAGTGTTTTAAGTGTCAATATATCTCTTAAAAGACATGGACTCCTAAACTACTGTACTATATAGGGGGTTAAGTTTTTCCTTTCCTAGGTGAGGGACATTCACTTAAGTCTTAAACAGCAGCCATCATCAGTGGATGTCAGCTGCAAGGATGGCAGCCATCATCAGTGGATGTCAACTGTAAGGATGGCGGCCATCATCAGTGGATGTCAGCTGCAAGGATGGCAGCCATCATCAGTGGATGTCAACTGTAAGGATGGCGGCCATCATCAGTGGACGTTTCAGGTTTGTTGTGTTTAACTTTGGTGCAAATGGTGGTGGAGTCGGGGATCCGTAGCCAGTGGTTAAGGGTTAAGCAGCTGCTGCTGAAAATTTGTCAAGTTTAGAATTTGAGAATTGTCAGACATGACTGGTAGATAAACTCCCGGTAATATATGGTGTAGTAGTGTTTGAAGTAAAATTTTTACAAAACAATTAGAATGAAGAATATATAATTTCCCCAATATACTACAGGTTCTACATAAATAAGTAAGACTCTTGGCAGTTCCAGAAATGTTGAAAAAAGTGAACCCTTGAATAACCCCTTTAGGTTACACTGCATTTATACAGGGTATATAAGAAACGCTTTCACATTTTTAATATTTTATTATTATTATTTTGGAATAAGTGTGTCCAGGATTTGATGTGTTGTCTTGGCACTTTTTGCTTTTATGATGTTTAGAAGAATATTTTTGATATTGTTAGTGAACAAAAGAACTGGTTTTCTCATAATTGTTTGTAAATAAGTGCAAGGAACAATATAATTTTCATCTGCCACTGAAATGAATTTATCTTCCATTAGATATTGTTGGTTGTCATGTATGATTGAGCAGTGTACAGTTATATGGTACAGGTAGGAGTGGTCTTGGAATTCTCTTACTTCTAAATAGAGCATCAAGTGTACAAGTGCCAAGATATAACTTATTTATGAGAGAAGTAACATACTGAATATAGATGGATAAACATAGTAGTTCCTGCATTGTAATCTTAAGGAGATTGTATTAAGTCATCCAGGAGACAGACATTACCGTAGATACGTGACGGGGGTGGGGGGGGGCAATACTGGCATGATGTTGTCTCAGCAAACAAGCAATTTCTAAACCACCGTTACTTTGACAAAACTGCTGGCAAGGTACATATCACATACTCAGTGTTCAGTGCCGTGATCTGGGTCTAGTTTTGTAGTCTTCAGCCCAGTGTCACTCATTAGATTTGAATGATGATTTTTAGATTAGTTTTTCATGGTCTGCATCTTTCACTGTTCAGGTGAATGTTTCAATCAGAGTAGTTCAGATAGATGATCCAGTCACATATTTTATGCTGTTTTACTGGGTTTTTGGAACTACTTATGTTCAGGGATTGATTTTTCAAGGCTTAAAAAATTTGTATTAGGTGGGCATGTCATATTGAGAATGTAACATATTTCTGTTCTATATTATTGTGGATGGTCTTCATGTACATAGTTAAGTTGGGTCAATGGTCTGTCTGTGTGGTCTGAAGCCTGAACAATCACCCACAGCAATAAATGTAACTGTTACAGTAAAAATGTTTATAGAATTTAATTATTCATTTTGTTCCTTTATGTTTGTGTTTTCTTTCCTAATGTTACCTATTAATACTATACCTGCATGTTGTCATTGTACCTACCCAAACTAGATACTGTACGTATAATATTGGGTAGATATAGTGAGAGTTTACATCAGTAATGAGTGAAATGGAAACTTGTGTACAGTAAACCTTCGCTGTTTTGGACATTTGGGAGTGAAAGTATGAAAACTTAACATGTTTCAAAATTGGAGACTCCACAAGAAACTGTCAATTGATGGCAGGCTGCTCATTTACCTGTTATGAAGACCATTGTCTACAGTGGAACAACTTGTCTTTACTGTAAGTGAAAGTTTCCTTGCATTGCTGAGTATTTGGCCAGTCATGCAGGAGCTTTCATATGCTTAGTGTTGTGGGACACCCTGAGGCTGGGGTACACAGGGGTGGTGTAGTAACCTCCACTACTCTGGAAGTTTTTGTCAGAAGGTTTACTCAGATGGCATCCTGGGTTAAAAGTTACACATTGAATGGATAAAAAATAAATAAGTTTCTCAACAATTTTATTATCTATGAAACATGAAAATGGATTTACACAGGAATTACTGGTACAGTACAGTTAGGGAAAAAATATGTTGTTCTAATTCAAGCTAACTGAAAGTTTTGAGTCATCCTAATTATTCGATAGACTTATGACTAGGGGTATAGTATAGTAGCAATTGAACTCTATTGTGAGCAATGAAGACTCGGAATAGCATACAGTACAGTACTTTACCTACCATAACATGCAGGTCTGTGACTAAAAAAAATTGACATTACTTCAACTTGAAATTCTTACATATTAATTTAGTTACCATCATAGTGTATATTCTTATGAACTCTAGCTTCTCAGAACTGTCATTTTGAAGCAACAATACTGTGTCACCTAGCCAACCCTAACATAACCAAACAATAAAATCTACATCTAATGACCTAAGTAGCACTAGGATGTTTAATCATCAGATGAAATAAGCTGGGGGGTCTAACCTAAATGTAATCCCCAAAAATTAAATGAAGGAATGGTCCTGAAACCCTGTTTTATAGAACTACAGTAGCCAGCTCAAGTATCTGTACTCAATTAGCCATAAACCTTCAACCCAGGACAAATAAACATTAGTATCCACAATTAACTCATAAGTGATAAGGAAACATCCCAATTGCAACTACAGTCATGAAATGAGGAAAGTAAAGAAAGAAGCTTTTTCCCTCATGGCTACAGTACAGTACAGTATATTCAGATATCCCGATTTACGATCTCCCTATCTGCGATATTCGATTTTAATGATGGTGGTGTACTAAGACCACCCCCCCGTTTGTGGTGTTAACAATCCGCATGAATGATGGTCATCGTCTGGCCAACATAGTTGCATCTCTCAGTTCAATTGTCAGCTGTGGTCTACCCATGCACTACAATGCCAAGCTTTGTTCCATGGTGGTCACACATGGTCATGATTATGTAGCTCAACGATAATTGGTCAGTATCGGTGTTGTTACTTATCATTGGGGTTATTTATTTGTTTTTTACCTTACAGGGAGAGGACATCACTAATGTTCACATTGTACTCTGTTTTGGTGACTGTGAAGTGATTTTTGCTATGTTTTTGTGACTGTAAATTGTTTTACCTCTGTTGTTGCAAACATGATGTGAACAGTGACGTCTGCAATAACTTTATTATCATTCGCTCTGTTTTTGTGACTGAAGTGAACAGTATAACTTTGAAAATAACTGGGAAGGTCTAGGAACCCAGGAAAACTGTGTCTGGAAGTGAAGCTTGACATTGTGAAGTGACATGAGACTCCCCAGATGCTGTGTGGGAGTCAGAGTGACGTCTCCATTCCACCTTCAATAGTTTCTTTAGCCTCGAAGGGGACATGTATTGATGACCAGGCTTGTTCATAATGATGTGGTGAGTATTGTTTGTGTTGTAGGTACAGTATAGTATTGTGTAGAATTTTTTTTTTCGCTGATACATGTGGGTGTTGGACTGGCTGGAAATGTATCCCATTGAACCCCATGTTATAATGATCCCAATGTACGATATTTTGACCTGCGATGGGTTTTCAGGAACGCAACCCCGTCGTATAAAGGGTACTCCTGTATAAAAATTTTCACACATCTTATTCATCATCACCTTTCTGCTGTACTGTACTGTGTTTATTTACACTTTTCATCTCTCACCTCACAGCCAGAATTACCATATACTGTATATACACATCATAGCTGTACTCCACCCTTATACTTTTCCCATTTAATTTACAAAACAAATTATATAAAATTAATTAAACAATTATATTTCCAGTATATAAGGTTTAATTACAAATGGATAATAAATCAAAGGAATAATGAAATCAAGTCAGTATAAACAAATCTTTCATTAAGCTGCCAAAAAACAAGCAGTGTAAAAAAGTGTACAGTATTGGTATGTTTTGTTACTTTCTAAAAAATCACCCCAAAGAAATTATTTCTTCTAAGCATGTGTAACTTTAAATCAACATATATATAAAAATATATCTAAAAGACCCAATGACTTCAGTACAGTAATAACTCTTATTATTGAACAATTACACAGCGTTCAGGACATGGGCTAAATATTAAAAAAATAATACCGGGTACATAAAAAACAGGCCCACAAACTGTTCTCTTTTGAAACCAGATGACATACTGCATATCTTAACCTACGCTTATCTAATAATTATTGGGTAACTAGTTAGCTTAATTTTCACTGACTCGCATTATTGGTTTAGTAATCCTGGTCGCATTGTTTAACGTCAGCCATTGTATTAGCACATACACTCTGACACATTATTAGTAGAACCAGGACACAAGAACATATTAAGTTTGTTCATCAGCCAGCATACATAGATAAAAAAAGAAGAGAATCCATATCATAGTCACATAGCCTCTGTCTTTAACATTCTAGAGGTAGTGTATGTTGCAGGGGAGGTTCAGCACCACCAGTGTCTACCAAAGGTATGACTATGAACAGTAACTTATATCACAATACAGTACATTCACTTAACTTAGAAATGTGACCAATATTTTTTGATCACCACTCCTGTTTCTTTACTCATTTATAATGAACCTAAATAATTTTTTTTCAAAGTAACTGGGATATATATGGCACGAATTAATAAGTTACCATTATCTCAAGGTCGACTTACATAATAGAGTATAAAAGTTTAAGCCCCTCTGACAAATTGCCAGTAAATACTAAAATGCAAATTGAACTACAGCCACCTATCAACCTGTGTAACTATACATATCTCATTGTAATGTTATTTATTTTCTCAATTAACTAAGACTAGCACAAGACAATATTTATGGCCCCAGGTAATCACAACTGACACTGACTTGATCCTGGATGCTAAGTTAATGATATATCTCACAACAAACAGAACACAGTACAAACCAAGTTCATAACATTAACAGTGTCTTTAAAAAAGAAACGTATATTACTGCCAACAATAAAAAAGGTTTTCACAAATAGCGGGTAGTTATTATTTATGGTCTTGTAGCCAGGGCCTATAAGAGCAAAGACATGATATTGAGCAAAGCTAAATTCATCCCGGGAGAAATATACCGATAAAGAAAGAGAAGAATCAAAGACCCCCACAAACATCAGCTGAGGTACTGAACCTGACCAAATTAAACAATCTTATTAATTCAATTAATGTCAGACATTTACATCAAGTGTGGTTCATTTCATGTCATGAAATTCCATAAACTAAAGATGTTATTTGGCAGTGTATGATGAATTCATGCAAGTTCCAATGAAAACTATGATACAAAAAGTTATTTAGTGTCTGTAGTTTAAAAATCTTGAAGAATAATGAAAAATATGTTCCCATTTATTTTAACTAGTTTGATTCCTCTCACCTTCCTGTGACACTTACTAGTGGGGTCTTCTCCTGAAGCAAACTTTATGCAGGAACTAATTTTGCTAAGGGATCTAATACAGCCACCAGACCAGCAAACGATGACACACTCCCCAGGATGCCAACCATCCCTGGAGACAACTTAGTGTGACCAAGGCTAGTTAGAGGGATCCACAGGTCACACAAGTTCTTCAAACTGTCCCAAAATACATCTCGATGTTCCTCTGCAAACTGCACTAACGGCCTAGTTGCTGGAATGCTATTGTACACAGTTTTTATGACAGGGACGTTCTTATACAGGCACGACACTGGATTTTGACAATGAGCCTGTTTTCGAAGAATTTGGTAAATTTCATATATATCTCTGAGCAGATTCAGAATGATAGATCCTAGCCAAAACTTATTTGAATAGTCAGACCATTTTTCCTTGTTGATATCAAAGAGTCCAACTCTGCCAACCCAAATGATGTGGTCCACCAGCAAGAAGAAGGACTGGTAGATTCTGGAGAGTGTGAGTGTGACCCGCAGCACCGCATCTGGCAGGTGAAGGGTACGCAGAGTTCCATGAAGAACCTCCACACACTTCCCAAATCGTAACACTGTCGAATATGATCTTTATTATTTACAGGTTCATATCGTGTGTTCACAAAGCCAAAGTTACATAATAATATTTATTCAGTAAAATTGTCATATAGGTTTACAATTGAATAAGCGTGTACTGTATATTAACTATGTAGGTACAGTATACATTTCAGCATGAATGTAGACAATGTAGGTATTGTATATACAGATTTTTGCATGTAGGCCGTGGGAGGATGTATTCAGCTTCCTGTGTGCCGAAACAGTGCAGGTATACAACAATGGTAAACAGTAAGGCAATATAACTCACGATAGCCGAGAAAGCTCATTTCCAGGAGGCGTGCCCCAGTATAACTCTCAGTAAAACAAATAATAGTGAGACAACAGTACTCCCCAGCAGCCACAGTTTTTCCTCAGGTATCCCATGACTGTAGTCCAACTCTTATTCATTATTTTTTCATGTCTTCTCTCAAATCTCCATCGCCTCAACTCCAATTTGTAGGAAGCATTATACATTAACTAAATATTATCAAGATCATATGAAGTACCAGTATACAGTACAGTACTTCACTCATTAGCTACAGTAATTATATTCACACATTTTTCCAAATAACTAAGTTCATACCAAATACGGGTATCTGTATTGTAATATTTGGGAGAGTTTGTAAAGCACTAGCCACCAAGTCATAGTTCGGCTTCACCTTATATTCACTCACTAGTACAGTATACAAGAAGTTAGTGCAGCTGGCTACTCCATACTGTACTCCAAATTTCCTTACTATGCTTTGTTCATACAAGGATTTTTTCAAGACTATGTTCAGATCTCTTGACATAATATAAAAAAAATGACCAACTATAGAGACCAAAACATCTTAAAAATGAATCAATATGGAATGAATCTTACATTTTCTAAAAGTAGAAAAAGAGCTCTCCAGGATCTTGAGGCGGGCTACTAAGTCTCGGATGTTCTTCCTGCTCTCCAGGTTGTGCCACACAAAGCGACTCAGGTATTGAATCAGCCTGCCAAGAAGGAAGTAATTGGTAACTACCCTATGTGTATTCCTAACAAAACTAACAAGACCAATAATAATTACCCTATGTGTACAGTGCAGGGGTATATTACTAACAAACAATTTCAGTTGCAGGATGGTACATTATAGCTCCAGGTACTGTAATATAACAGTCTAATGTGGATACAATTATAGTACAGTACTGTACCACTAAACTGTGACTCAAGAATTTTCTCAATAATTACTACACCTCCACACAACACTCCATCTCTCACACAGGGCCTCTCCTTGCTCTTACCATCCAAATATAGGACTGTACTTGTCTTGTTTATTACCTGAAGAGCTTGTCCTTCCCTGCAGTAGAGGAGTTCACCTTAACCCAAACATCCATGGTTCATGCTACTGTGAATGTAAGAGGTTATGATTTATTATTAGTACAGTATGGTAGAATATTTATTGAATGAGAAAATGTTGATTAACTTCATGACAAATGGAAAAAAAATACTATACTGTACAGTATTTATCTATTATTAAACATGAATACATTAGTGGTCTCTCCATTAGCCAGAATCTTCAATCCTCAGAACTCTCCAACAGGCAATTTTTTTTTACAATTCCAGAAAATTTTTTCTCCATTCTGGGTATCCAAATGAATTTCTGAGGATTGCATCATGAGTATTTCCAGAAAATTACGAGAAAGTTTCTCCGTTCCGGACATGGGCGTGCACTGGCCCCTGAATGTATCTGCACCCATTCCAGTGCTGGTCAAATCTGGTCTTAACAGCTTACACTCGGTGCCGTCACAACCCTCTCTGGCAATTTTATGACTTTATCAAGACCAAACTTGTTTATCTTCATGATACACCAAGGGCCTTGTAAATGCTAATAGCAGCAGTGTTATTGTCCAAAAGACGTTGAATGGTTTCACAATCAGACGCGTAACACCCACTACCCAGGAAAGACATACGACAAGTGAAGATTTCCATTTGAAATGATTGGGCATACACAGACCTCTCTTGTGACAGTGACGGTCCCTGACTGTATTATGATTTCTCTTTTTTCCTGTATCTTCCCATGTAAAAACAAATTTTAAGTTCCGTGGATGGTCACGACAAAATACGCTGTATTGACCAAATACCCTTATCCACTAATTATCTGGTACCAATGACAAAGCCACATATCTTTCAAGAGTACCTAATTAGTACACCTTGTTAATTACCCCGGTACCTGTATTTGGTATGAACTTAGTTATTTGGAAAAATGTGTGAATATAATTACTGTAGCTAATGAGTGAAGTACTGTACTGTATACTGGTACTTCATATGATCTTGATAATATTTAGTTAATGTATAATGCTTCCTACAAATTGGAGTTGAGGTGATGGAGATTTGAGAGAAGACATGAAAAAATAATGAATAAGAGTTGGACTACAGTCATGGGATACCTGAGGAAAAACTGTGGCTGCTGGGGAGTACTGTTGTCTCACTATTATTTGTTTTACTGAGAGTTATACTGGGGCACGCCTCCTGGAAATGAGCTTTCTCGGCTATCGTGAGTTATATTGCCTTACTGTTTACCATTGTTGTATACCTGCACTGTTTCGGCACACAGGAAGCTGAATACATCCTCCCACGGCCTACATGCAAAAATCTGTATATACAATACCTACATTGTCTACATTCATGCTGAAATGTATACCCGGTATTACCTGCTGAGCCATGTTCACCCATTACATAACACCCTCCCTCCAATTATCACATCTCATTTTGTAATAGATCAAATGCCTGCAAATATATGTAAAGTCATTATAATGTTAACTACATACCAGACAAAATTTTCCAAAAGACCCGATAAGCTCCAGCAGCCACCTGACGCTGTACACTACCCAACACTTGTTTACATTATATCAGCTGATCCACACGCACACCTCACTCACCCACCAATCACAACTAAGCTTCACTATAAGCCTTATTACCATTGGATGAAAAATTGTTTATTCCTTGGTGTTTGGAAATTTGCCTGCACGCCTTATCGGAGTCCACGGTCATGAAGCCCGAATCATGACTAGTCTTGGATACACCCGAGTACAGTACAAGACGAAGAGCAGATTCTTTTTTTACTTATGGGTGTTATAACCCTACTTTACTCTTACTTTACATCACCCAACAGGGAAGCCTATGCAGTTCATGCTTGCCTTCGACTGTATGGTAAGTATGGCTGGAGAGCTGTTTATAATATGCACCCTACATAACACCACAAGCCACTCATTACCGCAAGCTACACCTGCATTGTGTATATGCACGCTGAACCAATTGTAAACGTAAATAGTTGTGTGACGATTGTACTGAATATCTAACTTTCTAAGCTTCAAAGTTTGTTTTATATTTTTTATATGGTTTGCCTGGCTCAAGCAGAAGGCTCAATTTCCAGAAACATTTAACCATGAACCTGAGATTTAAAGAAAATGGGACCATACTTGAGAAGGGATCGGACACAGTTTGGTTGGTGAAAACTCTTGTTTTTGTCTGGACTTATTAGTAAGTAAAACAAAAACCCGCAATTTCTCGCCACCGCAATTTTTCTTCTATAATAGGGTGATTTTTCAACTCCCGATATCTCGGTTAAAGGTAAAATGCGCCAAAAGTGTCATAGATCGTCTTTTTTCTGAGCTTATCATTAGAAAAAAAAACATTTTCGAATTATATCCTGTAATATAAATTGACATATAAAGAATTTCTGTATATTTGTTTCATTGTATAATTCATGTTCAGTTAAATCTTGTATTTTGTTTTATTTTGTAATGTTTCAGTATATTATCAGTTGAAAAGCTTTTTTTTTTGTAGGATTAGAGATGGTTTGGAGCTTCATAGGGCTTCGAGTATTAAGTCTCTGAGCTAATCTAATGTTCACCCCACAGGGAAGAAAAGTGGGGCTGCTGGGGCACTGCTGCCGAGTGCCGCTGCGGTAGTTTCGGTCTGGTGTTTGTGTTGGCGAGTGTGGTGCTTGAGTCCGGGAAACTTGAGGTCCGCTACACCGACTCCAGACAGTGACGGTCGTTGACAGGCAGCAAGCACCCTGGTCCAAGTTGAGTATCAGACCATTCTCCTTTATTATTATTATTATTTTTTTTGTGGGGGGGGATATTGTTAATGTAATTACCTTTTATTTACGCTCAGACCAAGCTGGTCACTCGGTCGAGCGTACTCTCACGTCCACAAAACACGTAAAATTACACCCTGCAGCTTTAAGAAAGTTTTTTTTTTATTGGTACGAGATATAAAAGTAAGTAGATTCTGTTTAATATAGCGGGGGTCCTCCCCCGGTTAGTAAATTGGTAAGGTTAGAGTGAAGTGAGAAAGAGGTTAGACTGTGAGATGAGTTAGACTGAGACGAATGAGTGAGAATAGGCTATGAGACGAAACTAGAGAGAAATTAAACTGGGATGAAAGTACAGTATATGTACTACTGTACTGTACATTATATGTACTGCTGGTGGTAGAGCGGTACCGCTCTTGCCTCGCAAGTAAGATAACCAAGGTTACAGCTTCATTAGCCTCTGATGCTGTACAACACGGTACATTAAAATAAACCCGAAAAAAAACGAAGTCAGGCTTTTTTTTTTTTTACTCTAGGGACGCGAGCTTATTATGATCACAGGAAATTGAGATTGTCTTCCAGGAAGCTGGTGAGACGAGATTGAAGGTGATTTTTTTATATAATTAAGTGAGATTAGGTAAATGTAGTCGCTAAGAGCACGTGACTAAACAGAGAGTGTGGTGGTGGTGGTGGTGTAGTGGATTCCTTCCCTACAAACGCCGTTTGTCTTTGTAGGGGAGGCATCCACTACAGTGGAACAAGTGAACTGCTTCTATAGTTGCCGAGTGGCGTAATTAACCTCCGCAAACCCTTGTTTTAAGGCGTATTCCCTACTACTTTTTTATTGCGTAATACCTGAACTAATCGGATATTGATTAAACATGTAATTTCGATGTGTTCGTAGTAGTTTGTTAGCTATCAAGGGTAATTAAAGTTGTGACAACGACTTTGAACTAGTGTGGCCCGGTGATAAACAAAACCTGCTGCCGAGTCGAAGGCTCGAAGCCTCTGCGGTGCCGACTGTTAGTGTATCCTCGATCGTGGGACAGTGACGGGTGTTTATGTTCTGTGGCTGATAATCGCCAGGAACTCCCCTCTCACCCCTCCTCATTCATAAGTCATTGTTCTCGCCAACTCGTAATGGGAGATAATGTTCGTGAGAGAGTTTTGTACGACAGTGGTGGGGCGGCGGTGTCTACTCGAGAGCCCCTGACACTGGAAGAGCTGCAGGACGCCCTCAAGCACTTTCAGAGGAACACTGATGTCTTCTTCCTCGTCACCATGGGAACAATATGCTTCTGTGAGTTGAAATGTTTCATTTTAAGTGGTTGTACTTGATAACCTTACCCAGGGTATACAGCACCATCCATGGTACCCAAACACGTACAACCGATAGCTTTGGGTTCCGTCAACGGATATCTTGCCTGTCGTCTTCACCAAATTTACTGCATGATTTCAATGTATATCCTTGAAAAATACTTTGGTCAAGGTCTATAATGATTCTGAATCTGTAACAAAGTATACTTTTATAAGGACTTATCAGTAATGTTTTAATACATAGAACGTGAATCTCCGTAATCCATTCTTGTTAATACTCAGGAATGATTGTAGTACAGTCTGTTCTTGTTAAACCTCGGTAATGTTTAGTAGTCCATTGTTAAAGTTCAAGAATACTTAATGGTAGTTTGTTCTTGTTAAAACTCAGTAATACTTAGTGGTAGTCCTGTTAAAACTCAAAAGTTCAGTGATGGGTTGTGCTCTTTCACCGGAGTACACAGAGACAATGTCCTACTTGCAGGCGTTTAAAGAACAGTAGCGTGTTTCCTTGTTTCCCCAATTCGAGTTTTGTATATTAAAACAAAATGCTGTAGTTTAGTCCCGAAATGGATTTTTTCTATCTTAGACTTTTCTCAAGGACAATCGTTCGAGGAATCCAAGTGGTAATAGTTGACAAGTTGACTGCCGGGCAGGGCATTGACGGAACCGTAAAAGCACTTTATTTTAAGTTATTTGTTCACATACCTCAGGACTGGTATTAAAAAGGCGGGTTAATTCCACTAACCACAGCTATTGCTTCATACTATTTTATCGTTGAACACTTATCGCTGGAGTTATATTCTTTCATGAACCTCCCATAATTCCCTTCCATAATAACGATGTCATCCCATTTGATAATCCTTGGTAACTGTTGGTTCCAAGTAACCGTGCCATTTGATCGGTGATTCTACAGTTGCGTTATACATGGCTGTTCCCCAGGTGGTACACAAACACACTATGTAAAATACTGGCAAGTGTTGTTCCCCCTGGGTGTACTTGATCTCAGGGTGTCCAAAAACCTTTTCGCTCGTTACGCCGTCGGTGAGGTTCCCCCCTCCCCACCAGTCTTTACCAAACCCGCCCTGTTAAATGTTAATTATAGACCCGAGGGCGGCTTCTCCAAGGTACCCATTGTGAAATTCTTCCCAGAATGGAGGAATTTGGAATACTCTACCTTTGATACCCTGAAGCTTGGACACAAATGGCGGCTAAGTTGGCATTTAATTTCTGTTGAGACAACCGTAATTAGATGGGCTCTAATCCCCAATTAAATTTGATTTAGTTATGGATCTTGAAGAATCCGAACCCTGATATTGGTGTTACTGTTACTGAGGAGGAAGAGCTACTCTATCGTGCACGCGCAACATGCCGGATTTGTCCTTGGTTTGTGCAGTTGAACAAAGACACAAAAAAGTGTATTAATGACCATTGTTTCGGCGCACCGGTCGCATCGAGAGCTACAATAGCCATTGTCAAATAAAATTGTAGTACTGTATATTAAGAATGGGGGGGTAGGTAGGTGATACGCCAGACGGGCGCCTATGACGACACAAAATTTTTAATAAGCGGTCTTTGGAGAAGTTGGGGCATAGAGAACTTGACACATCTTGGACCATGGCTTGAGACGTTATGCACACAACTGCTTTCTTTTGCAAGCATTATTATGAGTGGGAAATTGTTATTTTGCGTAAGTTCAACAAAATATTAGAAAATTGCTCTTTATCGACAACCAAGAGCAGTGAGCTTATTTGTTTTGTGTATGCGAGACATTTCCGGTGTCGCGCAAACTGTGTAGGACCGTAAAATTAGTGTTTGTAGATACCTCCCCACGTACACCACTATACGAACCGTCGTAAAATAAGTAGTTATCGGGGCAACAGTCATAACTCAGAGTGAATCAAATTCGCCAAATGAATAATCTATCTTGAATGTGGTTAAATGGTAGGGTTCCCCATGAAATGAGTAGTGTACAGTACGTATACTGTACACAGGTATTGAGTAACGCACAGCAGTCCCGTTCAACTGTATTCGAATGAAGTAATTCAATTCTGTAAGTAATAACATGGTGAGTTAAAGCTATCGTTACTCCTCGTAACACCAGCAAGAGGTAATCTCATATACGGGTATTGTTTTGTGAATACTTGCTGATTGATCAATAAATTGTAAATTATAAGGTTACGGGCCTAAATGTATTTTCTCTTCTAGACTAGTAATATTTGCTTTCTGTCATAAGTCAGTTAAGGGTTATTTATTTACGCAGACTCCTGTGACTGCTTTAGTTGTCATATTTTGGGTGTATTTCCAAGTTTTCGTGCATGTGTAAGTAGCCTGCTGCTCAGAAAAAATAATAATTCGTTATTTTTCTCTTTCCTGATCCCGGGCACGGTGATTTCCCACAAAATATCACGCGCACAGGTGTTTCTGTTCCAGTAATCACTGATATTTGACTTTTTTTTTTCGTGGTCGTGAAAAATTACTGGTTGTAGATTCAAAAATTAAATTAACTGCAGCTTTTGTAGTCAGGAGCCGAGGCGAGACTGTGACTGCTTCCGTCACTGTAGGAGCAAAAGCGATTGTTTGTTTGTTTTTGTTTTGTGGAAGAGAATATTTTTTAGTTGCCAGTGGTTAAGTGGACAGTGAGGATGGCCCAGATTCCTGACCATCTGAATCAGCAGGTCATAATGGACGGAAAACGAGATTTTAATTGACAAAACGGAATATTTAGGAGATAGTAAACAAGTCAGGACGATATTTGTTTCTCTCCCATTTAATTAGTTGTTTATTCTCTCACTACCTGTCACAGGTTGCAGCATGCGTGTAGATTTGTAGCCATCATTTGCCTTGTATTTGGGAGGTAGATTATACTCATCTTATACGACGCATCTCGCAAACTGTCCAAACGAGTCATGCTTGCCGGGAGGCAACGCTGGCTTATAATCATTCCAGTGTTACCTGACATTCCGAGAGGGGGGGGGGGTAGTCCAAGATGGTCGGTTCAGAAGCTTTGACTATTTAACACTAGCATAACTCGGTTACTTAGGTTACATGCAGATTTTAGGTAGAGAAGATAGTTCTGTAAAATTATCTTCTAGTTGGAGACACTTATGTTGTCGTTGGACCAGATGAATAATTTCTCTTAGAAGTTATGCAGTACAGTATATTATATCCCAGAGGCGGGAGGGTGACCGTGACGCTCGTTCCGCCACAAGTAAAGAAAAAAAATATCTGCCCGGAGGCTTTACCACCAGTGCGGACAGATACCAAATGGTCGTTTTTAGCTGTTACCTATTTGCGTGCACTGTCACTCTACCAGAAATAAAATTTCCCCGTTTCCCCCTCCCGTTCATGACGTGCGGCTAAAGAGCGGGTGTCACCCATCAATTTTCTAATATATATATATATATATATATATATATATATATATATATATATATATATATATATATATATATTTATTTATTTATTTATATTATACATCTTAGATTACATCCAACAACAATAAATTTATCATGGAGTAGGTTTGGTGAGGAGTTTAGTCATATTAGGAACTCTACAGTACTGTATGAATAATCTCGAAGTATAAATGTATTACATTGATGACACAGATGGTAATGGAATAAGAATATGAAAAATTTAAAAAGCAAACACTACTACCATTTTACTGAGAACCTCAAGCTAAGACTGCAGGCGTTTCCATGCAATTACTGTATCTCTGCCCGCTTTGCTTCTCGTGTTTATGCATCAGTAAGTATTCTTGAATAAAATGAATATCTTAGATAATAATCTTCATTCGTTTTTGGAATGCGTTCTTGCGCCTGATAAATCCATCATTTTCAGGATACATATTGTATCATACAATGTAGTCTTAACATAGCTCAAGTTATGATATGGTGTGACATGTTGAATCAAAATTTTGTAGTCCTTGACAAGACTAACAAGAACAATGGAGGGATCCATTAGGTGAATAAGGTGAAGTAGACTTGGGCCTTCTTACTACTAAGAAAGGTCTTTACATGCAAAAATTGCCCACGCAGCCCTCAATTACTGTACCTGTACAGCAGTTAGTGACAAGACGTTGTAGCGTGAGTATGTGGCGCAGTTAGTCAAATTTCTCTTTCTTTGGGACCACATACACACGTAGATAAACGAGATCTCGCACTCAGGATGGAGGTGAGGAAGGAAACTCAGAATATCGTTAACTCCATGTATATTGTATGTACAATGCAGTAGGATGCTGGGGAGTTGCTGTGTTGTGGAGGAGCTTCTTGAGAGGAGGTCTTGTCGGCAATGCCCCAATCGCCCGTCTGTCCCAGGGAAAAGCCTCCCCGAAGGCTGCGGCTACCACAACGCCCCACCCAGTCTACCAGGCCGCCTCCAGCAACGCCTTCTTCAACAACACCTGCCCCTGCCTGGCCTCACCTGGCCGTAACACAGCAGTCCTGGCCGTCTCCTAACTCAACTACTACTGGGCCTCCTCCCCGTCTCTACTCTGACGCTGTCAGGCCTTGTGCTCCCACCGGTGCCCCCGCCCACAACCCCCCTCCAGTGACATGACACAGATCATATCCCTCTTCCAAGAATTTACCAACCGTATTGAAAAACTCTTCGCTACATTCTGTACCACCTACTCTTGCCCTCTGTTGCCACCCAGTCACTCCTCTTTTCTGGTTTGACACAAGCTGGTAGTCCTGTAGTGGATTCCTCCCCTACAAACGCTTTTGTCGCTGAGTAGCCGACCCCGCGAATTCCCCAGTGTATGCCTCGTGGTCTAGGTCAACCAGCGCCGCCTTACATGACGTAGGTCAACTATTAAGCCACGCCTACCTCCGCTATATAAGATCTCACCTCGTGGTGACCTACCTCTTTCTACCTACAGCCAGTTTTCAAGCAACACCTCCTCCTCCACTCCTGCTTGGCGGTCCTTGCTCCTGCCGGCGACCTAGGCGACCCACAAGCTGGTCCTCCTCTGAGCACTCTCACCAACCAGCTCTCTCTACATCACGCTTGTAACCACGCTGCCACTTCCCAGCACCAAGTTGCACTGTACATCCAATACAATATGTATACAGAGAGCACATTGTGAGTTTCCTTTCTCCATCCCATCCTGAGTGTGAACCAAATATCACATATGCTACAGTCCCCTGTGAGGCCCCAGCTCTCCTTTTATTACATGACGTGGAACTAACAAGAATAATAATTACTATGTATCGTATAATATTTCTGAACTGCATCTGTTTGGTAATGACGAAGTAGGCATCTTGTTAGACCGATACATCACCCTTTCCTCTGTCACCACTATCACCCCCCAACCACCACTATTATTCCTCCCAACCACCACTATTATTCCTCCCAACCACCACTATTATTCCTCCCAACCACCACTATTATTCACCCCAACCACCACTATTATTCACCCCAACCACCACTATCACCCCTAACCACCACAATCATCCCCAACCACCACATTCATCCCCAACCACCACAATCACCCCGAACCACCATTATCACCCCAACCATAATCCAGGAAACTTTGAGATTAATCAGTGTATCAACCTGTTAATACGAAACATTCGACATGTAAACAGTGAATGTGGCTTTGTAACACATTGATGTAAATTATTGTTCTGGACGATAAAAATTGCATTAAAAACTATTATGCAGAATGTAAGTTGAGAAAGCATTTATCTTCCTGGTTAACATGTTTGTTTTGTTTTAGATTACATGATGATTAAACACACTAACACAACCAGGGGGTGGGGTGGGGTCAGGTCTGGCTTGGTTAAGTTAGGTTAGCTTTAGGTTAAGTTAAGTTCACCTTAGGTCATGTCAGGTGGTCCTTGTCTGTTTTTATTGTATTTTAACACATTCGCTTTTGTTTCAGTCCTACAATGCGGGTTTGCGTTCCTGGAGGCGGGAGCTGTAAGGTCCAAGAACACTACCAACATCTTGATCAAAAACATGTTAGATGTGTGTAAGTCTTTACGTAACCTTCTTTTAAGTTTTATCCTTGTGTCTCCTACAATCTACTCATCTTTTTTATTAATCCATTGGTCTTTAAACCGTTTCATTTTAACTGTTTGCAACTTTTGTTTCCTCATCTTTCTTTTAATTGTTTAGGTTTTAGCATCCGGTACCTGACCTTCTTGTGTGTGTCTCCTCCAGTCATCGGTGGCATCTCGTATTGGTTGGTCGGATTCCCTCTGGCGTTCGGTGAGGGCAACAGCTTCTGCGGGACCACCTACTGGGCGTCGTATGAGCTACCGGACGAGCGCCTAGCATTCTGGTTCTTCCAGTTTGTGTTCGCCGCCACCGCTGCGACCATTGTGTCTGGATCAATGGCAGAGCGGTGTGCCTTTAATGCATACCTTATTTATTCCATAGTGCTTACGGGTGAGTTGATCTGTCGTATCTACCTTAACGTGTACTTCATCTACCTATGTGTCTACTTCATCTATCTCAGTTTCTACTTCATCTACCTCAACACCTACCTCATCTACCTTTACATTTACCCTTGACTCTGTGAACTTGTAACTTCACAAACTTAATACTTTATGTATCATTAAATACTCCTTCGACAACCCCCTTATTCATCCAGTAAAATCTCAGAGGTACACAATATGCTTGTTCCCACCCAGTCATCATTATGTTAATATCTCCCTTGTTTTAGCTATTTTTTTCCTTATTATATGTACAGCTCCTCCCCGACTTACGACCACCCGGACATACGACCGCCTCAGACGCACCAAAATTTGGTCAAATTACGGATTTTCGAGTCTCGACATCAGTGATTGCACTGTGTACTGACAAAATTTTCGTTTGTAATTCACTTTAAAATGGCTGGCAAGCTTAAAAGTGAGAGTTTTGTGGTGCTGAGAAGAAAAAGAGACACCCATTTTAGATTTTCTATGTATTATTTAAGCATTTTCGACTTACGACCTGGATTTGCATCATTCATGCCCAGTGTATATCTTTCATATATGCATCATATACAGAATGCATCTTTCATGTATGTGTGTATCTGCAGCAGTGGTGTACCCGGTGGTGTCACACTGGGCGTGGTCTGACAGTGGGTGGCTGAGCGTTCGTGCCTACCAAGATTTTGCAGGCTCTGGAGTGGTTCACCTGACAGGAGGCGTGGCAGCTCTTATGGGTGCCATAATATTAGGACCGAGGGCTGGCCGTTTTGGATCAAAAGGGATGGACTTGCGTGGACATTCTGTACCGGTTGGTTGATAACGACATAAGTTACTCTTTTAAATGTTAACTAATGCAGTACAGTATATTGTGATATATTTGTGTTTTTATATTACTGTACATTATTTAGCTTACTAAACAAATAAGTTAGCAGGAAATGTATGTTACAAGATTAGTTCATAATTGCCCTTTAAAGTCTTTATTATCCATACATTTGTGAACAAAACTTGAGGTATAACTGCAGAATGTATTTGAGATGAACCTGACAAAGCCTGATCTGATGTAACTTTGCCTTACAGCTGGCAGCTCTAGGAGGATTCATCCTGCTCTTTGGTTTCTTGGCATTCAATGGGGGGTCACAGGCATCCATTAGCCAGGAAGGCGATGCCTCGGCGGTAGCAAAGGCCATCGTTAACACAGTCCTCTCTGGCAGTGCTGGAGGCATCACGGTTCTGTTGGTTTACCGTTCTGGTGCGTGTGGCAGACCTTCCACCTGGTCCTTCCTTATGGCCCTCAATGGTGCCCTGACTGGCATGGTGTGTGGCCTGATTTACTTCTCTGGTGAAAGTTGTTAAACTGAAATAGTTGATGGTAGAGGTTTATTGCTAGACAAGATATATATTAACAAGAGTAGAATTGTGTTATTGACATAGTTAAAGGTATAGGGTGAAAGCAGAGAGGAAGTTCTGTAGAATTAAACCAGCAAAATACCATAATACTGTATAGACTAGATCAGATCATGTGCGTGTAGAAAACAGATACAATACTTTATGTAAATGAAGATTGCATTAGAAATTTGATGTGTATGAGAGCTCAAGATGTATTGTATATATTGGCCGAAAAGCCAACTTAATTTTTACCCCTCGAGTATGATACTGACCTCCTGAGTTGAACAAATTGATCCATTGTTGATTGAATGTAACAACTTAGTCATGCAGCAGTGTCATGAGTAAAGCTTGGATCACTAGGCATGATTAGATTATTGGTTAAAGGTTATTGGCAGTCTTATCAATCAACTGTCCTTATAAATGAAACTTCTTTTTGATAGAAAATTGTGGTTATTATTATTACACTTAAAAAAAAAAAATTTCATAAGCTGTATTAAAAAATCTTCAAACAGAAGTCCAACTTTGTTATGACTGATCAAAATCGTCTATTTATTTGTGGTTTTTATCCTAATTATCATGTCCCATATGCCTTTATATAACTAATTATCTTCCTTTCAATATCCCTATCACTCTTCCATGTTCAGGTATCAATCTGTGCTGGGTGTAATGTGGTGTGGCCATGGGGTGCTGTTGTCATTGGAAGTATTGCTGGAATGATATTTCTTGGCATCCACATACTTCTTCCCATGGTCAAAGGTTTGTCCAGTGCTTGTGTCAATGTAGCAACTTGATTTTTCAGTCTTCTGTATCAAATAATATTCCCCACAAGAAAGTGATTATCTTGCACAATAGTTTTATTCCCTGACCCTAGTAAATTTGTCCAGAATCTCATGAAAGATATATTCGTACTGTACAGTACTTAGTTACAATATAGTGAACACTTAAATACCCTAGAAATAGTTAATTGCATTAGGTTGTACATCCATGTTTCCTCCACAGTTGACGATCCATTAGATGCTGTCGCTGTGCACATGGGTGGTGGGTTCTGGGGGCTGATTGCTGTGTCACTCTTCAAGGATGGTGGCATTGTATATGGGGGCTCTACTGAAGTCCTGGCTTGGAACCTGGCTGGGGCAATGGCCATCTTAGGCTGGTCTGGTGGACTCTCCTCCTTGATGTTTGGTACACTAAGGCTACTGGGCATGTTAAGGGTTCCTCCTGAAATGGAACTTCAAGGTAAATTGCAAGATTATTGTTTGACTCCTCGTTTGAAGTAATCTTGATCACAAGTTTTTATCCAACTCGTTATAACAAGATACATATTTTGCATTCCGTGAAAATATAATAAAGTACAGTACGTACAGGTACTGTATCATGATATACTGTACCAAGTATGATTGTTTATGTTACAGTAGTTTTGTAAACTGCTGGTCACTTTAGAGGATTTCTGTTGAAGTTTGTATAGCCTTGACAATATACAGTACTGTACATACCGGTAGACATTGAAGGTATACAAACAATCTGCCAGAATTTGAACCCTGAGCATTTCAATTCTCTCATTCTATTTGGGGAGGTTTACCTTGGAACCCCTTGTTATGGTCTTAAGTCAGTGGTTCCCAACCTTTTCCGTTCTGTGGCCCCCCGGACAAAATATTATAACCTCCATGGTATTCTGAATAAAAGCATCAGGAAGGTATATCACCAGGATCAAAGGAATACAGTATCATGATTTTTTTACTTTCAATACAAATTCAGAAGTCATCAATTTAGGTTCCATCAGTCACTAATGTGGATCACAGCCTGGAGCTGGGAAATGCCCACCACCACTTGGTGTCACAGCTTAGGTTAAGAAGTCACAAGTTCAGAAAATGGCCAGGGAAAACTTTTTTGGAGTGAGAATTGTGAACTCGTGGAACAGCCTGCCAGAGTGTGTTGTGATGGCACCGAGTGTAAGCTCATTCAAGGCCAGACTTGACCAACACTGGCACAGGTACAGATGCATTCTGGGGCTAGTACATGCCCAATAGTAAACCCTTGATAACTCAGAATATATGGGGCTCTAACCATTCCAAGTTATCAAAGCACTTTCCTCCTAATACCCAATTTTTGGCCAAAATTAGAAACTTGCACAAAATTAATGCTTACCAGCACTGCAGGAGAAGGCTGAGAATAGATAATTCAAGCTTGTGGTGCCATGTGGTAGGTGTCAAGAGGTGATCCCCCATCATCTCTGACACCTACCACTGCACTACAGTGCAGTATATACAGTAAACACTTACAGCACCAACTTTACCAGAGAATGCCTGGGAGGTGTTCACTGAACCAGTGCGAGAGAGAACGTTGCCAGAATTAGCACTGAGAGCAGCATGTCATCACCCAGAGGTAATATTGTGACTCATTGCAGGACTGGACATATTAAAGCATGGTGAGCCAGCCTACCCAGCTGAGGCGTGGATAGAGGACCAATACAGCAGCTCCATCACTACTGAAAATGGTGTAAACAGGAACATTTGTAAGCTGTAGTAACCCTTCCTTGACTACTGTATTTATTTTCTTATCTGTAATAATCCTTAGGTAACTTTTAAGTAGTTAAAGTCTTCTCCTCCAAGTTAATTCAGGATCTGCCAGTTCATTACAGTAGAGTTCACAACAGTATTAAAATATTTCCTGATCCTTATATACTGTACGTACTGTGTAAATGTATTTGTGCGACTTTATACTCTTTCATGACCCAAGTTTGTTGATCTTTTCTGATTTTTCCTTGCATTTTTTAGTACATTTTTGAACTTATTTCTCAATAGAAATTATGAAATATTAGAGAAAAACTTACTAAAGAGATACACCAACTCTTAGTTCTGTGCAGGATTAGTTATTGACATTTGCTCATAACTTTACCAACATGGTGACTCAGCTGTTCACAAATTGCAGATCTACCACCAAATATGTCTTCTTTCTGGCACCCAAGCTGGGCCAATTATCTGAACCCGGGACAACCTATGTACTGGACGCTTCCTGATCCTCGACGAGCACGAATTGGTCCTGGCTCCCGCCCACATCCCCAAACCCCAGCCAGTCCTAAAATGAATGACCTTTTCTATAGTGATAAAGGCCCTAACATATCCCCAGCATCACGGCCTAGACACCATGAGTCAGATGAGGCAAGAGATCACCGAAGCCTTAGGGGTCATATGACTAAAGCATATTCCAATGAGGGATTTGAGGTTGAAGTCTCCAAGTTTTAAGTTCTTACTGTTTGATCTTTGGTTGTGAAGTGATGCTTTATAATTACAAATGGCGTATAATCACGGAAAAAAGCCCTGTCAGTTCTCCCTACCATCCATGAACCCTGAGACTCGTGAATCTGAGATCGTACAACCCAGTAAGCACCTATGGGCCCAACAATGTGTGATATCTTGGATTCACAGGTTCACGAGTCTCGGTTTGGTTTGGTTCTGGAAGAAATGACGAGATTGTTTTAACTTGATAAATAAGGTTTGGATAAAGCAATGGATTTTTTTTTTTTTTTTCAAAGGAACTACCAGTAATGATATTATGCCTGATTGGGTATTTACAGTACAGTAGGCAGTAGGTTAGTGGCTAATTAATTGATTACCTCAACTAAACTGAAACAATTTAACAAAATATTATACATACATTTAAGGAATAAAAGGTTTCGTTTTTTGCACGTTAAAAAGTTATATTGTACAGTACAGAATTATTGTCAAGTTATTGCTCTAACTTTTCACTGTAAATAGTTTAAATTTTTTAAGTTGTTTTAGCCTTCAGGCAGCGGGCCACAGTAGATATGCTCTCCACTCTGCTGTTTTCGAGAAAAAAAAAATAATGTTACTAACTGGTCGTACATAATATAAAAGTAAAGACTGGTAGTGTAAGGGCTAGGAAGAGTCGAGAATGCATGTGAAGTGGCATGTGTGTGACACAGTGGGGTGATTTGTAGGTAGTAAGAGGTACAGGACACTCATTTTCTATTGTTTCTATTTACTGTACACTATACTTACAATTATTATTGCTGCCTCCTGTAATTGATCACAAATCTGCTGATGGTCAAGTCCCTTACTACACTTGCGCTTTGGAGGTTGGGGGGATAGAAACATGTAGTGAGACACATGAAGTCCAAGGGCAAGATCCCTATATCACAAAAGCTGAGAAGCTACCGAGGTCCGAGAAGGAAGGCTGGAAGGCTTGTATGCGTACGCTAGTGAAAGGTAAATGCTTACTTGGCAACATAATCTAGCCAGGGCTGCATGACTATTTAAATAGTACCACGAAATTACGAAAAGTCACTTAACATGAACTGAGGCGTGAGGGTTGCACCACATAATAATGACTAAACCAGGCTGGGATGCAAGTTGATAAAATTGAGTAGGTCTCGTATATAAATATGCTGTATTATTTTTATTTATCTATACTGTCCAGTTCTAAAAAAAAACAAAAACAAATATGGATATTCTCCAAGTTGAATTACAAAACCTTCACTTTGATATGCTTTATATTATAACATGTAGGGAGAGACTTGTTCAGTCACACTAGGGATTCCAAGTTGATGTGTAGTGTTGCTTTGCTGTTGTATTGTATAATTCTCCCAGGAATGATGTACTTGGTGCCTCTTCTCTCGCTGTCTGAATCCCTCCCTCTTCCTACCTAAACCCTTGTCACTCATTTTCTGCATGATCTTGCGTGTGAATTGAATGATGAACTGTGTCTAAGGTGCCATCCAGTTTGTCAGGCAAGAAAAGTGAGTAGTTGTTCTAGGTGAGAGTATGGGATGCTGCCCATTATGTTCAAGTTTTAATGGACTATTACAAGCCTCTAGTGGTGAGTAAAAGCTTATACAGTATTGTATTGTTTTTTTTTTTTTTTTGTACATTGTGTTGTACTCTCACAGTATAACAGATGAACACTAATATATGCACAAAAGAAAATAATGTACAAGGGGTTTACCCGTACTATATAGGGGGTCCCCAACTTACAAACGTCCGTCGATACGAACGAGGTTAAACTTTAAATTCACATTATTCTATTTACGGGTACGTGTCGACTTATTTTTTTACTTTCATTTACTGTATTTTGTCATTCTATTTCTTTTCTCTTAAATTAATTAATTTTTATATGTATATAAGAACTTGGGCTATGATACAGTGGGATTTTAGACACTATTCTGTAAGTACGGTATGCACATAGCATGTGTTTCAAATTACAGTATACACATACATTTTTGACTAAAGAACATCCTCAGGAATGGAACCCATTCATAACCCCTGGGAACCCCCTATACTTTAATTTTGTACTGTCATTTTTCATATATTATTTAGTACTCGCTTTTATCATGATTTTGTTTTGGGTTTACATTAAATAGTCCATAATTGTGAATTTCATTAAAAAAGTTGTGTATGAACTAAATAATAATTGTACTGTACTTTGTACCCCCTTCTTTTTGTTAGACTTGCTGAATATAAAACAAACTTTAGAATTTTTTTTAAACTACTGTATACTTTTGTACCATTAATAGCAGTGGTTTATGCAGCATTCTGCCTTGGAAGGACAAACAAACACAACACAACACGACTTCCTATGTTAAGTGTTGCAGTAACTCAAGGTTTTGGGAGTTGAAATTTGACGAACTGGTGAGGAAATTAGCTTAATTAGGTGAGTAGAAATTCATCCACAGTACAGAATGTAGTTAAATAAAATTCTCATGTATCAAACTGAAAGCTTGTACAGTAGCTAAAACAACTATCTGTGCAGGTGGGGGTCGATATGCTCCGAAATTTTACTTGTGACTAGTGATAGCCCTCGTATAGCAAAATTTATCGTCCCTTGTCTCATTGTTTCTCACAAAGTATGCACAGATTGTTGTTTCAGCTACTGTACCATACACAGAATTACTTTTAGAGAAACAAACAATTAAAAATCTCCATTTATTTCTGTTTTTACATGGTCAAACAGCTTTAATAAACTGTGCAGGGTTTAAAACTGTCACCAAGTATGTTAGGACTGATCTCAACCTGCTGGTGGCACAGTCATTAAATTAATTTGCTACCGTACAAATTACAAGGCAACGAAAAATCTAAACCTGCATTATGGCTTAAAATAGGAATTGTAGAATATTACCATTGCTCTAATAACTTAATTATACAGGGCAGTCACACACAGGCCATTCACTCCACCTTTGTGCCTTAACTTGACACCTCGATCTTGACTCGTGTCTCAGCTGAGTAAACCTCACTATTTCTTACATGTATACTGTACCATTCTGGTTAAAAAACTAGAGTAACACTTCTTCACACAATAATTTTTTAGATTTTTTAATACAAAAACTAAAGCATACAGGGTATATATATTTGAAGGTCTCCCAGGACAGGTTTCTGAATGGAAGGTGCAGTTATTTACAGTCAAAATTTTTATTTAAATATTTAAATTGGACAGAAATTTTTGCTACCATACGGCAGGAAGTTTTTTTTATTATTTATGAAGCACAGGCACATGACTGACAGCACACACACACACACACACTAACAAGCATAAGAACTACTTAATTTACTATCTTAAAAAAGCATAAAATGTAACCTTTACAAGGGCAAATTAGATTACATTTCACTTTAGCTACTTATTTCTGTTACAATGAATTAATAATTAAAAATATATTTATTAGTAAAATATGTTGAAACAAAAATTGCAATGAGTTCACCATCATGAATCAGCTGCTACCAAGTGCCTTAAGGTAAATAGTAAGGGAACTAGCATCTTAAGGAGCATACATGCAGCTGCACCATAACCAGAAATAAAAGATTAATATTGGCCTTATGCCAGGAACCCTGAGATACCACCAACTGCATCTTCCTCTAGAATGAGGTATCCAGTATAAGGAAAAATACTACTTGCTTTTATTTCAATTGGGTGACCTGTGTTAGTTAAATCCTTCAATTAACACTGTAATATACCATCAAAATTGTGAAATTTAAATAAACAAAAGATTTAATTTATCTTTTCCCTTCTGAAAAGAAAAACATTGCAACATTTCAAACATGACTCTCAAAATCTCCTAATATTACTGTCAAGGTCTCTGATGACCTACACACATACACACCTTGAATATAAAGCAGTCAGAGCTTCTACTTTAACACCTTAAGAAATATAAAACCTTCACTATTTTGTAAATTACATTAAAATGTACAGGGAAGTTTCCATTAGATTGAACATATGGAAATGTTAATCATTCACTACCATTATCAATCTATCATATCATTAAAGCAGTACACATTACCTATATCATATTGCTCTCAACTACTGCACTGACAAATTATCCCTTTCAATCAAACATTCATGCCTGCGAGCCAAACTGGCCGTTAGACTGAGTACAGTACTAGTAAACAAGTAGGGGATTCAATGAGGGAGGGCACAAGACATCTCACCAAAGAAACTAATGTTATGGCTGGCTGGTACTCCCTAAGAAGTATGTCACACGGTTTCCATAACAAGTGAAGCTATGAATGTTCAAGACAAATCCAGTAGTCTGCTACCAATGTTTCAGATGATGTTGGGAAACTTTTGCAGACATTGGTGCTTCTGGTGACTGAGGTAATATAACTTACACTTGTCCCCACCATTTCACTAATCCAACAAAAATTACAGTGTAGTTATGTACAAGTGTAAACGGATGACAAGTATACAGCACATTTTATATTAAGATGCAGCAACACCTTACAGTCATTTATCAGTCAAATGTACAAAAGTTTACAAAAAATTTAATTTTTCTCAGTTTCTGAATAGTTACACCAAGATAAAGTTGTCTACAAGCCAATAAAACCACATCTGTAGTAACTATAATCTTTTCTTATACTTAAGAATATTTTTGTGCTTTTTATGGTTTGATATGTAATCACAAACATGTAACTATATGCTAAATGATAAAAAATTCTAGATAATTTGGCCTTGGATTGTCAAGATATTGGTGCCTGACACACTTACAATGAAGTCATATATAAATACTATTAATAAGCAAAGATAGACCACCTCCAGTCCACATTGAAAACATACAGATTTTCCAGCACAGACAAACAAACATACAAGACAGTAAAAATAATGAGGTTCATATTACATCCGATGAAAGTGATTTCATGCAAAGCATTTTGTGCTGATGTACATCACCTGGAATAATTATTGTTTAATACACAACACCATGTGTAAATACCATCTTCCACACAGTAGGCAGAAATATCATTGGTGCACAATTTCAAATGTCTGCACCAGCTGAAACAAAACACCAAGTGTATAAATACAATGTGTTATGTTGCACATCTCTAGGTGAATACACCATCTGATGAAACCCCAAGTGTACAGATCATGTGAAACACAAACATCGTTTGGAAGAGTTCCCATACATTAAGATGCATTTGTGCCAAGTAAACTATACTCTCCCTCCCTTCTTGAGATTAAAGCTAATGTTGAACCCTTATTTAGCAGATATCAAATTCGTATTTCAAAGCATTTTTTAATTATGGATGATGTTAAATTCAACTTGAATCTGTACATAATTTAATTTCTATATTTTAATAATAATATTTAAGCTTCAAACTTGTACAATATTCTAGAATTGTTTAAAGGGAAGGAAGATTCATAGGGAAGCATTGTTCCATAACTAGTCTGTAGATTTTATTTTGTTCTACACTATAATGTTCTAATACTTCGGTCCTTTAATATTATATATATATATATATATATTTTTTCATTATAAGCTTAGTTATCAATAAAATTTTAAATAACTTTTAACATTTTCTAGAAACTAAAAACTTTCCCTACATCTCCCTCCATTTGTTCGTTTGGAGGTGTAGATCTCCCTAAATGAACCAGGGAGAGCCACTATATAGGCACCATTATCAAAACCAATTGAGGCATTATGAACTGCTGTAATTTACAGTGTTTACCTTTTCTCACCCAACAGGGATAATTTGACATTGCTAGACTAGTTTTAAGGAGGCACATATGTAGGTGGCTTCCTGTACGTGGGCGGCATGTTGGGGCGAGGATGGCGGGAGGCTCCATTTGTGGCAGTAAAAGGTGGGGGAGGCTGGTAGGAAGGTGTATCGTCTCCTACGTCACCAGACTGTGGACGGCGACGGTCGGAGGTGGGTGGAGTTGACGAGGCAGCTGGGGATGATCCCCGCTGGTACTCTGGGGGTGGTAGTGGAGGCTTCTCATCCTTCATTATGACGGGACTTTTGGCTGGGTCGGGTCGGTCGTCCAACTCCTCGGCAAAGATGATTGGAATGCCTTTGCTGACAAAAGTGCGATCATCAGCCATGGTCATTTTCCCGTAGCGTCGTCGACGGTAGAGGCAGCATGCAATGATAGCAGCGAGGAGCAACATAGCAGCAATGATAACAGCAGGGATGATGAAGTTGAGAAGGTAATCATTGTCCTCCCCTTGAAGATCTTTATCAACTGAGGGACGATGAGTCACCTCTTCAATGTGGGTGGGAGTGTCTTCACCCAAGCATGCACCCGTAGGCTTTACAGATCCTCCTACCACCTTGAAATCCGGAGAGAAGGCATTGACAAATTCAAGCAATAAATGTCCGTTATCATCCACCATGATTTCCCTTAGATTCCTGATTTCATCATTAGGACATGGCTCTGCTGGTAATGACCTGTTGTGCCATGTCACAATTACAGAGCCTTTACGGAAACTGTCCACAATAACGTGACTGGCATCACTGTCGTCAAATACTTCTCTGATACGGTCAATTAAAAGAGCTTTTTTGTGGGCATCACTCATAAACTGTTCATAGTTAGTATCAATATTTATGGAAAACTCAACTGGAGGCAACTTCCTTGATGGTCTTGGTAAAACGTTGACAAACAAGGCATCATTGACCTTCGCTCCACCTACATCTACACATTCCTGTTGATATAATAATATTTTAATACAGTATAATGGAAATTAAAAATAAATTGAAGACTGTAGTAAAAACATTCACTTCAAGTATAGTCTGTTCACTCAAACCTTGCATCTGAGGCCTCGGGTCAGTTTGTAGCAAGGCAGCTGATTGGCAAATATTATCATGACATCAAGCAGTGAGTAGGAGTATACATTTCAGAACTTGTTCATATTGTTTGTATTCTCTTACAGATATTTGTTACCCGAGTGTTTCAGAGCGTGTATGCAAATGGCGGCTGTGTTAAACTTTCATTTGGCTTTTCCATAATGGTTTTAGCTACATATTTTCATCTAGATAGTATTTTATTATTGTTTTTAATGTGTTAGGTAGTAAATACAAGGTAACAGTAGTTGTGTACTATTTATCATTAGTTCAGTAGGTTTTTTGTTCATGAACTGATTTCATGTTTTTCGGAATATGACAGAGTATTGGGGTTTTCTTGTTATTGGGAACCAAACCCTATTCTCCAGATGTTTTTATTCGCTATATGAAAATGCACTTAATGAATGGTTTTTCAAGAACATGACCCATTCATATAGCGAGGGATACCTGTATGTTTATTTGTGGCTCATAATAATTGTGTATGTACATCTAAAGTTTTCAATCAAAAATTATTCCAGGAACAGATCTCTTTCGAATAACGGGTACTGCCAGTATGTTATTAATATCAAAATATTAAGAGACAAAAAATTTAATAAATATAAAGGAATATATTTTTTTTAATCCAAACATACAGGTATATTTGTATTTACCAAGAAGCTTAAAAAAGGGGCTTCACAAAAACACTTACCAATATGTATTCAGTTTTCCCAGTATCACCGGACAGAGGAATCCCAAAGAACTCTTGGTTGGCAGCGTCAAACTGAAGCCAGGAGTCAAGAGGGGGCGGGGACAAGTTTGAGGTCAGCAAACGCATCGTCAAGCGACGAGAGTCTCCGTCCTCCAGGTCATAACAGGTATCCTGGAAGACAAGTACAGTAGTGTTGGTGTTGCTTGAATTTTGTGCATAGCAACCAATTTTGAAGCTACAGGGCACCAAATTTAAATTTTACTAGCTGGTCACTTTCATTCCATAAAACCAGCACTTCAGAAACAATGATAGCTACAGTACTATAGGTCCATTATCCCTTATCCTTATTTGCAATTCCGAAAAGCTCTGAAAACCGAAAGTGTTTTTGTGGAGCATCACTCGTGTGCACAACATACCCAGAGTGACGCGGAACATGACCTGACGCAGTCGAAGTTTGACCCACGCAGGTAGGAGGTGTCAGTTGTGTCTCAGCGCTGCTACCAGTCACACGTGCGTCTGCTGCTCTGATATTTTTTGTGATTTTGAGTTTAATTTGCATAGAGCAAAAAATGAAGAGCTTGACCGTGTGCTGATTGAGTGGATTAGACAACGAAGAAGTGAACGTATGCCACTGACTGGTTTGTTGGTCATGAAACAAGCTAGAATATACCATGAAGAACTGAACATTGAAGGTGAGTGTGAATATTCAGTAGGTTTGTTGCAGAAATATTTGTGTTTGCTTGCAGGGTGCTGCCACAGACCCCGCTAGGGTGTTACCATAATATACGGTATATGTACCGTACTACCGTTCTGAAATCCGAAAAATATGAATTCCTAACACATTTGGACCCCAGGGTTTCGGATAAGGGACTGTGAACCTGTACATAAACTATCTGATTTTATTGTACAAGTACTTTCAAGAGGAATTTTACAGTTTCAAAAAAAAAATAGTATTACAACAAAAATTAATTTCCAAATTAGTGACTTCTTCCATATCAAGACAAGTTACTGTCGCTCACACTTTCATCTGACCAGATTCCACAGGTCTCGCATCCTCTTAGGTTCATGACTTATAAAAATTAACTCAAACATGACTTACGACATTCCTCATTCACTCACTTTCCTCCTCTTGAACACTGACGTATACACCCACACACAGTACAAGATCCCATTCATTATAAGAGACTTACAACAGGAACTTGGAAGCGGAACAAGGAGCCCTGCGTGGCGTTAAGGAAGTCAATCTGGTTACGTATTATCGGTGGAGCATTGAAGAAGGTCTCGCCTCTGCCACCTGAGTCTACTGGATCTTCTGTAAGAGGAATACAGTACCACAATGAACTCATGAGCCAACTTATATAAACATAACAAATATTGCAAATAGTACTGTAAATAAAGTGATGTTATACAATGTAGAATAATGAAAATAATGTAAAAATTGGTATCAGTGATTGCTGGTTGTGTTACTCTTGGCTTTATTTGTGGTTTTGAATTCAATGCCTTTTGTCTGTTGCACATTTACCGTTAGTGATATTATATAATACTGTTCCAACAATAACCTACTCTGCTATTATGCTTACTGATAGTTGTATATTTTGCTGTTTGACAAATGCCCTGAGTTTACTATAGTTTGTTAATACAGTTAAATTGTACTATACTTGAAACCCCAAAATTTGCCTATATAATGACACCAAGGCTATATAGTCTTGGGTGATCAAAACAGCCAAATGTGGTGTTTTTTAATGGCAAATTTGAGTGTTTCAGACACCCAAAACTATAGCCTTGGCATCATTTTTCAAGCAAATTTGGGTGTTTCAGGCATCCAAGACTATATAATAGCCTTGGTGTCATTTTACTGGCAAGTGTGGGTGTTTCAGACACCCAAGACTATAGCCAGTAAAATAACACCAAGGCTATAGTCTTGGGTGTCAGAAACACCCAAATTTACCTGTTACTGCAAACACATAAACAAACATTATGTTAGGCTGTAAGTCATGTCATGTTTATTGGGTGTGCCTGCCCATATGCAGCATGTAGAGTACGAAGATGGTGGAGATGAGAGGCCCAGAAGGAGGTGGAGTGTGTGAAGGGAGTTTGTTTATGTATAATTATAATCACCTGACTCACTAATAGCTGACCAGCCAGGGGGCCAGGCTATAGGGTGGGCATTTCAATATAGCTACCCATATCTTTGAGTCGACACCTACCCTGGCTTCTCTCTAGACTTTCAACATGTAAGTGTAACTAGTACTTATTGTGTACACAGGTAGACTGTGTCCATTGCATCATTTATCAGTGTGACAATATAGAAATATGGCAAATTGAGTACTCATTATAAGTGTTAAGATTAGACTAATTACATAGCCATGATTGTTATGTAAACATATATTGGATTAAACATTTATGTAGGAGTGCCTATGTATGACTTATTTGAAATACTAAATGAATTGTATTCAACAGGTTTGACCGAATAAAAAGGTTCGTGTACTACGTGAAGAATTTAAATATCCTTTAACCGCCTGACTGGCGGTTACATTACCAGTGAAATAACACCAAGGCTATTATTATAGTCTTGGGTGCCTGAAACACCCAAATTTACCAGTAAAATAACACCAAGGCTATAGTCTTGGGTGCCTGAAACACCCAAATTTACCAGTAAAATAACACCAAGGCTATAGTCTTGGGTGCCTTAAACACCCAAATTTGCCAGTAAAATAACACCAAGGCTATAGTCTTGGGTGCCTGAAACACCCAAATTTACCAGTAAAATAACACCAAGGCTATAGTCTTGGGTGCCTGAAACACCCAAATTTACCAGTAAAATAACACCAAGGCTATAGTCTTGGGTGCCTGAAACACCCAAATTTACCAGTAAAATAACACCAAGGCTATAGTCTTGGGTGTCTTAAACACCCAAATTTACCAGTAAAATAACACCAAGGCTATAGTCTTGGGTGCCTTAAACACCCAAATTTGCCAGTAAAATAACACCAAGGCTACAGTCTTGGGTGCCTGAAACACCCAAATTTAGTAAAATAACACCAAGGCTAAGTCTTGGGTGCCTGAAACACCCAAATTTACCAGTAAAATAACACCAAGGCTATAGTCTTGGGTGCCTGAAACACCCAAATTTACCAGTTAAATAATACCAAGGCTATAGTCCTGGGTGTCTGAAACACCCAAATTTACCAGTAAAATAACACCAAGGCTATAGTCTTGGGTGCCTGAAACACCCAAATTTACCAGTTAAATAACACCAAGGCTATAGTCCTGGGTGTCTGAAACACCCAAATTTGCCAGTAAAATGACACCAAGGCTATAAAGTTTTAGGTGTCTGAAACACCCAAATTTGCCTCTAAAATGACAATGGAAACTCCTTGGGAACCCCCTGATCTCCTGTAAATTATAAGATTACAAAATTAGAAAACTAAGTAAAAGATTGGTCTACCTGGTTGAACAGGTACCCTAGGAGCGCCTGGCTTGGCTCCACCATGCCGTTCACAAGGTCCGAGGTAGTGAAGATGAACACGCTTGAGGTGAAACTCTGGCTGGAAGGCTTCCTTAATCTCACGTGTCATTTCATGGTCATCTCCACTTATGACAACCTAAAAAAAAACAAAAACAAAAACGCATGATTGACTAAAAGAACAACTGAAACTCCATCAACTTGTTGAGCTGGTTTGACATTACTATATACAGTACAGTATTAGCAGAGGTTCAGCATAGCAATGAACAGTCATCATTACTCAATTACTATATAACTTAAAAAAACAACTACAGTATTAATATTCAGGAAAACAGCTAACCTCAGCCAAATTCTCCAGTTCATCAGTCGGGCAGGTAGTGGAACGTGGGTCAGCCAGCGATGTGTTGGTCCAAGTTAACCTTATTGGGTCTAGAGAGATGGAACGCACATTGATGTTTTCCGTTGTTGGGTCATTGTAGGCCTGAGCAATCTTCTCTACAGCCTTCACCTGTTGACAGATAAGAAAGAAATTATCAGCACCTGAGATGTATGTTTTAAGTAAACTAAATAGATGGTACTGTAACATCTTCATACAAGTCTACAACTATTTCAGCATATACTATATAAACAACTCAGGTATACAGTTCAGCATGTATATAGACAACTCAGGTACATTATACAGTTCAGCATGTATATAAACAACTCGGGTATACAGTTCAGCATGTATATAGACAACCCATGTATACAGTTCAGAATGTGTATAGACACCTATACAGTTCAGCATGTACAGTACTGTATATAGATAACACTGGTATACAGTGTAAAGTCCATTCCACTTTTAAACCACACAGACTGGCGGCCTCAAAATTTTAAAACCTACCTGTACTAACTTGTTTGGGGATAATCATCAATTTACACCTTGGCTGACCACAGATTAATTGCCTGGTTTATAAGTTTAGGGAAGTGGGAGAGGGAGGGATGGACCCAGTAAAGTTGCTGGTTAGAAATTTTGCGGCCGCCAGTCTGGGCAGCTTTTAAGTGGCGTGGACTGTACATAAAGGATCTGTTAAACATCTCGATCAAAACCACCTCTCAAAGGAATAACAGGCAATAAAAGAAGAAATCCTTATCTAACAACAAATATTACTAAATCTTGCACAAGTTAACTGTTGCATAGAATTAATATTTCTGTGTCCGGCAACATTATCAGGACCCTGCATTGTCACTCAAAATTTAGGTCTAAACTAGAAGCTGGCACTTTACTGAATTAACCCCTATAATATAATTTGCTGTCAAATCAATAAGTCTTTTACGTTCTGACCAAAACTTGTTACTGTACTCCCACTTCTTGGTCGCTCCTCCAACTGTTAGTCAATACTGTAGTTCCAATTTATTCATCCAAAACGAGAAGAAGAGTCATTCAAAATCATCCGCCACAACGTATCTTACCTGCCATTCCAGTGCGTAGACGAAATTAAATTCATATTTCTTTTCCAGCTTGAATGTGGCGGTGAATCTGTGATTATAGTTGCGTGCCTGTCTGGCCTGCTGCACGTGAATCATTATGGAGTCTGTGATGGTCTTCCCCTCAGAGTCTATGGCCTCCAAGTGGTAGGTGTAACGGCCAATATTTTTTTCCAGAGGTCTGAAGACAATATGAATCTATACACATTTGCAACTCATAAATGCTTACAATATAGTACATTATTAAGTGAGGTGTAATGTAAGGCCATTACTTGGTTGATGCTGTAAATGATAAAACTGGTAAGTGAATATTTTGCTTTTCCAGGAAGTTGATAAAATAACTGTACAAGAGAATACTTTTACTGATTAATATATCAAATATAGATTCACTTTAAGGCACCCAACATTACTATGCACCATTTTTTCCCACAAAATATCTTCCAAGAACCATCCTATGTCATATATACTGAGGATTAAGCCAAAGGGGAAGCAGTTGCCATTACTGGACTCCTTATCTGACACTCTGGTTCCTGACCCCAGAATGAAATCAAGTGATCTAATGTACAGTACTTTCAAAATTAAGATGTTAATTTAGGAATCTTACCAATTAAGTTAATATTCAAGGCCACCCTGCTTATTCCCTCACTATCACTCAATAGTACTTTTAGTGATAAAATGTATTCTTAATAAGTTAAGATTTTTGTTTTGTTTTTTAACAAATTAAAGGAAATTCATCTAGAATGTGTTATACTATTTGTAAAATTAATACTGTACTATTCTATACACTATATATAATGTACTGTACAGTACAGTATTTGAAAAAGCTTTGATATACAGTATAACATATTGTACTTTTTCAGAATTTTCTTTTGCCATCAAAATTTTCATTATAATATAAGCATAAACAAAAGTATGAGAATAAATCTGTCAAATAAATCACAATAAAAAAATGTAGAAATAAACTAAAAAAACAAACAAAAAACACTTGCTACTAAATGCCATCAGACACAAGGTGACACACACACACACACACACCTGTACAGCACCTATAACCTCTTGATAAAGTATTCATTAACTATACAGTATTCTATTTTTTAGTTCATGAATTTGAAGATGAATAAAACCATATTGATTTTTTCATTTTTTTTTATAATTCCTTTGAGGAGAGAGAAAGCGAACAAAATTGAAAATTGAAAATGTTAATGCAAAGTTAAAGTTTTGAGGCTGTGAAAAGAAAGCATCTACCTACCAACCTAATTGTTGTCTACCCACATCAATCCACAAGCAAGGACAATGTTGATGTTATAATACACTCTTCACTTGTTCATGAGTGGAGGTTTCCCAGAAGTGCGGACAATGTGACTGTTGTAACACAATTATTCACGTGATCCCCCTTCCCTTCAAAATCTGCAAGCAGTGTGTATATATATATTTTTTCCATTTGTCCATACTTACAGAGCATAAATCTCTTGTTTGCTTGGGTCGAACTGGATCCAGGAATTGTGGCCAATTGTTAATCCATGTGAAGTCTTGAACACCAGCCTCAAGTTACTGGTGTCTCCGTCTTCAAAATCGTGGAAGGTGTCTCGGGGAATTGGCAGACGGTAAACATGTCCAGCAATCTAATGCAAAAGAGAAATTTGTGACAAGACTATAAATGGTAAAAATACTAAGATGGCACCATTATATATGTACAGTACAAATGCTGAAAAATACAGTAGTCAAATATTTATGGCAATTGCATGAATGCTTGCTTGTATTATAACAGCAAAAATGTCCTCAATTGCTCTAGTTTGCACACCAACAAGTGAGGACAATGTTACTTTCATAATACAATCATTTAAGTGATCACAATGAAAATCGGTAAAGCAAGGTGTATAAATTTTTTCAAGAGGCCCTGTATTTTGCTTAATCATTTCTTTCCAGCGAGCATTCTCCTGCTATGCTGTACAGTTGACAGAATCATCGTGTACATAATGACTTCTTTCACTCACTCTTAACTGCTGTGACATCCTCATTACAAATACACACATGTGTTGGCACCTTTCTCTACTCAAATACAGTACAGGTATATATTTTGGCAAATTTTACGTTTATCTCCTTACATAAGTATTATCTTATTATCTCAACCTACAGTTACTGTTTATATTCTAAACAACGTCCTGCCCTACAATCTAATATTTCAATATCCAGCCTGGGAAGCAAATTTCACAAACAGGTATACGAGTACATATAAGGCTTCTCTACAGTTTGTATGCTGCAGTAGTAAACATTATTCATGGCGATACTAATAATTACAATCCTCATTATAATATTCATCATCTACATACCCAAGCCAATTTCTGGATACGATTTTTGATGCGAGGTGCCAAGTTCTTGGCCCCAATCTCTGTCGTCACTGCCACTGTGGGTACACTGGTGGCTTCAATAGGTCTAGTGGGACTGATAGGCTTCTTGGTTATGGTGGATGTGGTGGTCAGTGGCGTTGTAGACTCAACCTAAAATACAAGTAATGGATTTAGGGATGAGGTTGCCATAAACAGGACCTTGATCCATCTCACTCAAAATTATGAGAAGAGTTAAAAGATTATTGAGGAATATATAGTATTGTAATATTCATGTAGTTATTATAGAAATAAGCAGAGAATTACATGGCTAATCTGAAAATAAACCTTATATTCCTGTGAGTAAGAAATAAATCTATCAGAAACCTCATAAAAGTACACAACTGTGATGTTTCCCAAAAATCAAAATCTGTAAAGAAATTCACACCAATATTTGGACATGAGAGGACTGCCTTTTAAAACTTGGCTTAACTACTAGGCATAAATGTTGTCCACTGGTCAATAATATTTCTCAATATGCAGAGAAATGTTAAATTATTAAGTTTTTCATCAGTTACACATGAAAATACAGTTGTTATAGCCTGTAAGTGTAAAATACAGTTGTTGTATCATTAAATGTAAAATCTACTTCTACAGATATTGTATAATTATTTTCCATAAGCTGCTTTATGATAACTTACCATTTTGTATAACCTGTGTATTCAATCCCACAAAGCAATTAGTGCAAATTTAAATTTTACTGCCTACACTGGGGTTCATCTGGCCAAACACACACACTTTCTCTCTAAATTGGAAATCAAAGTATTAACTACATCCAAAATAACATAAAAACACCAAAAATTAACATTGTACTGCACTGATGTCTTCATCATCATTTATGGCCATTTTCCACAATTATGTGGGTTAGCCGTGGTTCCCTGATGGCAGCTCTCCAAGCTGTCATTCTGGTTCTCCTCCCCTCCACATTTAGGTTCATGCATCTCTTGACCCAACTGGTCTCATCCATTCTCTCCACATGTGTCATGGGTTGCACAAGGCCTGCCTCAGGCAACCCGACTCAAAAGTTTGATTTATGGAAGGTAAGACAACAGGCAAGGCATGACTTCTAAGTATGTGAGCCAAACTATGGGGCCCAGTGGGACAGTGCTGTACAATATTGTTCATCATGTCTCATGCCAACCCCAACAACATTTTAGTCAGTAGGCCCTAGACCATGGATTAGTTAAGAGCTCCTGTTCCATAAACTTAAGAAATAGTGTGCTTACGTAGTCCTACCGTGACGCCATCTTACTCGAGCAAAGCAGGGCCCAGATTCACTGACACTGCTGAGATACGAATTTCATAAGTTCCGGGAGATCTGAAGTCCATACAAACTCTCGCAAGTGCGATTCACTAAAGGTTCATAACAGAGCCGTGGTGATCGTACGAACTCTATAAATAGTTCTTAAAATACCGACAGGTGGCGATGGTGTCTCCTCTAGGCCAATCACTGCGACTGATACATAACTCGATAGGAGACGTAAGGCAATCGTGCCATAACAAAATTAGATCCCGCAGGGTGCATTTGTTGAACTTATGAATACTTATGATAACCTCAACATCCACCCTTATCTGAACAACGAAAACTACAGTAACACAGTAAACACCAAAAACATGAAGAATAAGGCAAGTTATTCACAATTTTAGGATTTTTTGAAGTTAGGTAAGGTTTTTAAAGGTTTCTTTGGTGTTTTTTACCCCATATTTTCCCTCTTCTTCAAGCCCTGCCCACTATGAACAACCAATATTGTTGGTAATTGGAAGTAACAAAACATAATCTGCTGTACACTGCTAAAACATTGATCAAATATCCCTTACGTTGTATCATATTTCTAGATATGTAGTAAATTTTACACACTGCAAGATGGGTTAAAATACTAATTTCTTAGCATTTTCTAATGTCATTACTATAAGTGAAATTTCTCAGTTAATCTCATGGTCACCAAACCTAACCTACTGTATTATACCATAAATGCCTTAGATGAGAGCAGGAACCTAGGTTGTTAGATAAAGTTTCCTCTGATTAGATATAACAATATAACAACGTCCACAAAGTATAACCAATAACTTAGATGGATGTTGGAAATTGATGGAATTCGTAAAATCATCATTTATCATGTACTGTACTGTATATAACACATTGAATGCCAGGAAGTGGAGTGAAATTCTATGTAGTGATACACCATAATCTCCTGGGTGAGTAACCAGTGTTAACTCTAAGAAAAATGTATTCCCCACATTTAACCCATGACAACATGCCCAAACCATCTCAGCCTGCCTCTACACAGAACTTCACCAACACTCTCAATTCCCAGCCATCCTCTTAGCTCAGTCAGAACAGGACCTCCTGTCTTTCAGTGTCACATTACACATACACCTCACCATCCTTATTTCAGCTTGCTCATGTCTACTTATATCATTCTCTTTAACTGCCCATATTTCAGTGCCATATAACATTACACTTCTCACACCAGTTGCATGCATTCTTCCTTTCACTCGGAAGGAAGGTCCTCTTGCTGTTAATAAAGGCAACAGCTCCCTAAACTTTATCCAGCCACTTCTTACTCTTGCAACTGAGATGGCTTCAGCACCAGCACTGATCATATCACCCAGATAAGACAACTCGTCAACACAGTCCAGGGACATGTCCCCAATGTTGAGTGTCTCTAGCCTTGCTGTGGGCACATGGTTACCTGTGCATACAGAACTCTTGGTTAGCACCTCTTGTGTATCCAACTTCCATGATCATTGCACATTATTGGGTTGCTGCTAACACCTTTCTTGCAGACAGCACATGGCCATTTTACACTACTAATCAATATTTTTGTTTTCACCACATTCACTCTCAGGTCCTTTGCCCCTATTACATCCTTCCACTTCTTAAATTTCTCCACGAACTCATCAATACTATCTGCTTGCAGCACTAAGTTATCAGCATAATACAACTCCCAGGGCAGGCCAGTCCTAAAGTCCTGCAACATTATGTTATGAAATTATATAAAAGGAGATCTGTTTAGTAAAACCCAGTGAAAAAGGGAAAAATCATAGGTAGTACTGTATTAATATTCAAAACCTCTAAAAGAAAACTAGTACAGATACCGTATTTACTCTACAAATGGTGATGAGATTAAAGTTTAAATGGTTATAGCTTACTGAGGTTGATGGCTGTCGTGTAATAGAACCCTCAAGATCAGGAAGGAACGGTGAATCAGTTGTATACGCCGTCTCATACGTCACTGTTGGACTGGCCTCAATAACACGTGTTGGCTTGACAGGAACCTGGAGAATAAATGAAGAGTTACTTGTACACTAAGTTCTTTGGCCATGAGCCCAGTTCCTATATTACTCTGGATGAATAACTAAATAGTTGTGATGAAAAAGGGAATTTAATTGTGGGAGATGAATAAATGAACTTCACTCTGATAATGAGATGTGTAGCATAAGACAAGTGTGTTGCATAAGGGATGTGTGTTGCATTAGAAAGGTGTTGCATCAGGCAGCACCAAACTATCACCACATGGTGCAATCTCCTTGCACATTTTACATTTTCCCAACACGAGACAGTTAAAACATTTTCACAACAATATTATGAATAAATGCAATCACTGTAATGCACGAGAAATCAGCACAAACCACAAGAAAATGAAGGGAAAATGTGGCTCAACGTTATATCCTGGGTCCTTTAAACACCAAAAAAAGGAGCCTGGTGGTGACCTTGGAGTACAGTCTACATAGTTGCCAGATCACGCTGACATTTCCAAATGTACGTCTAGGGTGTCTTACTTTATACGCAAATTTGCGTATGAAAACGCCAAGTGTATTAATATCCCTTGAAATAATGAAAATGCTTTTAAGATGCCACTTATGCATCCTGTAAGTTTTTGCTAACACTTTTACCGGTGTTATCATTAACACGGAGTGACTGAAGCATCTAAACACATTACTTCCTACTTTCCAGACAAAAAGCATTTTGTAAAAAAACCACAATGCTAAAAAAATTTACTCAACATAATCCCTGAATGAAACAGAGGCCCACTGTATGAGCTGTGCAATAAGAAATATGTGAAAAAATAAATAAATCCCCCCCCCCAAAACCTGCACCTCAGGTAGAGTATGTTATTTTATAAACAGATAATGATGAAAGCACTTACATACACAGGTGTTGAGACAGGCACAGGTGAAAAGTGTAATGGACCATCTGGGCTGGCACCATGACCTGGGTAGTAGGTGGCTGATGCCTCTGGAAACACAGGAGTTGCTAGGGAGGGGATAACTCTGGTCTCTGGTTCATAGTCATCAAAGGTCAGGAACACACCCTCTTCATCCTCATCATAATAGTTGTAATCATAATTTTCATAATTCACTCCATCATCTCCAGAGTAATCAATATCCCTCCTCACCCTCTTGGAGGCTGGGTTCATCTGTGAGAAATAATTAAGATATGAACACTATGATGGTTGCTTAGAGCAGAAACACAATCCATAATCATCAAATTTAGCACAGCATATTTGACTTTTTAAATACACGTACCTGTATACCTAACCTGAGCGAAGCTGGATAATTTTGTTAGTTACCTACTATGTATATAAATTCATAAGAATTTTGTTTGCGTGAAATAAAGTTTCACTTGGGTCAATGTTGTTTGATTTAAAAATTTCCATTATTTACACATTTAAATCTTATATACTGTACTATGCAGTATAGTAGTTGTTTAACTTACTGATGTACTGTACTGTATTTACTTTTAATAACACTTTTAGTCTTAACTTTTTGTCATTTGGGTAAGTATCTGTGTGTTAACTGGCAACAGTAAGTTGATCTGTAGTTTTATTATTTCTAGAGTTACTTAACAAACAGAGCTTAGTAAGTTTCATCCACACCACACTTGCATACTTCAGCAACCTTAAAAACCTCTCCATGTTCATAGTGATGCAGAGTTCTTTAACACTACTTGTGATGGCAAAATGAATGATGCATCAGTACCAGTCATCCAAGTCTCAGTCTCAGACAATCAGGTTTTGGTCTCAGATTTTGTGGTATGGGCTACATTACTAATCAGTACTGTACCTGTGTCATGTGCCACCCTAACACTGGAGCACCCACGGCTCTCTGCAGTTCTCCTCCCTTGGCTGTTGCTTCTGTATGATCAACTTCTCCCTGCTTCTTCTTGGTCACTTCACCGCCACATCCCACGGCCCACTGAAGCTGGGATAGACTCTCTGAGCGGTGGCCACTGTTGCCCATCCTGGCGCTCCCTGGTCCAGCTACGATGGCTGAATCATCCGCCAGAGGATCAAAGTCATGAGGAGCCACCATGAGGGAGAGCTGAGGGTAGAGGTTTTGACTTGAAGAGTTGTGTTTATAAACGGACTCTTTGACTTAACCCCTCGAGTATGATGACTTAACCCTTGTAGTTTGGTGATTTAACCCCTTGAGTATGATGACTTAACCCCTGCAGTTTGGTGATTTAACCCCAGCAGTATGATAATTTAACCCCTGTAGAATGACTTAACCCCACGATGTATAATAATTTGACCCCTTATGTGCAACAACTTAACCCTTTGAATACAACAAAGTAAATTAACCAATCCCAATAAAAACACGCACGCACGCACGCACGCACACACACACACATACATACATTAATCTGTATGTTCACTGTATGTTCCTTTACTTTTCTCTAATGAAGGCTTTTGTTAAACCACCAATGTATGTAATAAGTCATTTATGTCCAATGTATATTTTCAGCCTTCGGGCTGCAGAATTTTTTTTTTCAATAAACCGTTAATTATTATTATTATTATTATTATTATTATTACACACTCTCTCTCTCACACACAATAATACAAATTTAAAAACATATTAATACACACTACACATACACTAATACAAACACTTATACAAACTTACACACAAAGTAAAACAAACACAAAAACTTACACCAATACAATTAACACACACTTACACACATTAATACAAATTTTACACACACTTACACACATTAATACAAACTTTACACACACCTAACACACAATACTCACCTCCTTCACTCCCAAGAAATTCATAGCTGATCGAAGCAGCTTGACTCGAGTCTTAGCTTCCATGGTAGGCAGATGGGCTTCAAGAATCACCGACAGCATCGTTACGTCCTGTTTGGGATGGCATCCAATTTCCCGGGATATCGTAGAACCTGTGAGATTTACGTTAAGTTAAAATAATGTCATAAAACCTCACATCTTTTTTAGTTGGATGTCTAAGGAGGGCGGCTATCATGGGCCATCATAGAAAATGGGAGTTAAAATTATGAGAGGGCAGGGGAAAAATAAAACAGCACAGAAAATGGACCTAAATCATATCTGACAGCACACAAAATGGGGCAAAATCATAAAACACAACAGAATATGGAATTAAATCTTATCTGAGAGAATGCACAGTAAACCAACCTAACTTAACCCGAAAATTATTTAAGATCACTATGTTATGGTGTTAAGGTTGGGTTGATTTAGGTTAGGTTAGTGTAGTATTTGGTTAGGTTAGGTTAGTGTAGTATTTGGTTAGGTTAGGGTAGTGTTTCTTTAGGTTAGGTTAGATTGGTGTTAGTTTAGGTTAACAATAGCTAGGTTATGTTAAAGGTATAGAATACAGGTAATTAAAATGTCAATTATGCTGTGCTGGTAAGTTTTAAATCACCTTTATATTCATTTTCTTTAAAATATTGACTATCTTTGCTATATAAACATGTTAGTTTTCATTTTTCAAAAAATTTTCATTTGACGTCTAAAATTCACCTGACTTAATTCCTCGATTTTCGGCACTTGGGTCATAAAATGGAGTTTGTTCAAATTTTATACAAAGTTGTTACTTTACATGCTGATTCAGGATATTGCTTCACCATTGAAAAAACCGGGAAACTTGTGTTAATTAATGACCTTTGACATAATAAAGAGTAGTGTTAGGTTAAGTTAAATTGGGTTACTGTAAGATTAGGTTAAGATAGGTTAACATTAGATTATACTAAATATAATTAAGTTAGATTAAAGTACATTCGGTTAACATGAAGTTAATTAGGGTAGCATTTAATTAGGTTTGGTTAGGCTAAGTTATATAAAATTAGGTTGAGTTAAAAAAAAACCCAGATGGAATAACAAGACAAAACGCCTTAAAAATATACACCCTAGTGAGGACAACCCAAGCTGCCAGTCTTACTCACACAACACAAACCACAAGCAAAAATAAACCACAACACTTAATAAACCACACACACACAACGAAGCCTCATATAAACCCTTTGTGGTCGTTGACATAGAAGAATTAGGTAATATAGCTAAGAAGACTTGAAGAAAATGAGATGCCATGAGATATATTATAAAGTGTGTACACTACTATGATGAACCTGCCAACACACACACACGGTGGTTGACTAATATGAAAAAGGATGCTGGAAAATACTGTTTGGATGATGATGATAATAATAATAATAATAATATAAATAATAATATAACAATAATAATAATATAACAATAATAATAATAGTAATAATATAAATAATAATATAACAATAATAATAATAATAATAATAATAATATAACAATAATAATAATAGTAATAATATAAATAATAATATAACAATAATAATAATAATAATAATAATAATACAAATAATAATATAACAATAATAATAATAATAATAATAATAATAATAATATAAAATAATATTAATAATGATAATAATAATAATGGTGATGATAACTTGCAACTGTGAGCCATTAAGTGCCACTATAAGAGGCACAGATGCACAACGCCAGGCACTGTACTATAAAAAATCAGATGTGGAGAGAAAGGAAGTACAAAATTTCAATCAGTGACGAACGACGTCAAAATTGTCAAGACAGTGATGGAGGAAGTCAAAATTACCAAGACTGTGATGGAGGAAGTCAAAATTACCAAGACTGTGATGGAGGAAGTCAAAATTACCAAGACTGTGATGGATGAAGTCAAAATTGCTAAGACAGTGATGGAGGAAGTCAATATTGCCAAGACAGTGATGGAGGAAGTCAAAATTACCAAGACTGTGATGGAGGAAGTCAAAATTGCCAAGACTGTGATGGAGGATGGTCAAAATTGCCAAGAGAGTGATGGAGGAAGTCAATATTGCCAAGACAGTGATGGAGGAGGAGGAGGAGGAAGCAGTGTTACCAACTCACCTGGCAGCTCGACCACATCAACCGCGAAAACATCCTTAGCGTGAGAGCCATCCTTGCCCTCCGCCCTGATGGTGACGTAGTGATGCCCGCGGTCGGTTGGTCGGGGCACGCCCTCCACCACGCCCCGACCACTGTCCCAATGTAACCATGCTGGCAGCCCCTTCACCTGAAACACACACAAAATATTAATACACTTACACAAAATATTAACATACTAAAACTACCCCCAAAATTTCCAATACATTAAAACTAACAAAAATTCAACCGAGAAACACAAACAAATTAACATATTGATATAATACTAAAATTAACCAAGATTTTAACACACTGTATCTTGACAAAGGAAGTATTACCTGTTCATTAATTAACCCTTCATTATCACCACTGTGTTTACCTGACTATGAATGTGGGCAGGTAAACTATGTCGATAATAACACTTCAGGTGTGGTGGGGTGTGGCCAGGTGTGGTGGAATGTGGCCAGGTGTGGTAGGGGGTGGCCAGGTGTGGTAGGGGATGGTTATTACAAGCTGAATATTTATGGGTGGGTGTTGAGTGTAGCAGGAGGGAGGTGTGATAAATAGGGAAGGAAGGGAGGGGTGAGGGAGGGAGGGGGAGGGAGGGGGGAGGGAGGGGGAAGTGAGGGAGGGAAGGAGGGAGGGTGAGGGAGGGGAGGGGGGGAGGAGGGGTGAGGGAGGAGGGGGAGGGAGGGGGAAGGAGGGAGGGGAAGGGAGGAGGAGGGAGGGGAAGGAGGTGAGGGAGGAACAACAACTTCCTCTCACCCCCCATCACATATGAGGAGGGACCTGCCATCACCTCCCCCCTCCCCTATCTAAACAAGGTGTGATGAAGGAGACCAGCACTTAACACTTGCCTGTAAACATGATAAAACTCTCCCTCTCTCCTCCCTCTCCACCATCACCTCTCACTTCTACATCCCTCTCCACCATCACCTCTCTCTCCCTCCCTCTCCATCACACTCCAGGCCAACAAGAGGAGGAATGATAACAAGAAATTATCATTACGTTATCTTAGTAATAATAACGGGAATATGAGAAGCGGGCCAATCTTACAGTGTACCATTATTATGCTACCTGGTGGGGGGGGAGGTTAGATTAAGTACATGAAATAAGGACGGGTGGCTAATCTTCAAGTTATACGAAAATAAAGACTTGGTTTATCCTCGCTTGAGAAATATTACTGTTAACCACTTATAATATTTATCTAATTCACTGGATTAACTTGAATCACCTTGTGTTAGGATTTCTTGGCCAATAAAACATCTATTTATCTATAAAATGGCTTAGGTGGGGCAGTGTTGAGGGCGTGGCGGTCTATAGCAGATTTAGGCGCCAACAAGTACAGTGGTGCCAAGTGTGGTGTGTCGGGATGAAAGAGGATAGCAATAAACATCCATCACCAAGCAGCGGAGCACAGTGAGCTGTGATGGGGCCCTTATCTCTCTCCCTCACTGACTGGCTGCCTTCATTTCAACGTTAATCTAAACCCATATGGCCGCCAGACAACAGCATTCTTCAGACTTGGCAGAGTATAAACCCGCGTTGATGTCATCATTGAAGAAGAAAACCTCAAACAGGCTGGTGATTGGTGGGTAGTGGCGGCCAGCGGGTAAGGACATTACCTCAAATCGATGATAAGAAGCTGTGATTGGCTGTAAGAAACTCTGGCCCCACCCCTACGATGATGACATCACTACTACGTCACTCGTCTCGACCATCCCAACACCATCCTCCCCAGCTGTGACGTCACCTCCATGGCGCCAAGAAGTGAGTCAGATTATGTGATCTGGTGAGCAAAAACACGACGACACAAAAAGCTCCTCATCAGGCAGACAGATTCTTGCCCGGGTGGTGGAGGTCAAGACCATCAACGGCTGCAGCTTACCGTAACTTAACCACCACAATTACCATCACTATCACCACATCCACCACAACAACCATCATCACCACCACCACTATCACCACCATCACCACCACCACCACCAGCAGCACCAGCACCACCACCATCACCACCAGCAGCACCAGCACCCTCCACCGCCACTACTCATAAAACAGATGTCATAACCCCGGCAACAGGTCATATGAGACCGTACACAACTGAGACGAATACTCAAAGTCATAATGGCGCCCAGAGTGTACTGAGACTCCACCATGACAGCAACAAGTGGTTAGGTTAGGTTAATATTCAGGACCAAGGGGGGGAGACCTGCCAGACCAGAAGGGGGGGTCATGGCTCAGTTGGCACTATGGGGTCGTTGTGTTAGCTAGACGGTGGTGGATGGTGCCAGAACTGCCCCTACCCTTTCCCTTCTCCTCCACCATTGATATCCCCCCTAAATACCCCTGACCCCTCCCCCTAAATACCCCTGATCCCTCCCCCTTCCCCCTAAATACCCCTGACCTCTCCCCCTTCCCGCCCTGACCCCTTGACCAAATGCACCTTGACGTCGAATCAGTCACTATCTTGGACCATGACACTTGCGTTACGTTAGTCCATCACAATTCAACAGAGACAATAAGCATCTGGTATCATATCAAACTATCTGTACTATCTTATCCACACACACACACACACAGACACTACATCCTTGACCACCGAAGGGTCAAGACGTACCTGGCGCTCCTCTCGGAGCAGCCAGGTCAACTGTTAAGTTGGCCCATACCAACCCCCTCCCCTGAACCCTCTTCCCCACCGGAATATCAACAAGTTCTCGCCAGAAGTTACAATTTCATTTAGGAAAGGAATGGAACCAGTGTTAAACAGAGGTGAACAGTGCTTAAGTCAGTGAGAACAACTTAACAGTAACAGTCGTACCCAACTTAACCTTCACACAGTGAGGTCCCAGGTACCCAGTGATAACGGCCCGTGAGACCCAACAACAACCAGCGATGTGTCCGTCTACGATAAGAACATAAGAATGGAGGAAACTGCAGCGGGCCTATTGGCCCATACTGGGCAGTCCCATTTACACCCAACCCCTATTGCTCATATATCCATCCAACCTATGTTTGAAGCTATCCAGCGTATTCGAGTTAATGATGATATTTGGTAACTTGTTCCACTCATCCACTACTCTATTTCCAAACCAATGTTTACCTATTTCGCGCCTAAATCTAGATTTGTCTAATTTAAAACCATTGTTACGAGTTCGCTCCTGGTTGGATAGTTTGAGTACCTTTGTAATATCCCCTTTGTTTAGCCCTGATTTCCATTTATACACCTCTATCATGTCGCCCCTTGCTCTACGTCTCTCGAGAGAGTGCAAATTAAGATGCTTTAACTTGTCCCTATACTCAAGGTTCCTAATGCCCGGGATTAGTCTTGTCATTCTCCTCTGAATTCTTTCCAAGGATTCTATATCCATTCTGTAATACGGTGACCAGAACTGAACTGCGTAATCCAGGTGAGGTCTCACAAGCGCAAGATATAATCGTAAGATGACCTCGCTAGTCTTGTAACTAACACTCCTTTGTATGAACCCAAGTACTTTATTAGCCTTGTTTCAAGCAAATACACTTTGTTTACTTGGCTTAAGGTTCCTACTTATTATTTACTCCTAAATCTCTCTCGCAGTCGGATTTCTCAATGGCATCGTTGTTCATCCGGTAACTGGTTTCCCTGTTTACATCTCCTATACTGAGTACTCTACATTTGTACACATTGAATTTCATCTGCCATTTTTCAGACCATTCGAAAAATTTGTTTAGATGCTCCTGTAGTTTTGTGGAGTCCTCGTCAGATTTAATAACACGTCCTATTTTAGTGTCATCAGCAAATTTACTTATGTAGCTGTCTATGCCGATATCTATGTCGTTTATGGTCCAAGTACTGAGCCTTGGGGAACTCCACTAGTGACGTTGCTCCACTGGGATTTAGTGCCGTTAATGCTCACTCGCTGTTTCCTGTCCTGTAACCACGCCCAAATCCATTTAAGAATATCACCTTTGATGCCATGTGCTTCTACCTTTCTAATTAGTCTTTCGTGGGGGACTCTGTCGAAGGCTTTGCTAAAGTCGAGATATACCACATCATAATTGTGCCCCTCGTCCACCGTTTCGAAAACTAATGAAAAGAATGTTAATAGATTAGTTAGACAAGAACGCCCGCTTGTGAAGCCATGCTGGGAATCATTGATCAATTGGTGCTTCTCAAGGTAATTTCGAATAGAGTTTGAAATGATTGCTTCCAGTAATTTGCCTACTATTGATGTTAGACTGATTGGACGGTAGTTAGAGGATAGTGATCTATCTCCCTTCTTGAAAATCGGTATTACATTCGCTATCCTCCAAGATTCTGGTGCTACACCCGTTTTTAAGGACATGTTAAACAACTTTGCTAAGGGCATGCTAAGCTCTTCATTACATTCCTTTAACATATATATATATATATATACATATATATATATATATATCTTGATAAAATCACAAGAGAAAATGGAAACAACGGAGTACCTTAGCTTTCGTCTTTGTTCAAGACATCTTCAGTTGCCTCTGAAGATGTCTTGAATAAAGACGAAAGCTAAGGTACTCCGTGTACAAGTCATATGACTTTTTTCGTGGGACTTTATTTCCGTTCACCAGAGGTCCAAGGGGTGCTGAGGATCCCTTGAAAATCCTGGATGTCCTCAAGTATGTAAATGATATATTAACTTTCACCACTAAATAATTTTTTTGTTTATATCTAAGTGATGTGTTCGCTAGTGTGACAACCTTAATTTACTGAATTGCCTAAAATTAACGAGGTATTAAAGGTACAGTATATTGTATCAGAGTTATTGTGCGAGATATAAAACAACATGACACACACACAAAGGACTGGGACCACACCTCACTCATATAACACCATCTGTGAGGGAATTACTATACCACGTGAGGTCCCTCACAACACCATCTGTGAGGGAATTACTATACCACGTGGTCCCTCACAACACCATCTGTGAGGGAATTACTATACCACGTGAGGTCCCTCACAACACCATCTGTGAGGGAATTACTATACCACGTGGTCCCTCATAACACCATCTGTGAGGGAATTACTACACCACGTGGTCCCTCATAACACCATCTGTGAAGGAATTACTACATCACGTGGTCCCTCATAACACCATCTGTGAGGGAGTTACTACACCACGTGAGGCCCCTCAAAAC